TTGTGAGCTTCCTAACAGCAGCTTTTCTGAGTGGAGAAAATACTTAACTGTCAAGAAGATAAAAGTAAAAAATCCCTCCCTTTACCAGTTTTGTAAGTAGGAGGAACATCACAGGTGTTTTTGTATACAACAATAACCTTATTTTATGTATATTTATAGTTAGGTTTATCTTTATATATATGTATTTATATACTTATATATTTATTTCTAGTTAGGTGTATATCTATTTATACAGGCAGGTTTTTGGGGCAGAGGTTTTGTTTCTTTTTACCAAAGCTGCAGTCAGACACACTCTCCCCTTCCCACTGTGCTTGTGGTTGGACTGAGCTCAAAGCAGGTGGAGGCTCTGTGGTCCCATCCCATAGAAGTGAAGTTATATTTGCTCTAGAAAAAAACAGAAGTTGTCATGGGAGGGATTATCTGCTCAGTGATGTCTAGAGCCCAATAATGCTGTCAGAGGCTCATCCTTTCAAACTTTCCAGGTAGTTTAATTAGGAGAAGGTTTATAACACTAGATCTGCATTCTGCTTGTTCTGCTTTATGTTTTCTGGTGCTTTAAAGTTGTCTTCATCCTATTTTGGTGTGTGTGTCCTGTATATATTCTCTTCCTGTTGAGTGGGTTTTGTGTTCAGTATCAGGGGAATTATGTTTCAGCCTTCTGTATCATGAACATATTTCTTTCTTGAAAAAAAAAAAACTCACATGGGAAATCCTGAGAGTTTTCCATATGGCTCTTCCTGTTGAGTGGGTTTTGTGTTCAGTATCAGGGGAATTATGTTTCAGCCTTCTGTATCATGAACATATTTCTTTCTTGAAAAAAAAAAAACTCACATGGGAAATCCTGAGAGTTTTCCATATGGCTTTTCGTGCTAGAAGCAGAAGATTCCAGTAATTGATGTATCTATGTTCCTTTCAGGCCAGAAAGTGCTAATAACAGAAGACCTGGAAGATGTCACTGTGTTAGAAGGAGAATCTGCCACGTTCAAGTGCAGAATCTCTCCCGTAGACTGTAGCAAAGTGCAGTGGTTTTTGGATAAGACCCCACTCCATACCAATGAACTTAATGAGATCCAGTCCCAGCCTGGGGGATATCACCTGCTAACGCTGAGAAAGCTCTCACTGAAGGACTCGGGGGTCATTACATTTGAAGCTGGTGATAAGAAAACATCTGCCAGTTTGGTTGTGAAAGGTAAATCCGTCCTAAAAAAACCTGCAGGAGAGGAAAATAACGAGCGGAAATAAGCGGGGTTAACGTGGGCAGGTGGAAAAAAAAATTAAAAAAGAAAAAAGAAAGGACAAAAATGCTACAAATTTAGCCCCATCACATGTCTATCTGTCTATGTTCAAGAACAGAATTACTTATATACTTATATATAATGAAATTACAGCTGGAGAATGAACACTTTGTAATCCTGGACAACCCTTGGAGTGTTTATTGGATTTTAGGTGGGAATGTTATTCTGCAGTGATTGGAGGCCTTGTTCAGTTTTCCTTGAGTGGGCTGATAAGGTGCTGATTAACGAGGAGGAATCGATTAATTCAATGAAAAAAAATCGAGTGCCAGCAATAAGTTTTAAATTTAGTTTTTTTGCTGTTTGAAAGGCAACATTGCATGTTGTTCTCTGCTATGCATTGTTGACAATGGGTTGTTTTCTCTGGAAAAGTTAAAGTGAGTTAAAACTGCAGTGTTAGTCTGCTTCTATGGCAAGGAAACGAAATGAATGCCAAACAGCCCAAGAATGTGGGATTAGAGGCAAGTTTTCTTCCTGGAAATGTAAATATTTCTGTTGCCCGGAGATAAAAAACACACTGTCTCCCCCGTGCCAGATCACAGCCTCATTTTTCACAACCACCTCGTTTATTTCAAAGAATATTTTTCTTTTTTTCAGAGTTTGAAAAGGTACCCAAATTTTTCCAACCTACAGAAATGAAAATAGATTATTATGTTTGTGGTTGGTGTTTTTCTTTTTTTTTGGTTTTTTTTTTTTTTTTGGGTTGGGTTGGTTTTTTTGGTTTTTTTTGGTGGGGTTTTTTTTTGTTTTTGTTTTGTTTTCTGAAGGAAAATGAAAGGTTTTATTTGCAAAAGACTAATATGTAATGTTGTAGTACCATAACCAGGCTTTGGTCTCCTGATTGATTGGATTTTTAGGAATTAAAAAACATTAAGCTGGGAGGGATGAGATTTAGATTGGCCAATTTAGCTATTGGTATCTACCTTAGGTTACTTCTACAAGCTGAGTAGAAATACAGGCACTTCCAGGGAGTTTCTCTGTCCTACTGGCCTATTTTGGAATTAAATATTTGGTTTCTGGAGGTGTCTGTCACCTTCCAGAGGCTACAGAAACACCCTAAATGACCTATCTGAGGTATCTGTTTGACTTTTAGAGGACTTGTTCTACTGAGATCTGCTCTAGATGAGAGAAATTTGTATTGCACCTCAATTCATGCAGAATTAACTTTTCCACATTCATGTAAAAGGTTCAAACTAATCAGCTGCCATGGGAAAAGGCTTAGAAAAATTGTGCTTCAGTCTTATTGCTGTTTACTGGGAAGTGAGAGAGGTTTTATTTATGTTCCTCAACAGGAATATCGTCTTCTCAGTTTCTCCCAGATGTCAGTGGGTATTTAAACAACAATTTGTGGCATCACTGGTGCTTCCCAAGGACTTAATAGTCACAAACACCAAATTATTTGTCAGTAACCTTGACCTGCAGCTTTGATACAAGTAATCCTGGATGCAAACCTCATGGATTACTTGTGATCTGAAAATCCACACCCCTTCTGAAACATCTCAGATGGATTTTATATGATTCTAGAGAAACCCTGAGCCTTCACAAAGGAGCTGATTGATACTGTAGAGTGTGAGGGAGAGGATGTGATCCTTCACTGTGAAACCTCCAAATCAGACAGGCCTGTAAAGTGGTGCAAAGGTGGGAAGAGCCTCAGGAATTCTTCCAAGTGCAACATCACCTGGTTGGGATTTGAAGCCAAGCTTGTTGTTCACAGGGCAGAAGAGACAGTGGTAGATGTGAGTGTGAGGCTGGAGCAGCTAAACGCAGTGCAGTTATTCCTGTCAGGGGTAATAACTTGGAGTTATTAATTAATATTATAATTTTGGAGTGATGGTTTGGGTCCTAAATCATCACCTAACATCTAAGGTCAGAGTAATTAATGGAAATGAAGAAAACGCGAAACTCTACTAAAAAGGGACTTCGTGTCTTTGCACTGAGATGTTTTCATCAAGTTGCCCAGAACAGCACCCAGAGAGGGGAAAGAATTGAAGCAGGAAAATCCTTCTTCTGACCTGGTTTTAGCTCTGTGCAGATTAAGTGTCTAAGTTCTCTGGGAATCACATAATCCTGGAATGGTTTGGGTTGGAAGGGACCTTAAAGATGATCTTGTTCCAACCCCCAAGGAGAAAGCAGTGGGTCAGCAGAGGACAGGTATCTCTGCAGGAGATCCACCCAGCCTAAGAGGTAATCCAGAGAAAGGATGAATCACCTCCTGAATCTGTCTCCTAAAAATGGACAAAGCCAAGGAATGACACATGAGAGGAAGAAACCTTGTGTTCTCCCCCGTGGTAAAGGAGAACAGCAAACTTGCAAAGTGCAGCTTCTCCTGGGGGAGGGACTTGAATAAAACAAGATTGAGCTGAACCACTACCCCAAAAGAGGGAGTCTATGAAAACGAAGGACCTTGATCTTCTGCAGTAATCTCCCAAAAATCATAGACACTTAGTACGAGAGTGCCATTAGAACCTCTTCAAATGTGTATTTTGAACTAAAAAAAAAATCCAAATAATCTTTAATCCATCTACCTGAATCCCAGAATATAAAATGGAAAGTATGTTGATCCTGCCCTTGTTAACGAGCTCTTAGAGGAAAATGGGTGTTTGAATCCTTTGTTTCCAGTGCAAGTGGATTCAAATGTGTAAATTCATCAAATTTCTGATGGCTCTCTCCAAGGAGGGAGGTCACACCCCTACATTTGTCTGGGTAATTACTTTAGGCAGCCAAATTTATCAGAGCAATGCACCCAAGGAGTGTGATCAGGCAGGAGGTGCCATCCTCTTTGATAGGACAAGGGGTGATGGTTTTAAACTAAAAACCATTTAGATTAAAACCAGTTTAGATTATGTGTAAGGGAGAGTTTTTGTTACAATGAAAGTGGTTTAAAACACCATAAGAGGTTACCCAGAGAGGTGGTGGATGCTCCATCTCTGGAAACATTCAAGGCCAGGATGGATGGGGCTTGGAGCAATCTAATCTGGTTGAAGATGTCTCTGCTCATTGCAGGGGGGTTGGGTTTGATGACCTTCCAACCCAAACTCTCCTATGATTCCATGATCTAAAGGGTTGTTATCTAAGCTGAAGCAAAAGTTCTCTTCTTAGATGAGCCTTTAGTGCAATTCTCTGAGTTAGAACTGGGCTTATCTATAATCACCTCACAATTGCTCCTGCCTGGCCCGAGTCATTGCCCCAGCCTGAGGTTTAGGGGGAGCTCAAGTTTCTGTGCCTTAAATCACTTGTTCATCTGGGCAGGTTTGAGCAGGTACAGAAGGCTGTTAAAGGCACAGGCTGTGTTTAAACCAGACCAGTGGATATCCTGTGTGGTATTTGGCACTTGGAATGCAGGATCAGAACATGCACTGGGATTAGAGGGTTCAGGGTGAACAGAGAAAAGCATTTGGGTTGTTGGAACGGTCAACCTGAACCTCAGAGCGTGGAGTTGGGAGGACAAGCTGCTCACAGGGTTTATCTAGAGCACCAAGAAACAAACCAACTTAAGGCTGAGGTCTGCTGTGCAAGGAAAGAGAAGACCTTGATGATGTAGTGAAGAAGAGATGGTGGTTAAAGGTCCCAATTTTCTCTGTCTTTCTCTAAACAAGGACGTTTTCTCAATACCCATTATACACAAAGGAAAGGGCTGTGTTGGCTTCAGTAGGACCTGGACCTCACCCATGGTGAACAATTTTCTGTTAGAAGAAAATCACATTGGTAATGTTCCACCACAGCCCCTTTTTTTTTCCCCTTCACAGAGAGGGGTGTGGGGTTGAAACACATGGATTCGGATCACCAGGAGATGTGAAGGAGTCAGGTCATAATGATGTCTACAACAAATTGCACCTTTGGAGCTTTCCTTTAGGGAACCTTTCTGTTAGAGTCACGTCAGAACAGGAGAATGCAAATATAGGAAAAAAAAAAGGGAAAAAAATAGGAAAAAATAAAGGGAAAAAAATAGGAAAAAATTCAGTAGTCATGTGACACTGAGTGTCCCAAACTAGAGGTAAAAGGGAAACAAAAGAACAAACTGTAGTTTTTCAACAGCCACAAATTAGGTGCATCTTGAATCAGTAGCTGACTTGCATATTCATAAGACAGCAGAACTCAGGAAGGATTTTGTTTTTCATTACCTAAAGGGAAAACACTTCAGTTGAGGTATTTTTCCAGTAAGTTCCTTCCCTGCCCTAGCTCAGCTTAAAGCCTTAAATCCCAGGCTGTGACAGACCCTGTGGAGGAAGATCCCCAGGGACCCTGCCATGTACAGCTGTGCTTCCCCCTCTGTGTTTGCTCCGTGCTGGTTTTAAGTCTGTGTTCATGTTGGGTAAAAAATACATTGCGGGTTTGTTTTTTTTTTTTAATCATGATAAATCAATACTGCTGGCTGTGACAGAAAGTGCTTTGCCACTGCTGTGTCCTCTGTGCTGTGTGTGAGTTGACCTCCTGAAGTTTTATGGGTTTTGTGCCAGTGGTCCAGCCCTGAGCACCCATCTGTGACACAGTTTGTGCCATTTATAGCAGTGCAGCGTCTGCCACTGATGTTAACAATGAAAGCAGTGATAGCAGCAAAGTCTTCAACAGTGCAGACAGTGGTTAAAAGGAAAATAAACATATGGCCTCAATTTTTTTTTTCTGCTGCTGTGAAGTGCTGGCAGCCAGATGTGAGATGTCAGAATCTGTTTACTGTTTGCCAGTGCTTTTCCATTCCTGCAGTTTTCTGTCTCAAGAACAAAGTCTGATACTAAAAGGGGGAGGATGATTGCCAGTCTCACGCGTTTCCTTCAACATCTTTTTCAGAAAAGCCACTCCTTTTCAAGCAAGAGCTCCAAAACGAAGAGGCTAAAGAAGGAAAACAGGTCAAGCTGACCTGCGAGCTCAGCAAACCTGGTGCCCCAGTGAAGTGGATGAAGGGAGACACTGTCCTCCATGCCAGTGAGAAGTATGAATTTAAGCAGCATGGAACTGTGGCAGAGCTCATTATCCGAGACCTCAAACCCACGGATGCTGGGGAATACACCTGCAGCTCTGGGGAGCTCAAAACCACTGCCCGGGTGAAAGTGAACGGTGGGTAGAGTTAGAGACATTAAACACTTCCTTAATCAAGTGCTTAATAGGTCTATTAAAAAAATATCACATAACACTTCATTTTTTTTATGTTAATGCCATCTTTAACACGTAGAATTTAAAGGTAATATTGCACACTTTTTATCACCTGTGTATATTTAATTCACGTTGTCTCACATTCTGTGTTGGGGGTTTTAAATCTGTAACTTCCAACTGGGCAAAAACTAATTAAGTGGAGTTCAGAGGACTATTTTTCTATACCCTACGTGCTGTATTTCCTGACCTATGAGCTGTTTTACATGGCTGGGGTTAAGAATGGAGTTACTGATGGAGACCAGTAGTGTTGGAGCACGGGAATGTGAAAACATAAATGCAGTCCGTGAAAAATTGCAGGTGGACAAGTGATTAATTTTTAGACCCCCAAACTCCCACAAACATCCTTTTTAAAGGCTCTCAGGTGCCATCTGCACTCCCCAATGGCCTTTAACAAATATAGTAGCTTTAGTAACATAGGAAAAGTAGTATGTGCTGGAGCAGAGAGTGGGAGAAATATAGGATATGAATATTGTTTCAGAGCCCTGCAGGAGCAGGGAATTCATTAGGTGATGATGCCCAGGGGATTCTGAAAGGATCCTTACTAAAAATGAGGAAGAATTTCCCCCATATTCCCAGGAATCCACAGTGAGATGATAACATCTGGGGGAGAGATTTATTCCTGCTCCCAGGTAGGATCATGTTGATGCCACACAGCCAAGGGAGGCTTAAGGGCTGCTCTGCTCACTTGCAAAAGGACTGGTTTTAAGAGGTGACAGCTCTCCTGGGGGCACTTGTCGTAGAGCCAGGTCAAGAGGGCATGTCCTAATCCCTGGATCTGTGTTCCAGCTGTGCCTGTCCTTTTTAAACAAGCCCTGGAGAACACGGATATGGAAGAAGGGAAATCCGTCTCCTTGCGCTGCGAACTCACAAAAGCCGATGCCACCGTGGTGTGGAAGAAGGGAGGAGCCACGCTCCAGGCAAGTGCCAAATATGAAATGAAGCAGAAGGGGACAGTGGCAGAGCTGGTGATTCATAATGCAGAGCCAGAAGATGCGGGAAGATACACCTGTGACACTGGAGACCAGCAGAGCACAGCCCAAGTCAAAATCCATGGTAGGAACGAGACACCTGCTTGTGACCATTTGTTGTTGTCCTTGCCATGGTCCTGCTACCTCCTGCACATTTAGAGTTCGGAAAAATAGGGATGAGTACAAACAAAAGGGTCTGTTGTGTTTTCTGGGATGGTAACTTCATACTAAAGCATATCAATCAAATATATCTGATAACAAAATATCTTTTTTTTCCTTATGAAATATCTCTTATGCTTTGGATAGAGACGACTGTCCAAGCTCTAAGCCAAGAGGTAAGAAGGGCCTCAGCTACACCTTTTATTAAAGAATATGCAGTTCTTTTCTCCACTTTCTCAGCAAGTTTTTACTTGTCTGTGACCGCCAGCGTTTGGGCAGCAGAAGGGTAATTGCTTTGACATTCTAATTATTGGTAAATAGTTGCTCTCTTTTCATGTGGTCCAAAACTCTTGGTGTGTTATTGTAAATACAAATGGAGTCCTGGAAGTGCAGGTAGGTCAGAGCTCATTTGCTGTGCCTGCCAAGAGAATTTGTTTTGGCTTTGGGTCCCGTATGAGGTCACCGGATGGTGATGATGCTCCCAAAGTAAACTGAGAATGCTTCATTCCTCAGCTGCCTCTGTGCTCTTCAAGGAAGAGCTGAAGCCCGTGGAAGCTGTGGAAGGTGGGACAGCCACCCTGCAGTGCCAGCTGAGCAGAGAGGCCCCCGTGGAGTGGAGGAAGGGGCAAACTCTTCTCCGGCCAAGTAACAAGTACAAGATGAGGCAGGAGGGCACAGTGGCTGAGCTGCTGATCCATGATCTGGACCCAAAGGATGCTGGAGACTATTCATGTCTAGTGGGGAACCAAAAAACCACGGCAGCCTTGTCAGTGAATGGTAAAAAGGCAGAAATAACCTGTGAAACTCTGGAATGGTTTTGTCCACCTCTTCCCTCCTCCTCTCTGTACATTCCCTCACAGCACTCATCTCCATGTCCTGCTTGCACTGCTTTCATCCATCTTCTTTTTCATGTTACCATGTCACTCCTGTCCCCAGTCTTCATCCTCAATCGGCTTTCATTATGCCCAGTGTTGGATATGTGTGTGTGTGTGTGTTGTCTTCTTACCTTTCCTCAAATGAAGAGAGCTGTCCTGCACGTGTGTTTTCCTGAATTAACATGGAAACATAAGATTCCTTGGGATTTTCTCTTAAGGAGGGTTTAATGATGAGGATGAGTTTGTCATTTACATGCATGATCCCAATCAAGACCATGAATCGATTCCCACAGAACAAGTTACTAGAAAATTTCTTTCACAATCCACGAAAAAAAAAGACTGGCTGTGCTTAAGGACAGAGGGTGTGTTGGAAGAAGGCTTGGGTGGATACACAACAAATAACGAGTGAGCCTCTGAGCAGAGATCTGAGCAGGGTGTCTTGGGTTGCAACCCCTTTCCCTTCTGCATCTCCCAGCCCTGCCAGTGCGTTTCAAAAAGGAGCTGAGGAACGAGGAGGCCACGGAGAGCGGGACGGCGACGCTGCAGTGCGAGCTGAGCCGGCCCGGGGGCTCGGTCCAGTGGAGCAGGGATGGGAAGGTGCTGGAGCCAAATGGAAAGTACAAAATGAGACGGGAAGGGCGCTTTGTTGAGCTGGTTATCCAAGACCTGGACTTGGCGGATGCCGGGAGCTACACCTGCACGTGTGGAGACCAGAAGACAACGGCTGCTCTGAGAGTGAATGGTAACTGTTCTACCCATGTTTCTCTTTAAGCCCCAAACACACCTTAAATTGCAGAGTTTTCTGGTCAGCCAAAGCTTGGTCAGTGTATTTTTTTTAGAGGTTTCGTGTTCTTGGCTCTGTGGTACCAAAGAGTCATCCTGTTGGAGGATATTCCCTTGTGCTTTTTTTGCCTCGAGGCAGCACATCTATGATGCATATTGTTTTCTTTAATTTGTTTCTCTCTTCTTTAGGAGTTTTCACCCCCATTTCAACAATACACACCCAGAAATAATGCATTTTTGGTTAAATGTATACACTGAGCCCAGTAACTTACAGCACAGTCCAGTTCATTCCATTCCATTCCAGTGCTGATTCCCTCTCTGTTGGTATTGCATCCCTCAGCCTTGCCTGTCCTCTTCCAAGAAGAACTGACGAACAAGGAAGCTACAGAGGGGGAGGCAGTGACTTTGCACTGTAAACTGAGCAAATCGACCCCAGTTGAGTGGAAAAAGGGGAATGTGGTCCTCAAGCCAAGTGAAAAATACAAAATAGAGCAGGAAGGCCCCTTTGCAGAGCTGAGGATCCAGGATTTGGGATTGGCAGATGCTGGTGATTACCACTGTGTGTGTGGAGACCAACAGACCACGGCTGCTTTGACAGTAAATGGTAAAAAAAGAATTTCTCAGCACGTGCCCAAGTAAACCTGTGTGATTCCAAGACCTCTTCCTCTTTTTCTTCTGCTTCCTCTGATCCCTGTATACTTCCTACCCTCCCCTCTGCTGATTAATCTTCCTCTCCTGTTTTCCTTCTCTCTCTCTCTTTTTCCTTTCACCTGATGCCCTCTTGATGTGCTGTTTGTCTTCCTGGGTGCTGAGTGAGCACAGGCCCCCAGCTCAACACAACCTCCCTAGTCCAGAATAGCTGCTTGTTTAGAAGTTTTCCCATGGGGATTGACCTAAAAGTGGGAATAATATTTACTTTTTCTGACTTACACTGTCACACTTGTTGCTCCTAAGGGGAACAAGTTTCCCTCAATATTTGCTGCTACACAAGGACAACCTTCATGAAAAATAGGCTTTTTTTTTTTTTTTTTTTTTAATACTCCTGCTACTCCCAGCTCCATTTTGACCAATTTTGGCTTAGCTCTTCCAAAGCAAATACTTTATCTCTGCAGAACACTGACAGCATGTTTGTGACTGCTCTGCTTTAAGGGGCTCTATTTATTTCAGACAATGCCATAAATCAGGCACTTCTGTAGAGCTGCTGCTCTTCTCAAGGGAAACAAAATGCTCTGGGTCTCATATTGAAATGTGGCCTCTGATTTTATGGTATATAAAGGAAAGGATAGATGGCTTGGCAACTATTTTTTCAGATAGACTTGTTTTTAAAGAATGTTTTAAAGCATGAGGAAGAAAAAACAAAGTAAAAATCAAACTGAATTGTCCTTTGAAGCATTAGAGATTGGAGGAATGAAATCCTGGAGGAGATCAAGAAGGTCTTATGGCTTCTGGGAGATAAGAGAGTGATTAGATCTTGGGTCAGGCTTTCTCAGGGTTGATGCCATGTCCATGTTGCATTTGCTCTGCAGTCCTGCCTGCTCTTTTCACCAAAGAACTGACAGACCAAGAAGCCACTGAAGGTAAAAGTGTCTCCCTGCACTGTGAGCTGAACAAGGCAGCTGCCAAGGTGGAGTGGAAGAAGGGATTCAAGACCCTCAAGCCAAGTGACAAGTACAAAATGAAACGGGAAGGTGTCGCTGCTGAGCTCACAATCCAGAGCCTGGACACGGCGGACGCTGGGAATTACTCCTGCGTGTGTGGGGACCAGCAGACCATGGCAGTTTTGACAGTTCATGGTAAAACAAACAAAACAAGGCACACTCTGGAAGTAACTATCCTGTTTTCTCTGCTCATTTGGACAGGTCACACTCCCATCTCCTCCTTCTGCCAGAGCTTTATCCACAGTTCCATCAGCTGGAACGTGTGGCACAAGAGGGGTATCGGGGTCCGAGCTCAGAGTGAGCCAACCAGGGTTGTTCCCACTGCTTTAATTAAGGATCCATCATTTTGCTTTTCCCTTGAAAGTTCCTTTATCAGACTCCCCGTTACGCTCAAGCCAAAAATTGTCTTTCCTCAAAGGGGGTTATGACTTAGGGATTTTTTTTTTTTAAGGTCTCATAAAGTTCCAAAAGGTGAGGTTGTTCCATGGAATCTTATGCCCACACTTCATTCCTGAGACAACAAGGTGATTTTACACTTACAGCCCAGTTGTCATGGCATTCAGTTGGTGTCCTCTGTAAAAGCCCAAATCTTCTAAGGGAGGGTAAAAGGGAGAGCTTTGATTTTAACTGAACCTGACATCTTTGAAAGGGTATGTCTATTCAGGTGAAAATGCTTGTTTTCTCACCCTGTATTGAAATGAGCAACTTCATTTCAAACTGACATTTAGAATGAAACTCCAGTGTTTCATTTTTATTTTTTTTTTTAAATGTGAAATGTCTCTTTGTTTGCTTGAGGATGTGAAAAGACAGCAAACATCCTCCCCTTACGGTTTAAAAAGTCATATCAGAAAACCGATTTTTTTCCCCCAGAAATTTCAAACTAGTCTTTTTGCTTGAAATTTCACAGGAAAAAAAAAAAAAAGGGCTTTCTACTTCTGTTTGTATTGATTTATGACTCTAAGTACATGTTAAATACTTCTATGGATTGCTGGAAGCTTTAAATCCTTTCCTGGTAATGACATTTCTTTCCTAATACTGATTTCACGGAGACTCTCGAGAATCTGTGTTCTTGTATCAAAAAATCCCTTCAAGATAAGAGGGAAAATGGGAAGTTAAACATGATTTTAACTCTTTGGAGCGTTACATCTCACTGCTCATGTTGCTGTCCTTCAGCTCTGCCTGCATTTTTCAAAGAAGGGTTGAAGAACAGGGAGGCCACAGACGGTGGAACGGCCACCCTGCACTGCGAGCTCAGCAAGGTCGGGGTCCCTGTGGAGTGGAAAAAAGGGGACAAGACACTCAAACCCAGTGAAAAGTTCAGGATGAGACAAGAAGACACGGCTGCAGAGCTGCTGATCCGAGATCTGGAGGTGGAAGACACAGGAGAATATACCTGTGTGTGTGGAGAGCAGAAGACCTCGGCTGTCTTGACAGTCCACGGTAAAAAAGCCATTCTGGGTTGTGATTCCAGTGTCTCCAGGACATCCCTTTTCTCTCTCTTTCCCACTTGCTTTGATGTTTTGATTCTGCAGCATTTTTTCTTGGTTTGCTGGTGGTGTTTCATCCTGTCTCCCACTGTCTGTCAGTTCAAAACTGGTGGCTTTATAGCAAAGTAAAGAAGAGTTATGAGAATTTTTCATCTTGGGCACTTAAAAGACATCAGCAGCAAGATTATTCTTAGAGGGCTGTCAGTGGATTTTGGTGCTTAACCGGGAGGAAAGTTCTTTAAAACTGCTGAGCTCAGTTAGTGAGAGGTTTTTCCATTCAAGAATGAATGACTGTCCTCCTCTTTTGCAGGACTTTGATATATCCTGCTGAGGATAAATTAAATATACCCCACCCCACAGCATTATTCTGCAGATCCTGACTTAGGGGGTAGTGGGACAGATTTTGTTCCCACAGATTTTGTCTCTGCTTTGGTGAACAATGATGAGCTCTGGTTGCCCCTCCAGAAGTAGTTCATGTACAATCCAATAGATAAAAGAACAGGTTTTATTTGAGATATATCTTNATATACTTATATATAATGAAATTACAGCTGGAGAATGAACACTTTGTAATCCTGGACAACCCTTGGAGTGTTTATTGGATTTTAGGTGGGAATGTTATTCTGCAGTGATTGGAGGCCTTGTTCAGTTTTCCTTGAGTGGGCTGATAAGGTGCTGATTAATGAGGAGGAATCGATTAATTCAATGAAAAAAAATCGAGTGCCAGCAATAAGTTTTAAATTTAGTTTTTTTGCTGTTTGAAAGGCAACATTGCATGTTGTTCTCTGCTATGCATTGTTGACAATGGGTTGTTTTCTCTGGAAAAGTTAAAGTGAGTTAAAACTGCAGTGTTAGTCTGCTTCTATGGCAAGGAAATGAAATGAATGCCAAACAGCCCAAGAATGTGGGATTAGAGGCAAGTTTTCTTCCTGGAAATGTAAATATTTCTGTTGCCCGGAGATAAAAAACACACTGTCTCCCCCGTGTCAGATCACAGCCTCATTTTTCACAAATACCTCGTTTATTTCAAAGAATATTTTTCTTTTTTTCAGAGTTTGAAAAGGTACCCAAATTTTTCCAACCTACAGAAATGAAAATAGATTATTATGTTTGTGGTTGGTGTTTTTCTTTTTTTTTGGTTTTTTTTTTTTTTTTGGGTTGGGTTGGTTTTTTTGGTTTTTTTTGGTGGGGTTTTTTTTTGTTTTTGTTTTGTTTTCTGAAGGAAAATGAAAGGTTTTATTTGCAAAAGACTAATATGTAATGTTGTAGTACCATAACCAGGCTTTGGTCTCCTGATTGATTGGATTTTTACAAATTAAAAAACATTAAGCTGGGAGGGATGAGATTTACATTGGCCAATTTAGCTATTGGTATCTACCTTAGGTTACTTCTATAAGATGTGTAGAAAGGTAAGCACTTCCAGGGAGTTTCTCTGTCCCACTGGTCTATTTTGGAATTAAATATTTGGTTTCTGGAGGTGTCTGTCACCTTCCAGAGGCTACAGAAACACCCTGAATGACCTATCTGAGCTATCTGTTTGACTTTTAGAGGACTTGTTCTACTGAGATCTGCTCTAGATGAGAGAAATTTGTATTGCACCTCAATTCATGCAGAATTAACTTTTCCACGTTCATGTAAAAGGTTGAAACTAATCAGCTACCATGGGAAAAGGCTTAGAAAAATTGTGCTTCAGTCTTATTGCTGTTTACTGGGAAGTGAGAGAGGTTTTATTTATGTTCCTCAACAGGAATATCGTCTTCTCAGTTTCTCCCAGATGTCAGTGGGTATTTAAACAACAATTTGTGGCATCACTGGTGCTTCCCAAGGACTTAATAGTCACAAACACCAAATTATTTGTCAGTAACCTTGACCTGCAGCTTTGATACAAGTAATCCTGGATGCAAACCTCATGGATTACTTGTGATCTGAGAATCCACACCTCTTCTGAAACATCTCAGATGGATTTTATGTGATCCTAGGGAAGCCCTGAGCCTTCACAAAGGAGCTGATTGATAGTGGAGAGTGTGAGGGAGAGGATGTGATCCTTCACTGTGAAACCTCCAAATCAGACAGGCCTGTAAAGTGGTGCAAAGGTGGGAAGAGCCTCAGGAATTCTTCCAAGTGCAACATCACCTGGTTGGGATTTGAAGCCAAGCTTGTTGTTCACAGGGCAGAAGAGACAGTGGCAGATGTGAGTGTGAGGCTGGAACAGCTAAAAGCAGTGCAGTTATTCCTGTCAGGGGTAATAATAACTTGGAGTTATTAATTAATATTATAATTTTGGAGTGATGGTTTGGGTCCTAAATCATCACCTAACATCTAGGTCAGAGTAATTAATGGAAATGAAGAAAACATGAAACTCTACTGAAAAGGGACTTCGTGTCTTTGCACTGAGATGTTTTCATCAAGTTGCCCAGAACAGCACCCAGAGAGGGGAAAGAATTGAAGCAGGAAAATCCTTCTTCTGACCTGGTTTTAGCTCTGTGCAGATTAAGTGTCTAAGTTCTCTGAGAATCATGTAATCCTGGAATGGTTTGGGTTGGAAGGGACCTTAAAGATGATCTTGTTCCAACCCCCAAGGAGAAAGCAGTGGGTCAGCAGAGGACAGGTATCTCTGCAGGAGATCCACCCAGCCTAAAAGGTAATCCAGAGAAAGGATAAATCACCTCCTGAATCTGTCTCCTAAAAATGGACAAAGCCAAGGAATGACACATGAGAGGAAGAAACCTTGTGCTCTCCCCCGTGGTAAAGGAGAACAGCAAACTTGCAAAGTGCAGCTTCTCCTGGGGAAGGGACTTGAATAAAACAAGATTGAGCTGAACCACTACCCCAAAAGAGGGAGTCTATGAAAACTAAGGACCTTGATCTTCTGCAGTAATCTCCCAAAAATCATAGACACTTAGTACGAGAGTGCCATTAGAACCTCTTCAAATGTGTATTTTGAACTAAAAAAAAAATCCAAATAATCTTTAATCCATCTACCTGAATCCCAGAATATAAAATGGAAAGTATGTTGATCCTGCCCTTGTTAACGAGCTCTTAGAGGAAAATGGGTGTTTGAATCCTTTGTTTCCAGTGCAAGTGGATTCAAATGTGTAAATTCATCAAATTTCTGATGAATCTCTCCAAGGAGGGAGATCACACCCCTACATTTGTCTAGGTAATTACTTTAGGCATCCAAATTTATCAGAGCAATGCACCCAAGGAGTATGATCAGGCAGGAGGTGCCATCCTGTTTGATAGGACAAGGGGTGATGGTTTTAAACTAAAAACCATTTAGATTAAAACCAGTTTAGATTATGTGTAAGGGAGAGTTTTTGTTACAATGAAAGTGGTTTAAAACACCATAAGAGGTTACCCAGAGAGGTGGTGGATGCTCCATCTCTGGAAACATTCAAGGCCAGGATGGATGGGGCTTGGAGCAATCTAATCTGGTTGAAGATGTCTCTGCTCATTGCAGGGGGGTTGGGTTTGATGACCTTCCAACCCAAACTCTCCTATGATTCCATGATCTAAAGGGTTGTTATCTAAGCTGAAGCAAAAGTTCTCTTCTTAGATGAGCCTTTAGTGCAATTCTCTGAGTTAGAACTGGGCTTATCTATAATCACCTCACAATTGCTCCTGCCTGTCCCGAGTCATTGCCCCAGCCTGAGGTTTAGGGGGAGCTCAAGTTTCTGTGCCTTAAAAATCACTTGTTCACCTGGGCAGGTTTGAGCAGGCACAGAAGGCTGTTAAAGGCACAGGCTGTGTTTAACCAGACCAGTGGATACCCTGTGTGGTATTTGGCACTTGGAATGCAGGATCAGAACATGCACTGGGATTAGAGGATTCAGGGTGAACAGAGAAAAGCATTTGGGTTGTTGGAACGGTCAACCTGAACCTCAGAGGGTGGAGTTGGGAGGACAAGCTGCTCACAGGGTTTATCCAGAGCACCAAGAAACAAACCAGCTTAAGGCTGAGGTCTGCTGTGCAAGGAAAGAGAAGACCTTGATGATGTAGTGAAGAAGAGGTGGTGGTTAAAGGTCCCAATTTTCTCTGTCTTTCTCTACACAAGGACGTTTTCTCAATATCCATTATACACAAAGGAAAGGTCTGTGTTGGCTTCAGTAGGACCTGGACCTCACCCATGGTGAACAATTCTCTGTTAGAAGAAAATCACATTGGTAATGTTCCACCACAGCCTCTTTCTTTTTCCCCTTCACAGAGAGGGGTGTGGGGTTGAAACACATGGATTCGGATCACCAGGAGATGTGAAGGAGTCAAGTCATAATGATGTCTACAACAAATTGCACCTTTGGAGCTTTCCTTTAGGGAACCTTTCTGTTAGAGTCACGTCAGAACAGGAGAATGCAAATATAGGAAAAAAAAAAAGGGAAAAAAATAGGAAAAAATAGGAAAAAATTCAGTAGTCATGTGACACTGAGTGTCCCAAACTAGAGGTAAAAGGGAAACAAAAGAAGAAGCTGTAGTTTTTCAACAGCCACAAATTAGGTGCATCTCAAATCAGTAGCTGACTTGCATATTCATAAGACAGCAGAATTCAGGAAAGATTTTTTTTTTTTCATTATCTAAAGGGAAAACACTTCAGTTGAGGTATTTTTCCAGTACGTTCTTTCCCTGCCCTAGCTCAGCTTAAAGCCTTAAATCCCAGGCTGTGACAGACCCTGTGGAGGAAGATCCCCAGGGACCCTGCCATGTACAGCTGTGCTTCCCCCTCTGTGTTTGCTCTGTGCTGGTTTTAAGTCTGTGTTCATGTTGGGTAAAAAATACATTGTGGGTTTGTTTTTTTTTTTAATCATGATAAATCAATACTGCTGGCTGTGACAGAAAGTGCTTTGCCACTGCTGTGTCCTCTGTGCTGTGTGTGAGTTGACCTCCTGAAGTTTTATGAGTTTTGTGCCAGTGGTCCAGCCCTGAGCACCCATCTGTGACACAGTTTGTGCCATTTATAGCAGTGCAGCGTCTGCCACTGATGTTAACAATGAAAGCAGTGATAGCAGCAATGTCTTCAACAGTGCAGACAGTGGTTAAAAGGAAAATAAACATATGGCCTCAATTTTTTTTTTTCTGCTGCTGTAAATTGCTGGCAGCCAGATGTGAGATGTCAGAATCTGTTTACTGTTTGCCAGTGCTTTTCCATTCCTGCAGTTTTCTATCTCAAGAACAAAGTCTGATACTAAAAGGGGGAGGATGATTGCCAGTCTCACGCATTTCCTTCAACATCTTTTTCAGAAAAGCCACTCCTTTTCAAGCAAGAGCTCCAAAACGAAGAGGCTAAAGAAGGAAAACAGGTCAAGCTGACCTGCGAGCTCAGCAAACCTGGTGCCCCAGTGAAGTGGATGAAGGGAGACACTGTCCTCCATGCCAGTGAGAAGTATGAATTTAAGCAGCATGGAACTGTGGCAGAGCTCATTATCCGAGACCTCAAATCCATGGATGCTGGGGAATACACCTGCAGCTCTGGGGAGCTCAAAACCACTGCCCGGGTGAAAGTGAACGGTGGGTAGAGTTAGAGACATTAAACACTTCCTTAATCGACTGCTTAATAGGTCTATTAAAAAAATATCACATAACACTTCATTTTTTTTATGTTAATGCCATCTTTAACACGTAGAATTTAAAGGTAATATTGCACACTTTTTATCACCTGTGTATATTTAATTCACGTTGTCTCACATTCTGTGTTGGGGGTTTTAAATCTGTAACTTCCAACTGGGCAAAAACTAATTAAGTGGAGTTCAGAGGACTATTTTTCTATACCCTACGTGCTGTATTTCCTGACCTATGAGCTGTTTTACATGGCTGGGGTTAAGAATGGAGTTACAGATGGAGACCAGTAGTGTTGGAGCACAGGAATGTGAAAACATAAATGCAGTCCATGAAAAATTGCAGGTGGCCAGGTGATTAATTTTTAGACCCCCAAACTCCCACAAACATCCTTTTTAAAGGCTCTCAGGTGCCATCTGCACTCCCCAATGGCCTTTAACAAATATAGTAGCTTTAGTAACATAGGAAAAGTAGTATGTGCTGGAGCAGAGAGTGGGAGAAATATAGGATATGAATATTATTTCAGAGCCCTGCAGGATCAGGGAATTCATTAGGTGATGATGCCCAGGGGATTCTGAAAGGGTCCTTACTAAAAATGAGGAATAATTTCCCCCATATTCCCAGGAATCCACAGTGAGATGATAACATCTGGGGGAGAGATTTATTCCTGCTCCCAGGCAGGATCATGTTGATGCCACACAGCCAAGGGAGGCTTAAGGGCTGCTCTGCTCACTTGGAAAAGGACTGGTTTTAAGAGGTGACAGCTCTCCTGGGGGCACTTGTCGTAGAGCCAGGTCAAGAGGGCATGTCCTAATCCCTGGATCTGTGTTCCAGCTGTGCCTGTCCTTTTTAAACAAGCCCTGGAGAACACGGATATGGAAGAAGGGAAATCCGTCTCCTTGCGCTGCGAACTCACAAAAGCCGATGCCACCGTGGTGTGGAAGAAGGGAGGAGCCACGCTCCAGGCAAGTGCCAAATATGAAATGAAGCAGAAGGGGACAGTGGCAGAGCTGGTGATTCATAATGCAGAGCCAGAAGATGCGGGAAGATACACCTGTGACACTGGAGACCAGCAGAGCACAGCCCAAGTCAAAATCCATGGTAGGAACGAGACACCTGCTTGTGACCATTTGTTGTTGTCCTTGCCATGGTCCTGCTACCTCCTGCACATTTAGAGTTCGGAAAAATAGGGATGAGTACAAACAAAAGGGTCTGTTGTGTTTTCTGGGATGGTAACTTCATGCTAAAGCATATCAAATATATCTGATAACAAAATATCTTCTTTTTCCTTATGAAATATCTCTTATCCTTTGGATAGAGACGACTGTCCAAGCTCTAAGCCAAGAGGTAAGAAGGGCCTCAGCTACACCTTTTATTAAAGAATATGCAGTTCTTTTCTCCACTTTCTCAACAAGTTTTTACTTGTCTGTGACCGCCAGCGTTTGGGCAGCAGAAGGGTAATTGCTTTGACATTCTAATTATTGGTAAATAGTTGCTCTCTTTTCATGTGGTCCAAAACTCTTGGTGTGTTATTGTAAATACAAATGGAGTCCTGGAAGTGCAGGTAGGTCAGAGCTCATTTGCTGTGCCTGCCAAGAGAATTTGTTTTGGCTTTGGGTCCCGTATGAGGTCACCGGATGGTGATGATGCTCCCAAAGTAAACTGAGAATGCTTCATTCCTCAGCTGCCTCTGTGCTCTTCAAGGAAGAGCTGAAGCCCGTGGAAGCTGTGGAAGGTGGGACAGCCACCCTGCAGTGCCAGCTGAGCAGAGAGGCCCCCGTGGAGTGGAGGAAGGGGCAAACTCTTCTCCGGCCAAGTAACAAGTACAAGATGAGGCAGGAGGGCACAGTGGCTGAGCTGCTGATCCATGATCTGGACCCAAAGGATGCTGGAGACTATTCATGTCTAGTGGGGAACCAAAAAACCACGGCAGCCTTGTCAGTGAATGGTAAAAAGGCAGAAATAACCTGTGAAACTCTGGAATGGTTTTGTCCACCTCTTCCCTCCTCCTCTCTGTACATTCCCTCACAGCACTCATCTCCATGTCCTGCTTGCACTGCTTTCATCCATCTTCTTTTTCATGTTGCCATGTCACTCCTGTCCCCAGTCTTCATCCTCAATCGGCTTTCATTATGCCCAGTGTTGGATATGTGTGTGTGTGTGTGTTGTCTTCTTACCTTTCCTCAAATGAAGAGAGCTGTCCTGCACGTGTGTTTTCCTGAATTAACATGGAAACATAAGATTCCTTGGGATTTTCTCTTAAGGAGGGTTTAATGATGAGGATGAGTTTGTCATTTACATGCATGATCCCAATCAAGACCATGAATCGATTCCCACAGAACAAGTTACTAGAGAATTTCTTTCACCATCCATGAAAAAAAAGACGGGATGTGCTTAAGGACAGAGGGTGTTGGAAGAAGGCTTGGGTGGATACACAACAAATAACGAGTGAGCCTCTGAGCAGAGATCTGAGTAGGGTGTCTTGGGTTGCAACCCCTTTCCCTTCTGCATCTCCCAGCCCTGCCAGTGCGTTTCAAAAAGGAGCTGAGGAACGAGGAGGCCACGGAGAGCGGGACGGCGACGCTGCAGTGCGAGCTGAGCCGGCCCGGGGGCTCGGTCCAGTGGAGCAGGGATGGGAAGGTGCTGGAGCCAAATGGAAAGTACAAAATGAGACGGGAAGGGCGCTTTGTTGAGCTGGTTATCCAAGACCTGGACTTGGCGGATGCCGGGAGCTACACCTGCACGTGTGGAGACCAGAAGACAACGGCTGCTCTGAGAGTGAATGGTAACTGTTCTACCCATGTTTCTCTTTAAGCCCCAAACACACCTTAAATTGCAGCGTTTTCTGGTCAGCCAAAGCTTGGTCAGTGTGGTTTTTTTAGAGGTTTCGTGTTCTTGGCTCTGTGGTACCAAAGAGTCATCCTGTTGGGGGATATTCCCTTGTGCTTTTTTTGCCTCGAGGCGGCACATCTATGATGTATATTGTTTTCTCTAATTTGTTTCTCTCTTCTCTAGGAGTTTTCACCCCCATTTCAACAATACACACCCAGAAATAATGCATTTTTGGTTAAATGTATACACTGAGCCCAGTAACTTACAGCACAGTCCAGTTCATTCCATTCCATTCCAGTGCTGATTCCCTCTCTGTTGGTATTGCATCCCTCAGCCTTGCCTGTCCTCTTCCAAGAAGAACTGACGAACAAGGAAGCTACAGAGGGGGAGGCAGTGACTTTGCACTGTAAACTGAGCAAATCGGCCCCAGTTGAGTGGAAAAAGGGGAATGTGGTCCTCAAGCCAAGTGAAAAATACAAAATAGAGCAGGAAGGCCCCTTTGCAGAGCTGAGGATCCAGGATTTGGGACTGGCAGATGCTGGTGATTACCACTGTGTGTGTGGAGACCAACAGACCACGGCTGCTTTGACAGTAAATGGTAAAAAAAGAATTTCTCAGCACGTGCCCAAGTAAACCTGTGTGATTCCAAGACCTCTTCCTCTTTTTCTTCTGCTTCCTCTGATCCCTGTATACTTCCTACCCTCCCCTCTGCTGATTAATCTTCCTCTCCTGTTTTCCTTCTCTCTCTTTTTCCTTTCACCTGATGCCCTCTTGATGTGCTGTTTGTCTTCCTGGGTGCTGAGTGAGCACAGGCCCCCAGCTCAACACAACCTCCCTAGTCCAGAATAGCTGCTTGTTTAGAAGTTTTCCCACGGGGATTGACCTAAAAGTGGGAATAATATTTACTTTTTCTGACTTACACTGTCACACTTGTTGCTCCTAAGGGGAACAAGTTTCCCTCAATATTTGCTGCTACACAAGGACAACCTTCATGAAAAATAGGCTTTTTTTTTTTTTTTTTTAATACTCCTGCTACTCCCAGCTCCATTTTGACCAATTTTGGCTTAGCTCTTCCAAAGCAAATACTTTATCTCTGCAGAACACTGACAGCATGTTTGTGACTGCTCTGCTTTAAGGGGCTCTATTTATTTCAGACAATGCCATAAATCAGGCACTTCTGTAGAGCTGCTGCTCTTCTCAAGGGAAACAAAATGCTCTGGGTCTCATATTGAAATGTGGCCTCTGATTTTATGGTATATAAAGGAAAGGATAGATGGCTTGGCAACTATTTTTTCAGATAGACTTGTTTTTAAAGAATGTTTTAAAGCATGAGGAAGAAAAAACAAAGTAAAAATCAAACTGAATTGTCTTTTGAAGCATTAGAGATTGGAGGAATGAAATCCTGGAGGAGATCAAGAAGGTCTTATGGCTTCTGGGAGATAAGAGAGTGATTAGATCTTGGGTCAGGCTTTCTCAGGGTTGATGCCATGTCCATGTTGCATTTACTCTGCAGTCCTGCCCGCTCTTTTCACCAAAGAACTGACAGACCAAGAAGCCACTGAAGGTAAAAGTGTCTCCCTGCACTGTGAGCTGAACAAGGCAGCTGCCAAGGTGGAGTGGAAGAAGGGATTCAAGACCCTCAAGCCAAGTGACAAGTACAAAATGAAACGGGAAGGTGTCACTGCTGAGCTCACAATCCAGAGCCTGGACACGGCGGACGCTGGGAATTACTCCTGCGTGTGTGGGGACCAGCAGACCATGGCAGTTTTGACAGTTCATGGTAAAACAAACAAAACAAGGCACACTCTGGAAGTAACTATCCTGTTTTCTCTGCTCATTTGCACAGGTCACACTCCCATCTCCTCCTTCTGCCAGAGCTTTATCCACAGTTCCATCAGCTGGAACGTGTGGCACAAGAGGGGTATCGGGATCTGAGCTCAGTGAGCCAACCAGGGTTGTTCCCACTCCTTTAATTAAGGATCCATCATTTTGCTTTTCCCTTGAAAGTTCCTTTATCAGACTCCCCGTTACGCTCAAGCCAAAAATTATCTTTCCTCAAAGGGGTTATGACTTAGGGATTTTTTTTTTTAAGGTCTCATAAAATTCCAAAAGGTGAGGTTGTTCCATGGAATCTTATGCCCACACTTCATTCCTGAGACAACAAGGTGATTTTACACTTACAGCCCAGTTGTCATGGCATTCAGTTGGTGTCCTCTGTAAAAGCCCAAATCTTCTAAGGGAGGGTAAAAGGGAGAGCTTTGATTTTAACTGAACCTGACATCTTTGAAAGGGTATGTCAGTTCAGGTGAAAATGCTTGTTTTCTCACCCTGTATTGAAATGAACAACTTCATTTCAAACTGACATTTAGAATGAAACTCCAGTGTTTCATTTTTATTTTTTTTTTTAGATGTGAAATGTCTCTTTGTTTGCTTGAGGATGTGAAAAGACAGCAAACATCCTCCCCTTACGGTTTAAAAAGTCATATAAGAAAACCATTTTTTTCCCCCAGAAATTTCAAACTAGTCTTTTTGCTTGAAATTTCACAGGAAAAAAAAAAAAAAGGCCTTTCTACTTCTGTTTGTATTGATTTATGACTCTAAGTACATGTTAAATACTTCTATGGATTGCTGGAAGCTTTAAATCCTTTCCTGGTAATGACATTTCTTTCCTAATACTGATTTCACGGAGACTCTCGAGAATCTGTGTTCTTGTATCAAAAAATCCCTTCAAGATAAGAGGGAAAATGGGAAGTTAAACATGATTTTAACTCTTTGGAGCGTTACATCTCACTGCTCATGTTGCTGTCCTTCAGCTCTGCCTGCATTTTTCAAAGAAGGGTTGAAGAACAGGGAGGCCACAGACGGTGGAACAGCCACCCTGCACTGCGAGCTCAGCAAGGTCGGGGTCCCCGTGGAGTGGAAAAAAGGGGACAAGACCCTCAAACCCAGTGAAAAGTTCAGGATGAGACAAGAAGACACGTCTGCAGAGCTGCTGATCCGAGATCTGGAGGTGGAAGACACAGGAGAATATACCTGTGTGTGTGGAGAGCAGAAGACCTCGGCTGTCTTGACAGTCCACGGTAAAAAAGCCATTCTGGGTTGTGATTCCAGTGTCTCCAGGACATCCCTTTTCTCTCTCTTTCCCACTTGCTTTGATGTTTTGATTCTGCAGCATTTTTTCTTGGTTTGCTGGTGGTGTTTCATCCTGTCTCCCACTGTCTGTCAGTTCAAAACTGGTGGCTTTATAGCAAAGTAAAGAAGAGTTATGAGAATTTTTCATCTTGGGCACTTAAAAGACGTCAGCAGCAAGATTATTCTTAGAGGGCTGTCAGTGGATTTTGGTGCTTAACCGGGAGGAAAGTTCTTTAAAACTGCTGAGCTCAGTTAGTGAGAGGTTTTTCCATTCAAGAATGAATGACTGTCCTCCTCTTTTGCAGGACTTTGATATATCCTGCTGAGGATAAATTAAATATACCCCACCCATCAGCATTATTCTGCAGATCCTGACTTAGGGGGTAGTGGGACAGATTTTGTTCCCACAGATTTTGTCTCTGCTTTGGTGAACAATGATGAACTCTGGTTGCCCCTCCAGAAGTAGTTCATGTACAATCCAATAGATAAAAGAACAGGTTTTATTTGAGATATATCTTAAGGAATAAGGTGGTTGTAAGGACAGGTGGAAAACTGTGGAGTCAAAACTCTTCTAGATTTTCTGCACACTTTTGCTTCCTCTTCCTTCTTCCACCTGGAGGTTATTTCTGTTCCTCCCCTTCTCTGACCCAGCACTTCCATCCCAGTGCAAGTCTCTTTGTTTTTACTTCAGTGACAAAAAGCAACTTAAATGCTGCTAAAAAAAGCCCTGTATCCCTGACATTAGAGACATTTATGTCCTTGGAAATTGTGGCTGAAAGGTGCACCTGAAGTTATGTTACTAATTTATTTTCTGAACCAAAAGGATAAGTTACGGTGTTAGGAAAGGGAGGGATCTCCAGATGGCAGTGCTGTCACCTGGGTTGAGGACTTCCAATCCAAAATCAGGTCTTTGATGTTCAAGATAGATGATTTCAGACTGAAATAGATGAGAGGACTACTGGAATCATCTGGGAAGAGATGAACATGCTGATAAATCAGTGTTAGAAGCAGGTCATGCAGTAACATCCCTGAGGGATCCTGCAGTAGTTTTCTAATAGATGCAGTTTTCCAGACTGTATGATTTGTCTTCCCATGTAACGGTGAAGGACCGGCCTCAGCACCTAGCTCTGAGTTCCTCAAGGTCTGGTTGATGGTTTTGATGCCCTCTCTGTTTATATCACACCCCATAGCTTTGCCTGCACTGTTCAAAAAGGATCTTGTCCCTGTGGAAGCCACGGAAAGCAGGGCGGCTGTTCTGCAGTGCGAGCTGACCAAACCCGCCCCAGTGGAGTGGAGGAAAGGGCAGGAGGTGCTCCAGCCTAGTGAGAAGTACAAAATGAGGCTGAAGGACACCGTTGCTGAGCTGACAATCCATGGCCTGGAGGAACAGGATGCAGGAGATTACACGTGTGTGTGTGGAGACAAGGCAACCACAGCTTCCCTGACAGTGCATGGTAAAATATCTGGGTTTAATAGGAGTTTTCTGTGTTGTCATCTGTGGTCTCATGGGGGATCACAATCTGGTCTTGGTCCCATCTATTAAATTGTTACAACAGCTGTACCAACCACTGGGAATATCTTCCACTAAAAGTCCTTCCCTTGGGATCGTGAATAACATCTTTTCAGTTCCTGCTCTTTCCTGTTGATGGAATCTGGAAGCAGACAATGAAGAGTTTGATGAAGTCATAAATAGCACTTGGATTATTTCCACTAATTAATTTCTTTAGGGCATATCACTGAGATTTCACTTGTTTTTTTCTGGAATGGAATTGAAAAGTTATGAAAGCATTGCAGCCTGTAATTTTAAATGACATAGTGTTCATTTTAATTATTAAGCTGGTTTTAAGAAAGAGCTGTGCATAGTTCCTTGAGATCTTGGGATCAGTTTTTTGTTGTTATATCCTAAACTGCCTTTAAAACATCCCTTCAAATACTGAAATTATAGTTTTACAACACTGATTTCCAAATCAGTGAGAGCTGGGAAGCTGACACTGGGGTGGTGCTCCATTTCATGCCCTGGATCATACCATAAAAAAAAAACCCTCTGACTTATGAATAAGGTGTTTTCCATCTGTCCAAAGTCAGTCTTTTATGATTCTTGGAGTTATTATTAATCAGTGTGACATGCTCAGTGTGATCCATGGCAAAGCACAAGGCAGGGGTGCCCCCCGAAATCATTCTTTGCTTCTCAGGTACTGTGTATTCTAAACCTTTATAGAGTAAAAGGTTTTAACTCAGTGGAGCAGTCAAGGCTCAGTTTTTCCCTCGATTTTTAAAGTGCTCTCTCTTCACCTGTGACCTTCAGCCCTCCCTCCACGTTTCAAAGAGGAGCTGAGGAACGTGGAAGGCACGGAAAAAGGCACGGCCACTTTCTGCTGCGAACTGAACAAGCCCGGCGCCGCCGTGGGGTGGAGGAAAGGAGACACAGCCCTGGGGGCAGGTGGCAAGTTCACCATGAGATGCCAGGGCACGATTGCTGAGCTGGTGATCCGTGATCTGGATCTGGCAGATGCTGGGGATTACACGTGCTGCTGTGGAGATCAGAGAACCACGGCCGCGCTGAGAGTGAACGGTAAAGAAAAAGGAAATACGTGACAAATTCAAAGGGGTTGTTTTCAAACAGTTATTTTTATAAGAGCTTGGTAGTGTCAGCTCTTAAACTTAACAGCCTTATTTCTGATGTATGTAGCAACATGTGCTTGGACATAAATGCCTGAATGCACTGGTCAGTACCGAGCACAGGTCAGGCGTTCAAGGCGAAAATCTGAGATATTCATCTTGGTATTAACTCACTTCTTTGGTGCTCATATTCAGTAGCAGGTGCTAAGAAATGGGAGATCATATTATTGTGATGGTGGTTGTAAAGATTCTAATCCAAAATCCTAAAGCTGAGAGGGTAATTTGTTGCCGAGATATTTTTGATGCAGTTTTCAGTGTTTCAGAATAACTTGAGGGTCCAGTTCTGCCTGACCACTGTCTGAGGAGGTACAGAATTCACAGAATAGTTTGTGTTGGAAGGGACATTTAAAGGTCCCTCATGGCCTCAAGGAAAAGAGAAGTTGATGCCTCAGATAAAGTTTCATTTGTGAACTTTTAAAGCAATTAATTGTACTCCAACAGAATGTAGATACTCTGGTCAGGCTTTGTTTTCCATTCTGGCAGGCAATATCCAAGGAGTGTAGGGCTCAGTCTTGCAGGTCTGGAGAAGCTGAGACTTGCTGTGGTTCTCCATTTCATGCCAAGGACTTTACCATAAAAAAACCCCTCCTCATATTGATGAATAAGGTGTTCTCCTGCTTTCCAAAGCCACTCTTTTATGTTTCTCAGAGGGCACATCAATCCTGCTTGATTAGGAAAGGCTTTGCTTGTCACATGTGGTTGACAGACCACAGCTAAGTGGTTGCTTGAATAGCTGCCATGGTCACACTTTGTGCTCATTTTGAACTCCTCAGCCTTGCCTGTGCACTTCAAGAAGGAGATGACAAACGAGGAAGCCACAGAAGGTGGAACAGCCACTCTGCAGTGTGAACTGTCCAGACCTGCCCCCGTGGAGTGGAAAAAGAAGCACAAGGTGCTCAAACCGAGTGAAAAATACACTGTGAGGCAGGAAGGCACCACAGCACAGCTGCTGATCCACGCTCTGGAGGTCAAGGATGCTGGGGAATACACCTGTGTGTGTGGAGAGGAGAAGACAACTGCAGCACTGACAGTGCATGGTAAAGGAAACAGAAGTGGGGGATTTTTGTGGCATGTTTCTCCCTTCTCCTCTGGAAGCCTCAGTCCTGACACGCAATGAGTTCTTTCCTTAACCTCACCATCATTAATTCTGTTGATAAGAGATTTTCTTCTTTTATTGTTGTTTTTATCTAATTCTCACTAGAATTACAGTTCCATTGACTATACTAATATTTTCCCTGTTTTCTTCTCCCTGCTCTTGTTGGTGCACAGCTTTGTACCACACCAAAGGCTGAAGATGCCACATCCTTGCTTTTTTTATTCTGTCTTACTCACTTTTAACTTGAGCTTAGAGAGGTGGAGCAGCAGGAGTATTCATACTTCTTGAAAAGGATGATTAGATTTCAAGCTGTATTAGGATTGGAGAAATAATTTTTGATTTTGGTTCAATGCAACTTTTCTATATAACTCTGACCTAGGATAATGTAGATTTGTATCCAGGTGTTGCAGAATACTCAGCATTATAGTGGAAGAATAATTCACAGTCTTCAGTCAAATTTATCTACAACTTTCCTTGGAAGAACGGGAAGCTTTATTTTTATTATTAACACAGGACAGTCAGAAGTATTTTCAGCCTCTTTCTCAGCTGGAAATTCAGTAGGTCTGAATTCAGGGAGATGATTTCTTTGCTTTACTGCCCAGACCTTTTCATCTTTGTATTTACCAATAACACAAGGATTGCTTCAGTCTTCAACTTCCAATATAACCATGGAAAATAGAGTTGGAAATGTCACTTAGTCCATCTTCAAGCCTGAGGTCACCATCATTCCAGCCAGAAAGTTTTTCTTAATTTCAGCAATAGTCTTTCTCGAGCTGGCTTGTCATTTTTCCTGTTTCAAATTTTATAAAAAAATGAGAAATACTTGGGTTTCTTTTTTTTTTTTTTTTTTTGAAACTTCCTCTTTTTGAAACTATTTTACAGGATTGAAAACTTTCCTCATGTCTCCATTCTGTCTTCTCCTTTCTGGGCTGAGAACCTTGAATCCTTTTAACCTTCCTTCATAGGCCATGTTTGCTAGACTTCAGCTCATCTTTGCTGCTTTCTGGACCACTTTCAGTTAATCCACATCTTTCTGGAAGTGTGGTGGCCGAAAGCAGAACTGCAGCTCTGCACCTGAGGCTTTGCCAGAGGGGAGCAGGATGGAAGGAACTCCTGTGTCTTGCATGGGACACTCTGTTTTATATATTCCAATTATGATTTCTTTATTTTCATCAGAGTTGCATTTTTCAACTTGCATTTTTTCCAGGATCTCTTGTAATCCCGAATCCCTTCGTGCCTGTTGTTCTCCTCCTTGTATTTGTGTTGTTGATCATCCCTAATTAGGATATTTTCCACCTGCTCTTGCTGAATTGCAGCCTGTTTTTCCACCACTCCTTCACTGAGGTTTTCTATGTCTTAATCCACTTTGACAAAGTGCTTTCACTGTCTCTTCTTTCCCGCCTTGGGATCATCTGCAAAATTAATGATAACTCTGCATTTCGTTGTCCAAGTCACTAAAGAAAATGCTGAATAATACTGGATTCCAGAGCACTGAGGAACTCGACTCATTCTGTCATTGTGAGTGTAAATCACAGTTGAATATTCTTTGACTGTAGTTTTCAAATTAGTGGCACATTCCTTCTGTAGTTCCATCTGTACCTGAGTTAAAGTAAGAGCTTTGCTAAATTAATAATGTACAGCATATACTGGGTCTTTCTGTCTGTGAAGCTTAATCTATGCCAAGAAAAAATTACACTGGTCCACTCCTTCAGGAAGAGAAAAGCTCTTGGCAAATCCAAGTTTTTCAAAGAATTAAGTTGAGATGTATGTAATTCCTTGGATCCTCTCTCTGCCACCTCTCTCTTTTTCCAAGAAGGTGAAGGGGATTCATCCTGTAGGTCAAGACTGATGAGTATTCCTAAATTCCCATTTTTGTCAGTGGAGATCTAGTCAGCACAGTCCATGGAAGACAGGGATGCATCCAGTTCACCTTATTTAGCAGACGTGTGGTCAGCAGATACCTCTGCTGACTCCACTGACTTCACCTGGATCTTCCTTGGCTGCCTGGGACTTTAGACTCCTGTTTTGCATGGTAAGAACCAAATGTGTGCATGTCAATGTGTGAGGCCTTTTTCCACCTCTTGGTTTCTGGTTTTTTCCTTACTTGTGGAATGTCATCCATTCATGCTCTTTGATTTCTCCAGTGTAAATGTTGATGTCTGATATTCACTGATCCTGTGCCTTCCATGACGAATTTCATCACCCCAAGGTGCCTTAAGAATAGTCAGACTATTTAAATATTCTCTAATCATATTTTTCTCATCCTAACCAGAATTCCCATTACTTTCCTCACTATCCTTTACCTTTAATATCAAAGAAGAAGGAACTAAACTCTTCAGCTTTCTCATGTCACTCACAATCAACTCACATTCCTGAAAGAGCGGTAAGCCAACATGGTTTAGTGGTGGCTTTGGCAGTGCTGGGTTAAAGGTTGGACTCACTGACCTTAGAGGGCTTTTCCAAACTAAATAATTCTATGATTCCATGATATCAACATCATTTTGCAGATCACTTTTAGCCCCTCTTTCATGCTGATCTTTTGTCCAGGAGGTGACAGAGATTGGGAATGGGGAACTGCTCTTGACCTTCTTGAGACACTCAGAGAACCTGCCCTTTCTGGGTTTGTCTCTACATTCAGCAGTATTTCTTTTGCACTCATCTAAACCTCCTGTGTTTTATAGTCCTCTTGAGTTTTGGGACATTGAAAAGTTTGTGCTTTAGATAGACTATTTCTGTTAATCCTCGGAGTGAATTACTCTCTAATTATGCTCTTAATATTGTTTGAGAAGTTTGTTTGAAGTTTTCCACTCTCTTACACTGTCTTGTCCTGTAAGTTGACATCTGCACGATCATAAGTAATAATTCTCAAATTATTGGAGCTTTTTCTCTTGTTACCCACAGAATTTTCTTTTGTTCTTCTCCATCATTACCTGTCCTAAAATCCATGAGCTTTCCTGCTTCGTAATCAATGTCTGCACAATTGTCCTCCCCATCCTTATTCTCAAATATTTATTTCTTGTTGGTCAGAGAATGAATTGGAGACCCTTCTCTCCTGTTCTTCATATCTATTCTATATCCAAATGTAGTTCCTGCCCCATTCCAAGGACTTACCAGGTGTTGTCCCAACCTGCTGCTCCCAGAGTACATATTAGCACATTACCATCCAACCTTACACTCTGAATTATTCTATTCATTGTTCCTAAAGGGATGGGGTTTTAGGATGCACCTGAACTTCCTGGTGTGAAGATTATGGCAGATCTCTGCACTGGAGACATCATCCTTTTCTTTTTTTTTATTGCTACCCAAGCACTTTGAAGAGATCTCTCTACTCTTCATCTTGTTCTAACTCTGGGTTATACCTATAGGCATCCTTAACACCTAAATTCAAACCTGATCAATTTTTCCTTTATTTTTTTTCATGGATGGATTTTCCACGCTGAATTACACTGAGGAAGTTACAGTTTTGACCATACATGAAGTTTGCCCACTCCTGCTGTTTATTTTCCATCCACCTCTAAACCAATCAGAAAACTTGCTTAAAATTTACTTTAAAAAAAAAGAAAATGATAGGACCCTTTTTTATCTGCAATACAAATTAGCATCTTCCTTGCGTGGGATGATCCTCACGTCAACAACCAGGCACGGATGGATAGATAGAAACACCAGGTTCATTTAGTTTGGTGGCCCAGAACTGCATGTCATGAAAACATTTGCTGCTCTGTTTCTCAGCCCTCCCTGCCCTCTTCAAAGAGGAACTGAGAGATGAGGAGGCCGAGGAGGGCGAAGCGGTGACTCTGCGCTGCGAGCTGACCAAACCCGCCCCGGTGGAGTGGAGAAAGGGACTCACGGTGCTCAGACCTAGTGAGAAGTACAAAATGAGGCAGAAGGATGTCACTGCAGAGCTGGTGATCCAGAGCCTGGCTGAGAGTGATGCTGGGGATTACACCTGTGTGTGTGGGGACAAGGAGTCCACAGCTGCCTTGGCAGTGCACGGTAATGCCCAATTCCACCTGGATGTCCTTGTTAACAAGTTTGAATTACTTTTATCACCCTGTTCATTGTCATCTGTGCATAGTTCCTGTGAGCCTGACTTTGCATTGAGCCGTCATGAGGATTAATTTTGTGATTTAGGGGTAAAACCTTCCAGCAATTCCATATACAAAGTGGGTTTAGGATCCCTAAAGCAGATGTGAGATCAAGCCTGAGGACAGCCCCCCACTGGTGCCCTCACCTTTCCTTCCCCTCAGCAGGAGGCTGTTTTTCTGCTCCATTTTAACCCTCTTCCCATTGCATCCTCAGTGCTGCCTGCAGGGATCAGGGAGAGCCTGAAGGACCAGGAGGTGACAGAGGGTCAAGGGGCCACTCTGTGCTGTGAGCTGACCAAGGCTGCCCCAGTGGAGTGGAGAAAGGGCAGCACTCTGCTCAGAGCCAGTGACAAGTACAAGATGAGGCAGGAGGGCACAGCCATGAAGCTGCTTATCCATGATGTGGAGCTGAAAGATGCTGGAGAATACACGTGTGTGTGTGGAGAGCAGGAGACAACAGCTGCCTTGATAGTGCATGGTAAAAAAAACCATATACAAATATCTGTATTATACTGTGCATTTCTTTGTCAGCTCACTGATATTGGTCGTGGCTGAATTGTTCCTTTACATTTGTAAGCTCTCTGTAAGATCTGGTTGTATCCAGGCTGCTTTTCTCCTCCTGTCTGTTGGTTTGTCCGATGTCCCAGAATGAAAACCTCTCACCCTAAAGTGTTGTCTGCCTCTGTACCACCCCATCCCTCCTGTAATCTGTGTGCCACGTGTCGTGTTTAACGTCCTCTGTCCACTTTGTGACCTTCAGCCCTGCCAGCACTTTTCAAAGAAGGCCTGAAGGACCTGCAAGCCCTGGAAAGCCAAACAGCCACTCTGCGCTGTGAGCTGTCCAAGGCTGCAGCTGTGGCGTGGAAGAAAGGGAATAAAATGCTCAGGGCAAGTGAAAAACACATCATGAGGCAGGAGAGTGGCCTTGCTGAGCTGGAAATCCGTGACCTGGAGCTGCAGGATGCAGGAGATTACACCTGTGTGTGTGGAGACCAGCACACCACGGCGTCTCTGGCAGTGAATGGTAAATGCAGATGAGCGTCCACTTTCTGTTCCTCTGTCTCTGGCTGTGTGAAGTGTCCACCCATCAGCTTTTCCTTAGGGATTAATTTGTGTGCAGGAAAGGAGAGCTTCTTGTCCTGACGTTTAATTTTGGTCTGATATTCCTGAAAAGGAAGCTGAGGATTTGGCTGTTTCTCCATGCAAACTCCAGTGTTGTAGGTTTAAGGGAATAAACACCTAGAGGAGACTCCTGTTAGACCAGCTGATTTGTCCTGTCCCTGTGATAAATTCTTTAAATTCCACCTTGTATGCATCCAGCCTGTTGTACCTTGACCTGTCAGCTCAGCACTTCTTTGTCTTACAGTCACTGCTGGATTCAGTTTTCCAGATCATCATAGCAATAACCTCAGCCTCAAAGTCCAAACCCCCTGATCTGGCCAGATTTGAACTTCATCATGCTGATGGCTTAGTTTAAACACGCTATTAACTTTCCATTCCCAGCCCTGCCAGTGCTTTTCAAGGAAGAACTGAAGAGTGAAGAAGCCCAGGAAGGAGCATCAGTCACTCTGAGTTGTGAATTAACCAAAGAAGCTCCAGTGAAGTGGAAAATTGGGCCCAAAGTGCTGAAAGCAAGTGACAAATATCAAATGAGACAGTCTGGCACCACTGCAGAGCTGGTCATTCATGACCTAGAAGTAAAAGATGCTGGAGATTACACCTGTGTGTGTGGTGACCAGAAGACAACAGCAACCTTGGCAGTTCATGGTAAAAAGACCTTATTAAAATTGATAAATAACTCTAGAGACAGGCATCATTCTGAAGTTCAGTTGTTTCTTCCCTGGGTTAGTAGCTTGTCTCTTTTTTTTTAATCCCTTTCTCTTCATTCTATTTATAACTCATTTCTTGCTGAGAGAGAGTCGCTCACGGCAAATTTTGGGGTCATTATTAATCTGTCCTTTGAAAAGAGAAAACAAGATGTTTCTTTCTGCCCAAATCCCCTCTTCTTGGATATTTACGTTTTCCAGCTCCAGCCCTGTGGTTCACTTCAGTCAACCCCAGTTTTCTCCAAAACACACAGGTATGGTCTGTCAGCACCTGCCCAGGAACCGGACAGAGGAGAAGTGAGGGTTAAATAAACCAACCCATAAATAAATCCTTTTGTTAATAACCTCATTACCTGATCTCTGCTCTCCTCCCATTGATGAATATCCATGTTAATGAAATAACAGTCCTTGACTTTGAGGAACTTGGTCAGAGGTTCAGTTCTGCCTCTCCAGATTCTTCCAAAAACAGGGATCTGGGCTTTCCTGAGACATGGACTTTTCCTGAGGCATTTGGGGTGTACCCCTTTACACAAGGCACTTTTGTGGGTAAATGTCAATAATTAGTTTTCCTGAAGGTTGCTTCCTGTAGGTTGTTCTGTCTTTGGGTTGTGATTCCAAAATGGGAAATAGCAAGAATCTGAAATTCTCGTTACATGTAATGGCCCTTCAAACTTCAATTTACAACTAGAACTAGTTTTATTTTTAAATCTGACTGCTTTCAGGTAGGTGGGGCTATAATATTTTAATTTAAAAAACCCCAGAAAATAACAATATCAGCCTCCAAGAAATGCTACTTGTGTGGGTAAAATAGTCCTGTGTGCAGCAGTGTTATTTATGAGTGCTGTTGATCTCAGATCTGGGTCTTTCTGTCTTCTTCTTTCACTGTGAATAACAACTGTCCCTTAGGGTGACTGAAATCACATCACACTTGAAGTAGGATGCTTTTGGAGTTTCTAAACTTGGTTATGCCTAAGCATGTCTATAATAGGCTGGGGGAAAAAAAAAGGCATAAGGGGAAATAATCTCAAGCGTGAAAAAGAAATTGGGATTTTAATTCTGGTTTTCTGCTGACCATCTGTCCGTGTTGCATCCTTCAGCTCTGCCCCCACTCTTTAAGGAAGAGCTCCAGGACAAGGAAGCAGGAGAAGGTGGAGAAGTCGCCCTGCACTGTGAGCTCACCAAGGCTGCTCCAGTGCAGTGGTGGAAGGACCAGAGGATGCTCAAAGCGAGCGAGAAATACAAAATGAGGCAGGAAGGGACCAAGGCAGAGCTGGTGATCCATGAAATAGCTGAGGAGGATGCAGGAGGCTACACCTGTGTGTGTGGGGAGCACCGGAGCACAGCTGTCCTGACAGTCCAGGGTAAAGCCATCCTGACCTCCTGTTTCCTGGCTGGAAGCCTCTGCCCTCTGCTATAACTGTTCAGTTTTACACACCTGTTTGTTCAACCTTATTAACTGAACTCCCATTCATTTGAAAATATTCCCTGCCCCTCCTCACCTGCAGGCTGTGCCAACTGGAAAATCCCAATCTGCCTTTCTCTGTCCCATCCTCTTGTCTTTTCCTTTCCTTAAACACATGCCTGCTGCTCTTTCATCTTTCCCTTCTGCCATTCCTTTCCCAACACACAAACCCACTATTCTTTGGTCTTTCCTTTCCTGCATTTATTCTCCAAAACACAAATCTGTTTATTCTTTGCCATTCCTTTCTGGCATTCTCAATACTGACCATTGTAATATGGGGAAAAAGAAGTGTTAGTTAGTTACAATTTCTTCTGTACTGAGCTATGCTTATATTGGGCTTTGTGCCCATAACCTCTGTCCTCATGCACAGATTTCCATTGGGAGACTAATTTCCTAAGGCTGTAGATCTCCTGCCAGCTTTGTTTTGTTGGAAGAACCACTTGCTGTGAAAACAAAACTGGTGTTTCAGCTTCAGAGTGCTGGAGATGGGAAATGTGCCAAATCTGGTTTAATCCCGTTTTCTATCTTGGATATTTTAACTTAGTCTCTCTGCTGGGGACACTAAGTTTTTTAGATCTGAGGTATCCAACCTTGTCAAACAGGTGGAATGTCCCATCATCCCACTTACTTAATAGAGGGACATATGTGAAGGTCACCACATTTATTTCAAGGACATGACTTGCAATGGGTTACAGGAACTATGTTCAGTGAGGAAAAACATGTTCTGAGACAAGAACACAGGCTGGGATTCAGCATCTGGAGATTTTCTTTGGGGTCAGGAAGAACCTTTGAGTTCCTGGATGAACCTTTTCAAGGATAGCTCGAGGAAGAACATGAGGATGAGTGAGGAGCTGTGCCAACACTCAGAACACAGTAGAACAGCTGAATAAGTAGGAAAAGAGAGCACGAAGATGTGAAGTGTGTGGGAGACACCAACAAATGGGAACTAAGGAGCTCAGAGATGATATTCTTGGTTTTTCTCTCATGGACATTGGTAGAAAGCATATTGTTGAGGACAGGGCAGTTTTGCTAGTAGGAAGCCAGCATAAACCCCAAAGGATTAGGATGTATATTCCCACTAGGATATTTTCACTTCTCTTCCCTCTCTTCTTTGCTGATGCTCGACCTTCCATAACTTTCAGACCTTCCCCCACTGTCAGTTCCTCACCCATCCCTGGAGACGTCCTCAGTCTGTAACACTTTTTACCTGCATCCTTCAGCTGTGCCTCCATTTTTCCAAGAAGAAATGACCAGCAAGGAAGCAGTAGAAGGTGGAATGGCCACTTTTCAGTGTGAGCTCAGCAAGGCATCTGCCCCTGTGCAGTGGAAGAAGGGCCACCACGTCCTCACCTCGGGCAAGAAGCACAGCATGAGGCAGGAAGGCCGTGTTGTGGAGCTGATGGTTCATGACTTGGACCTGGATGACAGTGGAGATTATACCTGTGTGTGTGGAGACAAGAGCACCACAGCTGCCTTAACAGTGCATGGTAAAGTAACCCTTGGGATGGTTCTCCAAACCTTAGAGCTGCCCAAGCCTCTGTTGTTATGGTCTGTTCCCATTCCCTTTCTGTTTGCTTGGGTTTTCCCGTTCCTTTGGACTTTATGTGCTTCCTCCTTGTGTCAGAATTGGGATAAGAGTTCCCTGTTGGTGTTTGTCCCCCTCAACTGTGTTGGTTCATCTCACCTTCTCAGTGTCCAGGGAAGTTGGGGGAGATTTTCCATTGTGTCCCACTGACCTGCATCAGGGCTCAGCATTTCACCATCCATCCATCCATCCTCTCCCACGGGACTTTTGCTTTTTAAGGAATATTCACACTCTCTGTGGTACCCTTTTACTCTTCAGCACTGCCTCCAGAATTCAAGAGAGGCCTGAAGGACCTTGAGGCCGTGGAAAATGGCACAGCTGCTCTGCACTGCGAGCTGACTAAACCTGCCCTGGTGGAGTGGAAGAAAGGGCAGGAGGTGCTCAAGGCAAGCAGCAAGTATAAAATGAGTCAAGAAGGTGCTGTTGCAAAGCTGATTATCCGTGAGCTGGATGTGGAGGATGCTGGAGATTACACCTGTGTGTGTGGAGATCAGCAGACAACTGCCACTCTGACAGTCAACGGTAAAAACAAAGGAAAAAAGCCACAAGGTTTTCTGAAATTAAAAATAAGAACAGTGGTTTAGTGTTGCTGAAGGAAAAGACCTGATTTGCAAATCGTGAGGTGTGCAGGATAGTGTGGTTTTGTACAGTCTCAGAGACAGGCAGAAAATGGGAATTGAGATGCAAAACAGTGCATTTTTCAGCATGTTACTTTCAGGATAATCATAATCTCTCCTGCAAGTGGCATGCCCTAAGAGGGAATTTGAACTCCTAAAATTCCCTGCCTTAAGAGGGAATTTGAACTCCTAAAATTCCCTGCCTTAACAGGGAATTTGAACTCCTAAAATTCCCTGCCTTAACAGGGAATCTGAACTCTTGCAATTCCCTGCCCTTAGAGGGAGTCTGAGCTCTCAAAATTCCCTGCTTTAAGAGGGAATATGAACTCCTAGAATTCCCTGCCTTAAGAGGGAGTCTGAGCTCTTACAACTCCCTGCTGACCTTCAGAACACCTTCAGTGATCAGGGCAATGTGTTGGCTACTTTTGGAGTAGGAAAACAACTGTGCCATTTTTAGATCACAGATTAGATTAAGCTTCCGTACACTTCATGGCAAAATGTAACTTCTTGAAATCCATTTCTTCTTGTTCTGTAGATGTTCCTATTTCATCTCTGGGGAAATAGCCTTGTACTTTGAGTGTAGGATATAGAGGTTTAGAGATATCAGCAAAACAAGCTCTTTTGGTGCTTTCATTTTCTTTCAACTCCCTCTTTCCCAAGCCCCAACTGCGGAATGTTGCAAGTAATTTTTTCTGTTTTATAGCCCTACCAGCACTTTTTAAACGAGAGCTCCAGGACACCGAGGCAGAGGAAGGTGGCACAGCCACCCTGAGGTGTGAGCTGACCAAAGCCAAGGCTCCAGTGGAGTGGAGGAAAGGGGATGTCACCCTCTACCCTGGTTTGAAATACGAGATGAAGCAGCAGGGCTGCACTGCTGAACTGGCCATTTCTGACCTAGAACTGGATGATTCAGGAATATACACCTGTGACTCTGGACACCAGCAGACAACAGCTGTGGTGACTGTACATGGTAGGCACAGTGTTGACCCTTGGCTCAACAAACGTGGAGTGGAAGGAGGTTCTCTTGGTGTTCTCTACTTGCTTTGCTGCTGGTCCCTGCCAGAATAAATGTTCTTCTTTGGCACGACAAATGGTCAGGTTAGAAAGGTTGTTCTTGCAGTATCTTGAGTGATTAATGAGCATCAAAGCTTATTAGAATCATAGAATGGCTTGGGTTGGAAGGGACCTCAAAGATCATCTCATTCCAACCCCTTGCCATGGGCAGGAACACCTTCCACTAGACCAGGTTGCTCAGAGCCCTGTCCAACCTGGCCTTGGACATTGTCATGATGTCAAAATATGCTGAACTCTCCTCCCCTGAGTACAGGGAGTGTGGCTGGGTATGGGAATGGCATAAGGGATGATAAGAGAGGCAACAGTTAGGGGATAAAGGATTTCTCTGACAGATGACTGTGCTCTATTATTACTGAAGGCTTTGAACTTCAGGTGTAAATGTTCCTCCACCCCTTCTTCTACCATTCAGAGCAAGACCTTACCTGAAATCTGAATTTCCTCTCCCATTTATCAGTTAATGTGTTTTGAATACCAGTTTGATCACTATATGTTTATACAAGCTCTATTTGGGTGAAAAAATACTCTGCTTAGTATTGCAAACTCAGAGACCTCTCTTAAGGAACAAGGGTTGGTGTGAGAGAGAGCGTGTCCCAGGGATCTTTGCCTAAAGCACCTGTAGTTGACATGGAGACACTTCCATGTGAAAGTCTGGCTCCTTCAGGCCACAAACCACTCTCTAAAATCAGATCTTTCCTCACTTCACCGCCAGTCCTCAGCTCTTGGTTCACATGATGGTTCAAGAAAGATGCTGCCGAGACAGAGAGTTGCAGCCCAAGGATTATGGAATCATTTCTGAAGAATGATGGTAGGATTGTGTCCTTCTTGGGCTAAAACACTCTTGAAACGTTTCCCTCTCAAATTTTGCAGCACTGCCTGTCACATTTAAGCAACCCCTGCAGAATCAGGAATCCGAGGAGGGAAGCACAGCCACGTTCTGCTGTGAGCTGTCGAAACCCAAAGCTGCTGTGGAGTGGAGGAAAGGAGGAGTGGGGCTGCAGCCCAGCCAGAAATATGAAATGAGGCAGAGGGAATGCCTGGTAGAGCTCTTGATACATAACCTCAAATTAGAAGATACAGGAGAGTACAGCTGTGACACTGGGGCTGAGGAAACCAAGGCAGCTTTAAACGTGAAAGGTACGTGGGCTGAGCTGACTCCTAAAGCAGCAGATCCCATTCAATGTGCAAAGCAGCAGTTTCAGTGTGAATATTTTTAAATATATTATTCTTTTTCTCTATAAATATTTTCTTTTTCACCTGACATACTGAGATTTTATTTTGTTCTAATGAGAATGGAAGAGGATGATACTTTGTTCTTCTGGTGCTGCATTTGAGCTTTGGGTTCTAATAAAGAAATATTTTCCAGCTCTGTGGCCAACAAGAAATTAAAGAAAGAACAATAATTTAACATAACATCTGCATATTTCACTTGACACGTTGTTTAAATATTTTTAAAAAGTATTTTCTTCCAAATCCTGTAAGAAGACAGGCAACGAACGACCTTCCTGATCTGTCAAGGCTGCTCATGGAATTTTGAATTTCTAGCTCTTGAGATCACTGTTAGACCAACTGAAGGATAAATTCACTCAAAGAATTCAACCCTGGGAAGGATTTGAGTCAAGAAACAAAGGAAATAAAGGCAATAAATGTTATGGGTTCTTCTGATGTAGCAAGACCTAGTAGCTCCAGGCAAATTAGAAAACATGGATCCTGCCCAGGAATGTCTCACTTGAAAAGCAGAGTATCTTCTCTGGAGTGTCAGTCTGTGTCAACCAGGACTTGACTCAGGCTTCAATAAAAGCTTCTTTGTTTGTCTCCTTTAGCTCTGCCAGTTCTTTTCAAAAAGCAGCTCAAAGATGAGGAGGCAGAAGAAGGAGCTGCGGTGAAATTCCAGTGTGAGCTGACGAAGGATAACGCAGCAGTGGAGTGGAGGAAAGGCACCATGGAACTCTTCCCGTGTGCCAAATATGACATTAAATTAAGTGGTTGCACGGCTGAACTTGTGATTCACAGTGTGGAGCCAGAGGATGCTTCTGATTACACATGTGACACGGGAGACCAGCAGAGCACTGCAGTCCTCAGAGTGCATGGTTAGCGTTGCATCAGACTGGAACAGAGGAGAGAAGGCATTTGTGGAAATGTGTGAATGGTGTTATTTAATTTACTGGTGAATATGAATCCTTCTAAAAGTTAGGAGATTGAGGAAAACTGCTGTCCAGACATAAACAGAGCACAGAGAAGTGGATCTTGTGGGACAGGGTTCCTATTTCAGCCTGTAAAGCACAGTGTGCAGTGCACTGACAGCTTTCTCTGATGTGACAAAAGCAAGAAACTCTGAATCATGGGGACCTTTATATTCCAATAGATCTTTATTTCTAGCACTTTGCATTCATTCCTGGCTCACTTGAATCAAAAACAAATCATGCATCATTTAAAAAAGCATTTTAAGTTTAATTATATTTAATCTTCCCATGAAGACCCTGAGAATGCTGTGTTTAACTAAACCAGGAATGATGACTGTGATTGATCACAGAATTACAGCATGGCTAAAGTTAGGAGGGACCACAGCAGGTCATTTGGTCCAACCTCCCTGCTCAGGCAGGGCCATCCCAGCACCATCTGTGAAATGTTTGTGGTCATCTCAAACAGTTGGGTGGAACCTGTGGCTTTGATCTAAACCACAACCTTTCAAACTACATCCTCTGGCTGAACCTGACCCACGAAGCAGCCACAGGGTCAGCTCTGAGTGAGAGAGCCTGTGACTGCTTTCCATGTCTCACAGCAGGGTTTAGACAGAGGAATCACAAGCACTGAGATTCCAGTTTCCCCAGTTGCTCACACACACCCACAGGATATTCCCTTCTGGTTTCCATCCGTTGTCTGAGCAGATCCACATCCTCTTGATTAAATATGCATTTGTGCATCATCTGGAAAGACTCACTGGTGCTGGTCCAGGGTCTTGAAAAGATAACTGAGAAACCAAAAAAGAGTTTAAAGCTTTACATCATTTAGGTGTTGGAAATCATGAGTATTTCTATAAAAATGAAGAAATTTATGCCTGTTTTAATCAGAAAGTAGCAGGTTTTGCTTAGTCAAAATCTTTCTGTGTGTGTAAGTTTTCAGTCTCCAGAACAGGTGCATAAAAGGTTTTGATGTGGACGCCCTTGACTTTAAGGGAAACATATCTGGGGAAGTTTCTGATCCTCTCTTTGTTTGGGTGTACACAATATAAGACTCTTTGTGGGCAAAAAAAAAGGTGGTTTTATTATCATATAACCCCCTAATGCAAAATTGCCCCGCAGCGTCAGAGCCCGGGCGCTTGTGCTGAGCTGTGCATTCCAGGGAACAGATCCCGTGTTATTTATCTCTTCCTCACTTTGCAGCCACCAAACCCCGGCTGAGGCAGCAGCTGAAGGACGAAGAGGTGGAAGTGGGGGGGACAGCCAGGCTGCGCTGCGAGATCTCCATCAGCAAGGCAGAGGTGGAGTGGAGGAAGGACGGAGCTGTCCTGCACCCCAGCTCCAAGTACGAGATGTGGCAGGACGGGACCCTCCGGGAGCTCCGCGTTCACCGCCTGGAGCCTGGAGATGCCGGGGAGTATTCCTGCAAGGCTGGAGATGAGATGACCTCTGCCAAACTGACAGTGAAAGGCAAGAACTGTTTGTTGGGGCGAGGAGGTTTTCACTTGAGGAGGCTAAGGTTTCACCACGTCATCATTATTACTGTGAGGAACGCAGAGCACAGGAAGGGTGTCCTAAAAAAAATCTGGTGGTCATTGGATGTGCCGAAGCAAAGATTGACGTGGTGGACAGGGGAGGATGAAGCAGCTGTGATTTGTGACTCATAGCTTGAAATATTTGCTTGACATCATATGCAGGGGGGTGAACAGATGGTCCATCCCCAGCTTCCAGTCACACGGCAGCTGCATCTGGCCTGAATGCCATCGCAGAGCTTGGACCACTAGTGTGGAACAAACACTGCCAGCATCTCTACAGGCTGCTCCATGTTGTAGATCCTCTGCACATTACACCCAGCTGCACCATTTGTCGTGCAGATGGTGACCTCAGTTGTAGGAATATCTGCTGTGTTTGCTCGCATGAAGATTTCACTGCTTTCTTTGATGGTTGGACTCAACAATCCTAGAGGTGTTTTCCAACCTTAAGGATTCTATGATTCCTTTAGTATTCCCCAGCAGATTTGGGGTACATATATATTTGGGGGTATGTTGGGGGCTGTCTTTGTGATCTTTGCACAGATCTGCAGGAGTTCAGCTGTCCTAGAAGCAGGACTCAAGCCAACTGTGCTTACATTAATCCAGTGAGTCCTGCTGAGAGGACAAAGCCATCCAGCTCCTCAAGACATTTGGAGCATCAACATGGAGTAAACGCAATTCTGTTTGCAAAAATATGATAAAAAGGATCAGGTTTTAATGTTACTCGATGAAGATATCTAAGTTCAAGTGTAACAAATTTCAAAACCCTCATTTTGGCATCTGGCATTCATGCCTTGTTCACCCAGTTAGTGTCAAACATTAAATTAAAAAATCAATATGTAATGTATCTCTGAGAAAGGACAAGTGATAAAACCACTGTTTGAAAGTTAATTGCCCTTTTACCAAGTACACTGAAAGCCGAATTTGGGATGTGATTTGAGAGGCTGTGCTGTTTCCATCCTTGGAGATACTTGAAGCTCAGCTGGACAAGATGCTGAGCAGCCTGCTGTGAGTCGGCCCTGCCTTGAGCAGTGGTTGGACCAAGTGACCTCCATAAGTCCCCTGTAACCTGTTTCATTAACGATTCGATGATCTGATCCGTGTTTTCCCTTCCATTCCCCGCTCCTGACTGTTTGCAGAGCCCGACGTGACCATCGTGAGCGGCCTGAAGGACACGGAGGTGTTCGAGGGGGACGACGTCACGTTCCGGTGCCAGGTTTCCCACGAGAACGCCAGGGATGTGGAATGGAAGCTGCAGGATGTCGCCCTGCAAAACAACGAGATGAACGAGATCTCGGTGGAAAAAGGGAAGGTCCACACCCTGACCCTGAGGAAGGTGACGGAGCAGGACATTGGCACCGTCACCTTCCGGGTGGGATGTCACACGTCCACGGCAGAGCTCACGGTGAAAGGTAAAGGCTCTGCGTGGGGGTGGGACAGGGTCAATGAGGACAGCTGATGTTTTGCTTATGCTGACAGTAAATTCACGTCCATAATTCACCCCTGTTTAGGTCATGTTAGTGCTTCAGAGCACACGTGATGTACTGGTGTGGTCTCATAGACTGCAATCACCATGGATAGACAGTGAATATGTCACCAGGGTCCTGAAGCTAGCTGGTTCCTAAAGAAACTCCTGTGTTTGCCTCAGGAGTTGGATTGAAAAACCTGGAATTTTCACTGCTTTCATTCTCCTTTTTAGAAACATAGAATGATTTGGGTTTGAAGGGACCTTTAAAGGTCATCTAGCCCAACCCTCCTGCACTGAGCAGGGACATCTTCAACAGATCAGGTTGCTCAGACCTTTTTTTTCCTTCTTTGGTGTCTTTCTTTCTCCAAACATCATTTATTTGGAGAAATTCTCCACCCAACATCCTTTTCTTTGAAGCTGGTTTTAACCCCTCAGTAGAAATTGAAGTTTGGTTTTGGTTTTTTTTTTTTTTTTTAATAATGCTTAACCATTCAGCTGTGGCTTTAACACCACAGGGAAAAGAGACAAAGACGCCTGGAAATGCCTTTGCTGTGTTTGTAATTTCAGTGCCACCTCCCGTATTTAAGGAGAAACTGCAGAGCCTGGAACTGCAGGAGGAAGACACAGCCGTGCTCAGGTGCCAGGTCTCCCAGCCCAACGCTCAGGTGAAGTGGAAGAAGGGCACTCAGGTGATCTCCCCAAGCTCCAAGTATGAAATCAGGCAGGAAGGAACAGTCCACACCTTAAAGATTTTTCACTTAAACGCAGAAGACTCTGGCAAATACACCTGTGATAATGGAAACGAACAAACGACAGCCACTGTAACTGTTAAAGGTGGGTTGTTTTAAGATGAGAAACTTGCTCCACTTCCTCAGTTTGGCTCCACCAAGAGGGTTCTATCGACTCTCCTTGACTTCAGATGTCCTTTGCTGGCATAAAGCAGATGAGACCTTTTGTTTTGGTTAAGTCCTGTGGTGTCCTGAGCAAAGAAAATGGAGGGACCCAAAGTGCAGTAACTACTTCCAGAATCTGAGACCCAAGGGCCTCTTTCTGGTCACTCAGAAAACCAAGGCTGGAGCTAAAATAAGACCATTTTTGATGTCTCAGCATCCCTTGAGCTGTAGTTCTATCTCAGAAAATGATGCTCAAGCATGACAGTGTTCCAACTTGGACACTCAGCTCCAGTTGACAAGCAGCATTTCTAGTGCCAAGGGTCTGAAGATAGGTGTGATGTGGCAATATATCAGTTTTTCCAAATCTAATCAGATATAAATACAGCACTGAGGTGACTTTTCTGAGATACCAGATCAGCAGAAGCAAAGAGGATCCAGAGTGTTATTGTGAATTACTGTCTTTTGGAATATCCCTTGAGGATTCTCCTGTTAAGGATACTCACCTGCTTGCTATCACACTAATGCCAGGATTTGGTGAGACCAGAATATCAGTGCTCTGAGCAGATCCTCTGGTGGTGGTTGCCTGTTTGTGTCTCTGTGTGTGCCCTCAACCACTCCAGCACTCCTTGAAAAAAATTCCAAACCCAGGAAGCTGAGGAAGGCTCTACAGTCACCCTCCAGCCTTGATCCAGTCATTCCCCATCCATCTCACAAAATACACCACCCATTCCTACATCACCTGCAAGGACTGTCAGATCTCTCTCCTTTTATAAGTGTCTGACACCCAGTTCCTGTGAATTCCCTCTTTTTCCTGGAGCCCAAGCTCCTCCCCTTGTAAATAACAACTCATAAATGTGGAGCCACTGAGGTAATTCCAGGCAACTGTACTCAAGGAGCTAAACACGTGGGACATCATAAATCAACCCATCAAAACTCCGTCGTGACCCATCAGAGACAACATCAGTGCAGAGGCTTCCAGGGTTCATTTCTCTGCTGGGTCCAGTTTTCAAAAAAAGGGGCATCATATAAAGATGTTTCTCCCAGATACCCAAGAACTTAGGCCAGGAGTTGTGGCTTTGGTACCCATCTGGAGAGACATGCACTTAGATTCTCAAGACTCTGTATCCATGACCATTCCAGTGTAAGAAGGAGCATAATCCTAGAGGTGCTTGGTGTGTACAGTGTCCAGTGACTCTCCAGGAGTGCAGAGTGCTTAGAGCTCCTGGAAACCCAGCACTTTCTGTCATTCCTTGTTTCAGTTTTGAAGTAATTTTGGAATTGAGCTTGAACCAAATTTGGAATGGCACCAGAGCTTCATTTAACAAAAGTCTTAGTGACACAGCTATTGAAACATAATTTTTTTTCCCCTCTGATTTCTCCTGGTTCAGCTTTGCCTGTAACCTTCACACAACCACTGCAGAACCAACAGGCTGAAGAAGGTGGTACCATCACTTTGAGCTGTGAGGTGTCGAGGTCAACCACCACAGTGCAGTGGAAGAAGGGCGGGACTGTGCTGAGACCAAGTGACAAATACAAGATGCGTCAGGCCGGGCCCGTGGCTGAGCTGACCATCCACAACCTGAGTGGAGCTGATGCTGGGGAATACACCTGTGACACAGGGGACCAGCAAACCACAGCTGTGGTGCACCTGAAAGGTGGGGCTTTGGGTGTGGGAGAGCTGAGCAGAGCTTGGTATCACAGCAGGGGCGTGTTTATTTAATAATCTGGCAGCTAAACGTTGTCCTGTGCCCAAACTGAATCGTGGGGATGCCAGAGATGAGTGATTTCAGAGGGATAAGAACTGGGTCAGTTATCTCTGGGGAATCAGAAATAGGTCTTTAGTCACTGATTATGATAAAGGCACCCACTGAAATTTGTTGACAATGCTTTCCCAATATATAGATTGAGTTATAAATATATATTTTATGCACTCATTACGACAGAACCACAGAATATTCTGAGTTGGAAGGGACCCACAAGGATCACAGAGTCCAGCTCTTAAGTGAATGGCTCATAGAGGGATCAAATGCATGACCTTGATGTTATTAGCACCATGCTCTGACCAACTGAGCTAATCTCAGGGTCCTTATATATTTATCATATACATAATACAGTATAAGATGCATACTTTTTAGACTATGTGTGCAAAATATATATGCAGATTTATATGTACATAAGTCATGGATCTGTAAGGTTGTAACATGTTACTACAATGCCTGTGTACCTACATTTCCATGAATTTAGAATCCTAGAGCCACAGAATGGTTTGGGTTGGAAGGAACCTTGAAGAACATTTAATTCCAACACCCCTGCCACGGGTAGGGATACCACCCACTAGATCAGGTTGCTCAGGGCCTCATCCAGCCTTTCCTTGAACACTTCCAGGGATGGGGCATCCACAATTTCTCTGGGCAACCTGTGCCAGGGCCTCCCCCCCCTCACAGGGAAGAATTTCTTTCTAACATCTAATCTAAACCTGTCCTCTTTTGGTTTAAAACCACTGCCCCTTGTCCTGTCACTACCTGCCCATATAAAAAGTCCCTCTCCCTCCTTTTCATGAGCCCCCTTAAGGTCTTAGAAGGCAATGAGGTCTCCTCAGAGCCTTCTCTTCTCCAGGCTGAACACCACCAGATTTAGCATTTAGGGCTTCAAATAACGATAGCATAGTCCTATCAAGGAAGAGCAGAACTAAATGTTTAACCCAGGAAACATCACTTGAAAGTAGACACCAAACTCTGTTGACCTTTCCATAAAGAACCAGCAGTGGCCATAGTGGAGATGCTGAAGGACGTCACCTTGTACGAAGGGGAGGACGCGGTGTTCGAGTGCAGGCTGTCCCGGGAAACAACCCAGGATGCCAAGTGGTTCCTGGGGGATGTGCCCCTGCAATCCAACGAGATGAATGAGATCAGAGTCCAGGGGACACGTCACAGTCTGATCCTGAGGAAGGTGACCCTGGAGGACTGCGGGTCCATCAGCTTCAAAGTCGGGGAGCACACGTCAGCAGCACAGCTGAAGGTCCAAGGTGAGCAATGCCAGAGGGAGAGGGACTGGGCAGATGCTGGTACACTTGCTTTGGCTTCTGGAGAGGTGTATTTGGGATTAGGGGTCCTTGGAAATTTTGGGATATTCTGCTAACCTAATTTAGGCATTTAAGAGTTAGATATGTACATCTGAGCTGGTCGTTTCGGTAATTTTTATTGTCCGTGGATGAAGATTAATATTAACATCCTTTGGAGACCACCCAACTAAGCAGCCAATCATATGTTGGAATCAATGCTGAAAGATGTCAGTAATATGCTCTGAATTAATCTCCTACTCATGATGTTTTTAGATCATATTTACTGAAAAAAATGTCTGAAAATTTAAAAAAACCCTTTCTATTAAGTCACATAGAATGATTTGGAAAGATGATCCATGGCAATATTGCAGGTTCCTCTCTGATCTGGTGCAAAGTATAACCATAGACCCCCAACTCTGATCTGGGGGTGAGGTGGATCAGGCTGTTGCAGAACTGATGGTTCCCTCTTCCCCACAGCTGCTCCGGTCATCTTTGTGAAGGCACTCCAGAACCTGGAGCTGCAGGAGGGTGGCACAGCTCACCTGTCCTGTGAGGTGTCCAAGCCTGACGTCCCCGTGGAGTGGAAGAAAGGCACGTCTGTGATCCACTCCAGCCAGAAGTGCAGCATCAAGCAGGAGGGGAAGGTGCACACGCTGGTGATCCGCGATCTGAACCGCGCGGACGCGGGCGAGTACAGCTGCCAGACAGCTGATGGGAGGACCGTGGCCAGGCTGGAAGTTAAAGGTATGGTTTCCTCTCTGTTCAGCAGTGGTGAAAGGAGGACACATCAATTTTAAGAGCTCTCTAGTGCAAGAGAGACAATGATTAGTGGAACAAGTGCAGTAGAGGCCAACAAGTTTCTCAGGGGGCCGGAGAACATGAAATATGGGGGACAAATTTTTATCGGGGCCTGTTGTGATAAGAAAAAAGGTGATGGATATAAACTGAAAGAAAGACAATTTAGATTAGATATAAGACAGATGTTTTTCACAATGAGGGTGGTGAAGCCCTGGCGCAGGTTGCCCAGAGAAGCTGTGGCTGTCCTGTCCCTGGAAACATTCAAGGCCAGGTTGGATGGGCTTGGAGCAACCTGGTCTAGTGGAAGGTGTCCCTGCCCATGGCAGGGGGTTGGAATGGGTTGGTCTTTAAGGTCCCTTTCAATTTAAACCATTCTAGGATTCTAAGTAAAAGGAGGGGTAAGGGTGGCTGCATTTGTTAAGAGTGGGGAAGAGAAGGTTGAAGGGGGGACTTCTTTGCTGTCTGCAGCTTCTTAATGGAGGCCTACAGAGGAAAGAGAGAATTTTCTTGGAATGCTCAGTAAACAGATGACAGGAAACAGTTGAAAGCTGCAGCAAGAGAAATTAATTTTAGAAAAAAAACAACCTTTCACAATGAAGGGGTGGTCAGACATTGGAACAGACACCCAGAGGGGTGGAGGAATCTCCATCCATGGAGGACCTCCAGAGGTCCCTTCAGCCTTAATTATTCTGTAATTGATCCCTGGTTGCATGATCTGATGCCTCACGTCTGCAGATGTGTGTTCTTTGAATGATTTTATCCTCTCCTGTGATTTTTATTTCAAGGATGAAAAGCTATCTGGCCTTCTGAAATAATTACTGAAATTAATTGGGAACTCTTTGTGAAAAGAAGGCTGGGATATGGGGACAGAAATGTAGCTCATATAGAACTCAATTTTTTCCTGCTGATTAACTCCCCTTCCTCCTCCTCATCCTCCTCTGTCTAGCTCAGGCCTAGTCATCCCTGTTCCTGGCAGCTCCCCTTAGGTAAATGCAGCCAGAGTCATGCATGAACTTCATGAATGGCACTATCAGTACCTTAAAAATCAAACATTCCTATTTTTTCTATTTTTGCTTCACCCATATTTTTTTTTCCCCTCTTTGCACCATTCCCCCCCCCCCCTCAAGGCCTCCCCGTGCTGTTCAAGCACTGGCTGAAGAACGAGGAGGTGGAGGAAGGTCGCACGGCCCTGTTGTTCTGTGAGCTGACAAAGCCCAACGCGCACGTGGAGTGGAGGAAAGGGGACACTGTTCTGCAGGCAGGTGACAAGTACGAGATCCGGCAGGAGGGGACACGTGTGGAGCTCCTCATCTACGATGCTGAGGCTCAGGATGCTGGGGAGTACACGTGTGACTCGGGGGATCAGCAGACCACGGCGTCGCTGCAAGTCAAAGGTAGGAGAAGGATTTTTTTGGAGGCAGGGAAGTCGTGGCTGTGACTGTTCTCCACAGGGGTGATCGTGGAATCATCTGGGGCAGGCTGGACAGGGCTCTGAGCAACCTGGTCTAGTAGATGGTTTCCTGCCCATGGGGTTGGAATGAGATGATCTTTAAGGTCCCTTCTGACCCAAACCATTCTGTGATTTAGGTTGGAAAAGACCTCTGTTGAGTTAACCCAACCATTAACCCAACACTGCTAAGTCCACCACTAAACCATGTCCCCAAATGTCAAATCCACACAGAACTTTTGTCACCGAATTGCCATCAACACTGTATCTCTGAGTTACAACTGCAGGAAAGGGTCTGATTTGCAATCTGTCCTCCAGAGAAGAATTTAGTGCCTTTTAAACCCAGTTCTAATTCTGCAGTTGCAGTTTTCATCTCGCTGTGACAGCTGGGAACAAAACTGCAGCTGCTGCTAGGGAAGGGTATGTACAAGAGCAGTTAGAGAATTTGCCTACTACCTGTCAAGAAAATGAGGATATTTCACCATATTTAGAATAAACTCATTTTAAATGGAGCCCTTGTACCTACTAGTGCCTGAGCAGCCCAACAGTTGTGGCTCTTGGCCTTTTTCTAGTGGCTTTGTTTTTGGATTTTATACTAAGAGTTCTATGTCTTTTGACTTGAACATCAAGACTATATTTTTTAGATCTTGAGTTTGGTCACCATAACCCACTCCTGCTCACTGTGAGGTTTCAATGCCCAAAGTCTTATGTCCCAGCTGAAGGAACTGGGGTTTTTTTAACCTGGAGAAAAGCAGGCTCAGGGGAGATGTTATCACTCTCTACAACTACATGAAAGGATGTTGTCATGAGGTAGAGGTTGGTCTCTTCTCCCAAGTTAAAAGCAATAAGACAAGAGGAAATGGCCCCAAGATGCACCAGGGGGGGTTAGACTGGATCTAAGGAAAAAATTCTTCACTGGAAGGGTGGTCAGGCATTGGAACAGGCTGCCCAGGGAAGAGGTGGAGTCACCATCCCTGGAAATATTTAAAGGACGTGTTATGTGGCACTTGGGACATGGTTTAGGAGTGGCCTCGACAGTGCTGGGTTGATGGTTGGACTTGAAGATCTTAAAGGTCTTTTCCAACCTAAACGATTCTCGTTCTCAGTGCTGTGATTAGCACTGTCGTGCCTCTATCTGCTTACACTGAAAATGGTGGCTATGCCCATGTGGAGACCTTTAGAGCCCCTGTGACCTCTAACAACCCTTTATGGAGCAGCAGTGGACACCCTCCCAGCATCAGCAGCTGATCCCTTGAGCCTCTGGCTGTGGCACAGCTCAGGGTGTGGCTCAGAACGAGGGGAACAGCCAAGCTGGAGAAGTTACAAGCGAGTTCCTCACCTCTGAGAGCTGTCACTGATGCAGTTGCTTCTCCACCACAGTACTGCCATTGCTGTTTAACAAAGAGCTGAGAAACGTAGAGACTGAAGAAGGGGGAACGGCTGTTTTGCACTGTGAGATCTCCAGGCCGGACGCCCCCGTTGAGTGGAGGAAAGGAGGGGTGGTCATTGAGCCCAGTGACAAGTACGAGATGAAGCTGAAGGGCAGCATAGCTGAGCTGATCATCCATGGTGTAGAGCCTGATGACTGTGGGGATTATACCTGCAGCACTGGATACGAGATCACCACGGGTTCTGTGTACGTGCAAGGTAAGGGGAAGCGTGATGGAAATGCTCCCGTTTGGCTGCCTGGATTTCTGGCTCCAAAGTCTTTGAGAGTAACTGGACAAAATGGTCTCAGATGCAAACAGCTGAAAGGCCATTCGTTTCTTTCCTGATTCCAGTGAAGATATAAACACTCACCTCCAGGCTGAGGTTGGACCAATGTTTTTAAGTAAAACTAGTTCAAAGTGCTGTGCACTGGTGGTACTGCTGAAAAACTGCTTGCTTGGAGCAGTGGTCGTAAAAAACACTGACATTCTTGTTATAACTGATTTCAGCCTCTATCTTTGTTATTCTTATTACTCTTTTAAAGCACTCAAGTGAACATTTAAATCTTAAGCTACATCTCTGCCTCCTACAATGCCACCGCAGACGGCTGCAATGCACAGGCATGACCTGGTCATGGAGTGGAGTTTCCTCCCAGTGAAATGGTGCTTGCAGAGACACACACTGCTCCTGGAAGCAGGTGGAGGATGGAAGGTGGTTTCTGACTCCCTTCAAGAAAATTTTAGCTCTTTTTTATTTTTTCCCCCTGGAACAATGCTACAAGTTTAACTCTCCAAGGATGACTCACACTTGTGTTAGTTCTGCAGGGAGCCACGTGTGTGTGTGTGTGTGTTTATGCTCTCGTTTTCCTTTGGCACCTTCTCTTGCTCTGTCGTGCAGAAGAAGCAGCAGTGGTAGTTTCTGGTTTAAGGAACACAGACGTCTTTGTGGGTGAGTCAGCCACGTTCACCTGCGAGCTCTCGCACCCGGGCGTGAGGAACGTGCAGTGGTGGCTCGATGGGACCCCCCTCCACAACAACCTGGTGACTGAAATCTCTGAGCAGGACGGGAGGATCCACACTCTGACCCTAAATGACGTGGCCTGCCACGACTCAGGCACTGTCACCTTCAGGGCTGGGTCCCTTATATCTTCAGCTAAATTATTAGTCAAAGGTATTTCCTTGTTGGAAAGAAACACACGGCCACCTCTGGACCTGCTCCGTGTGCTGATGCTTCTGCCTTCCAGGCTACCCTTACTAAATCCCTTCACAGCTCTTCTGTGCCCTGCAACCCTCCACTTCTGCAAGTCACCAATACCCAACCCAGAAGTCTTACAGGTACAACCACGTCGATTTTTGCAGTGGTTCAGGTGAGGAAGGGTTGCAGGCTCAGGGCTGCTGCTTTCACCTGATGTCAAAGAAGAGATGAACATAAACAGCTGTAGTAGCACCTGACTTTGTATCCCCACTTCAACTCTTTTGAATAATACCCCAAAATCTTGTGGAGCTGGTAATTCACAAAATTATCACAGTCAGGCTACTGCTGCTCAGCTCATCCTGTTCCCAGGACAAGACTTTGAGCTGTCCCTGTAAAGCAAAGGATGTATGACATTGTAGGAACACAGTGACAAAATGAGCCTCGTTTGTTGAATAGTCATCACTGCCCTAACAGAGCTTTCTGGTCTGTTAAATAACTATTTTTCTCATTTGGTAAGGGTAGCCACAAGCTGCAAATAACACCGAGCTCCAGACTTGATAAAGCAAGTTCCCTCCCAGTCAGTCCTTTTACAACCATGGGGAAAAACTGCTATTTTTCAGACAAAATTAATGTTTGTTCCTTGCTTGGAGAAAGGATTTGTATATACAGAGATATAAAGGGTTAAAAGATCCTTATTTAAATCTACCCCAAGAGGAGCAATCCACAATATGGAATTGTAGTCAGTGGTTGATGTCTCCTCTGTATAGTCTCTTGTACATTCAGAAAATTTGAATCTCTACAAAGATAAAATGCCAAAGCACTTCTTCCTGATCTCAGAATGGTGCAGCAACAACAGAGTGTGCAAACCCCACACATCTTGTGTCTGCCTATTTCAATTTGAGTTTCAGGTTTTCAGAAACAGAACCTGGTTATGAACTCTCTAGGGAACAAATGCCAGTGGGTCTAATACATAAATTAAAAATAAATGCATCACTAGGTGTCCTGCTCAGTCAAATAAAAGGCTCCTGAGAAGTTTCCACTTCACAGAATCACAGTATATTTGATATTGGAAAGGACCCTTGGAGATCATCTACAGATGCTACTACACATAGGAATGGGGATATTTTTTGCTGCTGTGAAGGAAAGATTTCTTTATTGTGAGCTTGAATCACAGTAGCATATAATTATAATTGTATTAACAGACACTTTCAGGCCCTTTTTGTCCATAAATTTAAAAGTAGATCCGTCTTTGGACTGTATTTCAGTCTACCTGGCTATCCATGGCTTGTCCTTCATCAAGGAGCAAATCAACTTTCTCTCTATTCCATGTGCCTCGTTCTCCTGCTTTAAGGCATGCTGGTAACTGGATATATTCCATAAAAAGTGAGGTCTCAGCCCTTCTTATTGGGCCTCTACCATATCATTGTCCTACAACTGCACTCGTTCAGTGGCCCAGTGTGACAACATCTTCATGTTTGGGAGGTGGGGAGAATGGGAAAGGGTGAAGGAGCTGCTGCCTTCTTCTGACCCCTTTGGGCAGGTGAGAATTACAGGTCCTGGTGCCCACATTGGCTCCCAAGTCCCAGGGAGCTTTCTGCCGTTCTGCACGGGTGAATAGGGGCACCAAGGTCCTTTCCCAGCGGTGGCAAAGAGGGAAGGGGCAGTGGATCCAGGACATTTCCCTTCTCCAGTGCCACAGGTGATATTTGCTGTGAGAGGTCTTATGAAAGGAGATGGTGTTGTGCTCCTCATCTGCACAGATCCCTTCTTCCTTCTTCAGTCCTGGTGTCACCAAAACATCTCCATGGTCTTCCATCCAGGCCTCCTCTCCATAAACACACCTGCAGACACAGGGAGTGGCAGAGGGAACCCCAGGGAGTGGGATCAAGCCTTGCTACAAAGTTCCCAAAAGATGTTTGCAAAACTGCCTTTGCTTCCCAAGGTCTGCTTGTAGCATCCCAAATCCTCAACCTCATGCACCGGTTTCAGGAGGAGCATTCCCAGACTGAGGCCCTGTGTAGTTTATTCCTGCTGGCTTGTGATCAGAACAACTCTTTGAAAGATAAGGGCATACCAAAGAATCATAGAATGTCCTGAGCTGGAAGGGACCCACAAGGATTATCGAGCCCAATTCCTGATGGTGTATCAGCTTTCTCTGGCTGTCCCTTTGTAGCCCTATCAATTTTTTTTGGAAGTTGACATAATTCTGCTGAGAATGATGTTGCAAAGAGACTTCCACTTTCAGACTTCATTGAGGTTTTTCTTTTCAGCATGAGTGGTCCAACCTGAAAACTCAGGAGGGACTCCTTGACTACTCTGGAAGCTCATAATGTTTTAGATTAGATATATCTACAGTGCCCTACAGCTGCCTGACAAGAAACAAAACCACTATTTTAAAAGAAAGAATGGATGCTCAAAAGCAGCCTCATGGATCTCATGTTCTTCATAGGAGCTGCATATCCAGCAACATTTTATAAGCTCTCAGTCTGAGATGTCAGTGGTTCATGGTGCATCTCTAGATGAGCTGCTGTAAAGGAAATCATATTGTTTTTCCCCCATCTGTGTGTCTGCTGCAGAGGAACACGTGGCTAATCAAAACAATGTGTACCTGCCCCTGTGGAATGCCCTTTTTTGTCACAGTTATCCTGGATCTTTGCTCCTCACACTGCCAGTGACTCCTGACAGCCCAGGACAGGAATGGGTGTTTGCATTAGAGGACTGGGTTTCTTTCCCATGGGTAGTTGCAGTTTGCTCATACAAGGAACCTCCAGTAGAGTTTGGGATGTGTTGCTATTTCTCTGTGAGGCTGAGAGTTACAGGGAACCACTCCCAGCATCCCACCCACTGCTCTCTCCTCTGTTTTACCCTTGTGCTCCACCTCCGGGAGGCAGAACTCTTTCACACCCAGTGCTTCCCAGTCTGGGAGATCTCAGGGATGCTGGGAGAAAAACTAAGCCCAGAGGGAATTCCCCCAGATGTTCTGCTCAGAAGTCCACATTCAGGAGTTTTAAAGCACGAACCTTAATTGCTGGTGGCCCGTTTTCCAGTGTGGTGGTCATGTCCTAACATACCAGTTTGGCTTCAACCCTGCTTGATGCTGACACAAGCACAGACTAAACTGCTAGTTCCCAGCTCGCACTGATGCTCTGCCTGCTCCTCACGAGCTCCGTGCTTGTCAAAAAACTCTCCAAGTTGCCATTTCCATGGGGATCCGCTAATGCATGTCCTTCCTGACGTGTTGGTTAACAGATCCCACCATTGAAGTGGTCAGTCCCATGCAGGACATAACTGTTGATGAAGATGGCCCAGCAGAGTTCATATGCCAGTATTCTAGGCCAGTGCACGCCATCTGGAAGAAAAATGATCAGGAAATACATGCAGATGGGCAGCGAGTGATTATCGATCAGGACTGGAATGTGAGCATGCTAAAAATTAACCCTACGGTCCCAGAAGACACTGGCATCTATTCTTGTGAAGCTGGAGGCACTAAAGTGATGGCTACACTTGATGTTCAAGGTGAGGCCTTCCAGCCAAAGAAGGGAGACTGTCATGGTTTCCAAATAAAAGAGGTAGAAAAATCATGGCAGCACTTCGGAACACATCAGATACCTGCTCTTGGTGTTCACTCCAGTACTGATAATAAACTGGGAATTGGTGGGAATTGCATATGAAAATGCAGCATTAGCTCAGTTCTAATTAACTCTCACTTGTGACACCACTCACCTGTTGCACCTCTTCTGCAAAGAACTGGAACATTGGTGTGATGGTTTGTGTCCTGCTGAATTATTGTGAAACCACAGATGTAATCTTTGTCCAAAGGAATAATAAGAATTTTTTTTGCTCTTAAATAGCACTTTTTACACCCAGTGTGCCTTAAAACCAGTAAATAATGGATAGCATGGAATACTGTTTGATTTCTGCTGAGCTAAGGTAATTTACTTTTTCAAATAGTGATCCTTCTCACTTGGCATCAGCATTTGGGAAGGCCCCAAGGAACAGTAAATAAAAACATTAAAACTAAATTTAGGATTTTCCATGGATGTCTTATTTTTTTTTTCTGCTGCATATGGAATTACTGTGTTTGCTTTACCAAGTGAATTACTGTGATCAGCAAGAGCAGTGTTTCTGATTTATGAATATTTGTGGCTGTTTTGCCTTCTTGCTTAACTGGAGCTGTTAGTGCAGAAGAACAGGGTGTTATTTATTGTAATGTTTTCTGCATCTATAAGCACTTTCCATTTTAGGGATTTAAAAGGATTTTAATGAATAAAAGCATCCCAGAGGAGGTAGACTTAGCAATTGGCTGCTTTCCCTAATTAGGGAAACCAGCGCTTCAAAAGATAACCAACTTGGATTTGTTCTAAGAAAATGATACATTCTGCAAGAAGGATTTTCAAACACCTCATTGTTCTCCATAAATATGAATATTATAAAATACAGGATTTTTTTACTATCGTAGAATCCTAGAGTGGTTTGGGTTGGAAGGGACCTTAAAGATCATCCAGTTCCACCCCTCTGCCATGGGCAGGGACGCCTTCCACTAATCCCAGGTTGCTCCAAGCTCCATCCAACCTGGCTTTGAACACTTCCAGGGATGGGGAGCCCACACACAGTCTCTCTGGGCAACTTGTAATTAGCAATAAGCTAATCAATAGCTAGTAACTTTCTTTTCCTTTTTACTATTAAATTAATTGTTGAGTTTGTTGGTATTTTTTAAATTTTATTTATTTTAACTAATTTTTTTTTTGCTTAGCACACTTCCAGATAATGGCTGTAGGAACCTAAACAGGAATGTCTGTTGGGTTATATCACAGATCATTCTGACCATTCGATGGTATTTGTGTGAACTGTATTTACTCAGCTGTGTGTCCCCACCCCTGTGCACGTCACTTGTCCCTGTAGCTGCTGCAATACAGGTTATATCCCTCACACCAGCCCACATTTAATTTTGCATCAGGCTGATTGTTCATGTCCAGGTGCCAACTGATGCATGACCGCGTAGGAAAATGGAGTTTGGAGGTTTTTGCATGTTTCTGACCTCACAATTCACCCCACAAGTGTGGGAAAATCAACCTAATTGTCACAAGGCTTTTGTGATAATTCAGAAATTTCTGTTCAAAGTACCCTTAATACAGATTTTAACTTTCTGTGTGTTTCCTAGAGGCAGAATTAGCTCGGATGACAGTCACTTTAGCTTTGCCAGCCATAATATTCTCTTATATTCGCTTTGCAAGAAAAGAAGTAAGATTTTACCATGAGCTGTCAGTGGATTCTCAAGTTATGACAATAATCATGCTGTCTGGGAGATCTTTGGGAAATGTTTCCTGCCGTGGGACAGAAGGAATTTGGTTCTACTTTGTCTTCCTGAGCTATCCCTTCCTAACAATTGTTGGCCTGTTTTATACAAACACCACTTTTTTTCTTAATTTGTGAAGAAAGGTCAGGTATTTGGAGGAAAGACAGATGAAATACTAGAGGTCCTGGAGTTTTATTGTTATTTTTAAACTGTCTCACTACTTTAAATCTTTTTAATTTTAGTTAGAGTGTGGTTGAAGTCAATTAAACCTACGAGCACACTTTACCACATCCATGTTTTTCCATCAGCTTTCCAGCAGTGGGAATCATCCAGCTCTCCGAGGCTTGTTAACATTCAGATAAGCATGGCCAAATAATTAATGCTGTTCATTGTCCTTCTTTTCCAGCCAAGAACAGCATCATCCAGGGCTTGGAGAACGTGGAAGCCGTGGAAGGAGGGGAGGCCCTGTTCGAGTGTTACCTCTCCAAGCCCGAGACCTACAATTACAACTGGCTGATTGACGACGAACCTGCCAAGACCACAGAGAACACCGAGATGGTTTACTTTGAAAATGGGCTCAGGCACATCCTGCTGCTGAAGAACCTCACCCCCCAGGACAGCTGCAGGGTGACTTTCATGTGCAGCGACGCGGTGACCTCGGCCTTCCTGACGGTGAAAGGTAACTCGAGCGCTCGGGCGTGGGGGAGTCCTCAACTTCTGCTTGGAAAGAGGAGAGGAACCAGGAGGATGTGATGAGTAGCAGGGAGGAAAAGCTGCATTTGTTGCCTGCTTCTTACTTATAATCTTCTTCCTGCACAATAAATCATAGAATCGTTAAGGTTGGAAAGGATCTCTTGGATCGTTGAGTCCAACCGTTAACCCAACGCTGCCAAGCAAGCACTAAACCAAAGAATCACAGAACCATAAAATCAAAGAATGGTTTGGGTTGGAAGGGACCTTAAAGATCACCTAGTTTTAACCCCCTTGCCATGGGCAGGGACACCTTCCACTATCCCACGTTGCTCCAACCTGACCTTGGACACTTCCAGGGATGGAGTAGCCACAACTTCTCTGGGCAACCTGTACCAGGGCCTCCCCACCCTCACAGGGAAGAATTTCTTACTAATATCCAATCCAAATCTACTCTCTTTCAGTTGAAACCCTTTCCTCTTTGTTCTATCACTACAGGCTCTTATAAAAAGTCTCTCTCCATTTTTCTTGTAGCTCCTTTCAAGTACTGGAAGGCCTCAGTTAAGTGTCATCCCGAAACCTTCTCTCTGCCAGGCTGAACAAACCCAATTCTCTCTTCCTTTAATGGATGATATTTCACAGTTTTCATATTTTCTTGTTCTGTAAGATATGACATGGTTAAAAGCAACCACACCTGGCACTGAGTGAGCAGCAAATGACTGTCTCACAGCTGTCATTATTCTGATGAGTTGGGTTGTATTTATTTGTTCTCCAGGGCTCTAGAGATGAAAGTTGTATCAACAATGATATTATCTCTGTGTCCTTGTACTTTATGCTATTACTGGAGACTCCTGTGGGGATCAGGACCCCTTTCAGAGTACAGAAACAGCCATCAGTCTCCAGTTTTGAGTTGGATGAGGCTTTGAACTTGGTCTAGTGGGAGATGTCCTTGCCCATGGCAGGGGGGTTGAAATGAGACGATCTTTAAAGTCCCTCCCAACTTAAACCATTCTGTGATTTTATACCTTCTGTTCTGGTGATAACCATAACTTCCCTTTTAAGGACCTCCTTGGTCTCCAAGGCCTGACTGCCCAGAGCTTCAACATAAATATTCCCAGCATCTCTTGATTGTTTCTGTAACAGGGACCTTGATTCCCGATTTTAATCTACAGGATGGCGCCTGCAGTTCTTGCAGCCTCTCAAGGATGTGGAAGTCTCTGTGGGGGAGAAAGCCACATTTAGCTGTGTTCTGAGTGAAGCTGTGCCCATTAATGAAGTGGCCTGGTATAGCAATGACGTAGAGATCCAGTTGGGTGAGGACTGGGAGGTACAAGCAGATGGAAACAAATACAAACTTATTCTGAAAAAAGCCCAGCTGCACCATTCTGGAGAGGTGACCTTTGCTTCCAGGGAAGCAATTTCATCAGCCAAGCTTTCTGTGATAGGTAAGTGTCTGTTGTTCCAACCCGGTGGCACCTGGAATCTCAAAATCTGGTATTGAGCTACTGCATTGAAATTTCTGATCTTTGCTCCAGTTCTTTTCCCTTTGCCTCGCACGTCCCAAAATGGTGTTCTTAGTCTGAGAAGATGCTGCTGGGCAACCTGTTCTTTGACCAGAAATAGTCTACCTCATCAGGCTGGTGATGGTAGAGATGTTCACCGACTTTCTTTAGCTGCAATCTTTTGTAAAATGTAATGTAAGCTCCAACGAAAATCAATTTTCTCAGAGTGCAACATCACCCTCAGCAACTGTGGGTGTAGGAGGGATCTGAACTGGAGTTCATGTGGAAAAATTATCCAGGATAGCAAAGAAGTCTTTGTAATCTGTTAATCAACTCAAGAGCAGGGCAACCATTTTTCCAGAGTAATGAGTTCCATATTAAAACCTCCATGTGTGGGACATCCATGAAACACACACCTTGTTTTCTGACAGATTGAAATTTTCTTTATCTTATTTTGGGCACTATACAATCCTCATGAACTCTTCCTGTTGACAGATTTTTCTGTATGAAATTTAGCTGACAATAGAGGAAAAAAAAGCTTTTTTATGTAATTTTTATTGTGTCCAGAGTTAAAGAACTGGCTGTTGACCACATTTGCCTGGTACATTGTGGCAGGTAATTTAAATGGTAAATGTCTTGAACTTGAAAACTAAAACAATTATTTCTGTCTTCCAAGCCAAAGTATAATTTAATTATAATTTAATTTCCAGTGTACTGAGTATGGGGGTTGGAACTGGGTGATCTTCAAGGTCCCTTCCAGCCCAAACCATTCTATGATCATCAGTAATCCATCTGGTAGGGCACTAGATCCTTCCAATTACATATTTATTTGTTATTGCCTGATGCCGTAACACGTATCACAGTTGCACAGAAACTGAGTGATTTGCTATTAAAATACTGGAGTTACACTTTAGTTGCCTCTTTAGTCCATCAATAACTTGATTTCCATTAAGGCCAGACCTAAAATAAACATCATCAAGGCCCAAATATACCTGAAGTTTACAGCAAAATTCCTCAATGATACGGAGAGTGTAGGGTTATCTTTATTTTGAACTGGGTGGGGCAAACCAGCAGGTTTGACATCTTTCAGTACTTGGCTGCCAACATGAGAGGAGGAAGAGCTTGGGAAAAAGTTGTTGTGGGCTGCCTTGAACAAAACCTGGTGTGTTGTTGGTGCTCTTGTTTCCTCCAAACTGCACATCCTGTGCTGCATCCATCACCACGGGTTTCATTTCTGGTGGAGTTAGGATAGAATGAGGCAAAAGGAACGTGTTGGAACGAATTTGGGGTGACCAAGACCCTGCAGGGGGGTGGGCAGTGTTGTCTTCTTCACCCATCTTTCTCTTTTGTTGCATTATTTGTGTATATTTTTCAATAATCTCCTCGAAGAAATGCTGGGGACGCAGTGCCTTTGCTGTCTGATGGTGGAACTTGGGAAGCTACAGTGGGATGGGGAGCTGCTCCCTCAGTCTTTCTTTTCTTGCAACTCTTTCTGTGAAAGCTGAATGCCAAAAAAATTCCTCAGACTGAGAATAGTAACCTAAAAATCCTCTTTTACTTAAGGCTCAGACACACGATGATGGTTTTGTCACATAATTGCTGCCAGTGCCGGACGCTGATGACTCTGCACATGCTGACTTTGTCTGTGAGAAACCCAAGGCATTTTGGGCAGGGCTTCCCTCTCCCTGGTGAAATGTGCAGAGGGGCAGATCATGCTCAGGAATGTGCTGATTTGGGGAATTTAACAGTGCTTTACATCCCAGTCAAACTCTTCGTGTTTAATGCACTTGCCACAACTTTGAGTATCACTGTCGTACAAACACCCTTCCACTGGCAGGTCTCTTTCCTAAGTAAAGCATTTTTATTTTTAAATTCTTTATGCTTTTTGGTAATTTTTACTCCTCCTAAGCTAATCTAAATATATATTTTTATATACTTTCGAGGCTGGGATGAATGCTGCTTTGAATAATTTCTTTTTTATTCTTTTTACTGTTTCTTTCTCGCCTCACTTTCGGAACTGCCTCACTTCTAAACATTTAGGATCTCCCAAAAATCTGTAGAACTGCTTGAATACTGGGGATGGGTAAATGAAGACCAGCAAATAAACACAGGAATGTGAAAAATGCAAAGACTTCTGCATGTATATATTTAAATGGAGACAGGTTAATCACTGGAAAAGCTTGGAAAGTTGTTTTGATATTGTCTTAGGAATTACAAACTTTGGATGCTGCCAGTCTTTTTATTACTTTCCTTTGGTTGTCTACAACAGCTGATGAATCTGTAAATGATGGATGGGATGCTTGGAGTGATGTAGAGTGATCTGGAGTGCCTGGAGCCAGATTATGATTTGTTCTTTGCATTAATTCACTTTATTTTTGTCCTTGCAGAGCCTCCAGTTACAGTCACCCAGCCTTTGGTGGGAGGATCAGTCACAGAAGGGGGGCTGGCTCACTTGGAGTGCACATTATCCAGCAAAACTGAGGAAAAAGTGACGTGGTTCAAAGGAAAGGAACAAATAAAAGCTGGAGGGAGATACGAGATCCTCTCTGACGGGAAAAAGCAGACACTCATTATTCATGGGTTCAGACCTGAAGACCAGGACACCTACACCTGCATGGCTTCCCCTGAAGTCAAATCTGTTGCCAGCCTGAGCCTTGAAGGTACAGAGTGTGCATTCCTGTGGTGTTAAATCAGTTCTGTTTACGGACAGCCAGGACCATCTCCACTGCTTGGACTGGAATTTGCTTTCTTTCACAAGCCCTGATAACAATCCACAAAAAATTGTTATTTTCCTTTTTTTCTGGTATTCCCCGGTATGTTTCTGTGTCCCAAATAGTTTTGAGTTGCTCATCTGAGAGTTTCCTCAGTCAGAAATTTAAAATGTGACACCATTGTCTCTACATGGGGTTGTGGTGCTTTTTGAGATGCTTTAGGGTATTCCGTGGGTGTCCCAGACAACCTGGAGCATCTCTAAAGGCACTAGGCACTGTGGAGAGGCAAGTGAACGTGTCCCAGAGACTGAGGCACAACCTTCAGGCTCAGACACATCCAAACAGGCAGGTGAGGTGTGTCCATGGGAGGTGGGAGTCTCAGCTCCCAGCATAGCCGCTGGAGGTCTATTAAAATCCATCAGTGAAGCTCTGTCTAAATGTAAGAGAGGATGAGCCTGAGGAGCTTTCCAGCCTGTACTGTCAATCTTAATTAGGTGTTCATCAACTGCAACATTAAAAAGGAGCAAAAATTTATTTATTTGGTTTAAAAATGCAAGGAATAATAACCAAAAAAACCTTGCTTTTTGGCTGTGTTTTAAGTGAATAGAATCACAGGGTAGTTGAATTTGGAAAGGACTTCTGAAGACAGTGTGGTCCAACCCCCTGCTCAAGGAACAAGTTTCCCAGGGCCATGTCCAGCCATATTCACCTCCCAGAGAGGTTGTGGAGTCTCCTCTGGAGATTTTCAAAAGCCATCTGGGCACTGTCCTGAGCAATGTGCTCCCTACTTGAGCAGGGAGGTTGGACTGGGTGACCTCCAGTGATCCCTTCCAACCTTCCCAGTTCTGTGTGATTCTGTAAATCCACATTTTGTCCCCAACAGAATGCTTTGTTAGACACCACCAATACTTTTGTGCTCAGGCTTTAGGGTAACATTTCCATGTTTCTCAAAGCTCAGTCACAGTCTTTGTCTTTCAACGTCTCATCAATTTGATTCTCCGCAGTGCCCACGGCGACGATGCTAAAGGAGATTGCCAGGGAAGCACCCCCTGCAAGCCAGCCAGGGGAGCTGGTGGATGGCCAGGTCCAGCCCAGCCTGCCCCCTGAGGCTGCTCAGGAGGGAGATCTTCACCTCCTGTGGGAAGCCCTGGCCAAGAAGCGCCGGATGAGCCGGGAGCCCACCTTGGATTCCATCAGCGAGGTGCCTGAAGAGGACCTCGAGAGGCTGCAGAAGCTGAGGAAGGAGGAAGCAGAGATGTCCCACTACTACTCAGAGGAGTATTCCACGTGTGACGAGCTGGCCAGGACGGGAGAAGCCGATTTCTCTTTCACAAGCTCAGATGATGAGTCCAGAGCTGGGACACCCTCACTGGTGAACTACCTGAAAAAGAAAGCTGGGAAGACGAGTATCAGTGTTACCAGCAAGGTTCAGTCCACCTCCACAGACAAATTATGGAAGCAGTGGGAGAAATCCAGTGTGGAGACTGCTGTGACCACCACAGCTGCCAAACCAGCTGAACCAGAGCTGCCAGACTTAGATGACCCTTCCATGAACAAGGCTGCTGTGAAGATCCAAGCCGCTTTCAAAGGCTACAAAGTCAGGAAGGAGATCAAGCAGCAAGAGTGCCCGGTGTTTGCCGAGACCTTCAAAGACTTCTCTGGCGAGCCTGGAAGCACTCTGCACCTGGAGTGTGTGGCCCACAGCAAATCTGACATGAAGGTCCGGTGGCTGAAAGACGGGCAGGAGCTTTCGGATGGCCGCTACTACCACATAGACAACTACAGCGACGGGACCTGCTCGCTGATCATCGCCGGCCTGGACAGGAAGGACGCGGGGAAATACACCTGCGAGGCGTCCAACAAATTCGGCAAGGTTTCCCACAGTGCCAAGGTGGTGGTTGGCGCTCAGGAGGCTCAGGTGCTTCCTAAGAAGCCGGCGAAGCAGAGCACGGACAGTGAGACGGAGAGCTCGTCCGGCAGCGAGCTGGACGACGCTTTCCGTAAGGCAGGGAGGAGACTCCACAGGCTCTTCAGGGCCAAGATCTCCACAGAGATCTCCGACGTGGAGGAGGAGCTCTTTGTCAGCGCGGACGAGGGGGACATCGACGTGGTGGACCACCAGACGTACCGGGAGGACGACCAGTACATCTACATCAAGTTCGAAGTCTTGTCCGAGGCCAAAACGGCCGCCACCCGGTTCAGGGAGATGTTTGGGGCCCTGGGGATCCCCGTGGAGATCGATATTTTGGAGCAAGGCCCTAAAAAGGTTGAACTGCGCATTGGGAAGGCCTCACCACCCACCTTTGGGAAGTTTGCACCACCCATAGCGAGACCTCCGCCGCCTTTGCTGACTTCTGACACAGGTAGGGGAAGCAAACCTTGAGGGTTCCTTTTTTGTTCATGGAAAAGACAGCTGGAGTAGGTCAAAATATTATCTTTTCACTCTCAAACAACTGAAAAAAACCACTGTTTTATTTTTTTTTCCCTTCATTTGGTGCAGATATTTTTCTGGAAACTTTGCACTTTTGGGAAAAAAAATGAATTTTTTATTTTTTATTTAGAGAGAGAGAAGGGACATTAGTGCTGAAGGAGGAGTTTGTAAAATATCAACTTATCTATGAAGCTGCTTCTCATGATATAAATGTCTCCTCTTACAATAATATAGCCATAAATGCTGTGATTATTATACTTAAATGAACAAAACAGTTTTTAGGAAGGTCTTGAGGGAGACAAGACATTTTGGCAAGGAGAGGAAGAGAGGAAATGCACAGTTGGCAACTGTGCTTATGGAGGATCTTCATGGTGTTTGTCAGGGAGTTCCTTCTTGACTGTTTTCACAGACGTCACTCTGAAAATAAAAACCCAGAAACCAGAAGTCTTCAGGCATTGGGCACCTCAAATAACATCTTTTAACACAAGTTTTTCCCTTTCTCCTCTCCGACCACGCCCACTTTAGCTCCCATGTTCATGACTGAGCTCCAGAACCAGGAGGTCCAGGATGGGTACCCGGTGAGCTTCGACTGCATCGTCATCGGCAAACCGCTGCCCACGGTCCGCTGGTTCAAGGATGGGAAAGCTATCGAGGAGAACGACCACTACATGATCAATGAGGACCAGGAGGGGTGTCACCAGCTCATCATCACTGCCGTGGTCCCCACTGACATGGGCGTTTACCGTTGCCTGGCTGAGAACAACATGGGAGTGGCTTCAACCAAGGCCGAGCTTCGGGTGGACCGTGAGTCTCAAAATCGCCGTGGGAAAAAACAAGGGAAAGGGTCCTTTGGGGAGGTGGATAATTTTATTATTTTTTTTTTCCCCCAAGAAAAGCACAATTTACGTCAGAAAAAAAGAAGTATGTGTTGCCCACAAAATATTTCACTTGTAAAACTATAAAGTTTCTTAGGCCCAGCTGGGTTTTGCCTCTTGAGTTCAGGTGGGGTTTGCCAACTCCAAGGCAAGGCTCAGAGCAAAGCTTTTCGGGTAAGCAGAGGTGTTTCCCATAATCCAGGGTCATGTGGGATCCTGCTGCAGGGAAATCTTAGTGGGAAATCTACGTACCAATCACTCGAATTAGCAAAGCAACTTATTTTTCTTTTAAATTCCCCTACTTACTTATTAGAGCAAGAATTATAATAAATAAAAAAAAAAGAAAAATAGTTTAAAGCTCAGATTATAGAAAACACAACTTTTTCCATTTAACAGTGACCAGCACTGACTATGAGACAGCAGCAGATGCAACAGAGACATCCTCTTACTACAGTGCCAAAGAATATATTTCAAGGTAAAATATCAAACTCTCGCTCCAATTTCTGACTTGATGAGATCAATGCGTGTATTTATGTCAAGCCTGGTTTTACCCTGTCTAGCAAGACCAGTTTAGTGTCACAAAGGAGCAGCCAGACCAGCTGAGATGCAAAAACTGCAGCAGCTGGACATTTATCACATGCATATTTGTTCTGGCTGCCCTCTGGCAAGCCTGGATATTTCTTCCTGGTGTCACCCCCTTACTTTAGTCTCAGATGGTGCTGAATCTTCTGTCATGATGACAAAACCCACAGTCTGAATTAACCTAAAATAGGCCATTCTGATTCCTAACTCTTACCTGCCTTGCTGACTTCCCTCTTTCTGATTCTCATTGTTTCTTAGCCGAGAGCAGGAGGAATCCACCACTGAGGAGGAGCAACTGCCCCAGATCTTTGATGAGCTTCATGACATTCATGTGGCACCTGGAGCATCACTGGCTAAATTTCACCTGAAGGTCAAAGGTGAGTGGGTCCCACAGTACTGTCAGTTTTCCAGGTTTGATGTCAGGTTGAAGAGCTGGACAAGGTTTTCCAAGGTGCTCTTCCTCACCTGTGGCCCTAGTTTGTGCATCTTGCACCATGAGTGCACAAACCAGCCTGGAGAACATGTTCATGCTGATGAACATTGATGAATATTGACTTTTGCAGCAGATAAAGTGTCTCCAAGCATAATGACAGGCAGATGTTTCTGAAAACTGAGTTCTGTCTTTCTCTGAGCACAGGAGCAATAATAATAATAATAATAATAATAATAATAATAATAATAATAATAATAATAATAATAATAATAATAATAATAAAGCAAGGGTGTCCTTTGTCCTCTTAAATAAATTAAACAGTTGTGGACTTGCCTTATTCTAGGTTGCTGCCACAACCTAAAAACTGCAAAAACATCCTCCTGGTGTTGACTGTGGCAGGGATAGGTGGGGATTTTCCTGTTTTCTCATATTGCTGTCTATAAAAATTATAAGAACTGATTTGGCTTCAACTTTTCTCCTTTGGTGTATGTTTCAAATCAGACCCAGGTGTCGTTTTTCCGACCTTCAAGGCATTTGCACTTGCAGCCAATATGGGGAGTGCCAGAAACTGAGGAGACAGGAAAGAACTTCAACAGATAAATAGAATTTAATGAATTTTTAGCCATTCCTAGTTGAGTGAACCCTTGAAACAGCAGCCCAGGGCAGAGCTGGGGGCGCATCACCTCCTGCCTGTTTGGAGATGCTCCCAAAGGGATGTTGCCAAGGAATTCTGTTCTCCATGCCACAGGGTACCCACAGCCTCGTCTCTACTGGTTCAAGAATGGGCAGCCCCTGAAGGCCTCTGATCGCATCCTGAAGACTGACAGGCAGGAATTCCACTCCCTGGAAATTCAGGATGTCACCAAGGCAGATGCTGGGCAGTACCTGGTCTTCGTCATCAACTCTGCTGGCTCTGCCTATTCCTCAGCCAGGCTGGTGGTCAAAGGTGGGCATTGCACTGTTTTGGGCACTTACTTTTCTCTATTCCAGTGTCTTTTTCCATTTGATAAAGTTATTTTTCTTGAGAAAGCCTACCAAGGTAGCTCAGGCGAGGTGGGGAAGTCTGTAGATAAAAGATGATGTGCTTTGATTTTAGTTCACCGATAAATTTACTGATTAGGAAGATGAGACATGTCACTTCTCCAGGCTCTTACAAACATGCATTTTATTCCTGCTCAACCTCATTAACTTTCAAAGCTTATTTTATTAAACTGAAGGCCTCTTATGAATCATACCAATATTTTTGTGTAATATCTCCAGCAAGGAATAATCTCCTGGAGTCGCCTTTGGAGTATTTTTTCTGCAATTCATGGGTTGAAAGTTATTTATATTTTTCATTTTGTTTTTTTCTCCTTTCATTACAGATCCTTATGAGAAAGAGGAGCCATCCAAAACAGGTGAGAGAAGCCACAGAGGGACATAACAGAACCCCCAGGAATCTTTCAGTCTAAACTCACCGTGTTTCATCAATAATGTTGTTTTCAGATTCCCATGAGCAGCTGATACCACCGAGGTTCCTTGAAAGATTTACTAATAAAAAGGTGAAAAAAGGTGCAAGCATCACATTATCTGTGAAAGTGGAAGGTAAGTGGGTTGATACCTTGTCTCCCTGCAAAAAAAATCGTGTAACTTCATGACACATTCTGGACTCTCTCTGCCCCAAGTCATTGTAACCTCATCTCCTGTATCTCAAGTCTGGAATTCCACTCCCTGTTTACATCTCTTACAAAGAGACTTTGCACAAAATCATCTTATTCATCTTCGCCTCCATCTTCTTGTATGTGACAACTGGGATAACAACATTTATTAGTCTTATGAAGATTTATTAACAGTTTTGGTTTTACAGAAAGACTAAATGTCTTTTCTGAGGGTGCTGTAAAATGATTTATGATCCTTTATTACATATTATGCCTGTTATTGCTGGAAAAGTGTCAGGAAATGGATCAAAACAACATTTATTCACAGCATGGCTCATATTTGTGAGGAAGGAACACAATTAGGAGGATTAAAGCTCGTTGCTTCACTCTTCCTTTAGGACATCCACCTCCAAGTATTACTTGGATGAAAGAGGAGTCCCGGAAAGACATCCTGTGGATCAAACCAGACACCCCTGGGTATAAACTTGCCAGTTCCAACATGCACCACAGCCTGATCCTGCTGGATGTGAAGAAGAAGTACAGTGGAGCTTACACGTGCATTGCCACCAACAAGGCTGGCCAGTCCATCTGCACGGCCAACCTGGAGGTTGCAGATGGTAAATCTTTGTTGCAGCACAAGCACATTCTCTGTATTTCCCTTTTATGCAGTGCCCAAGAGAAAAAAAACAAATGTGACTGATGAGGAAATTATCAAATCATGCACACAAAAAAGCACTTTCTCAAGATTAGCCATGACTTCTCTGCTCTTGTAAATGATTTTGTTCTTTGCTTCTATAATATTTTGGATTTTTGACTCTATTTTGTATTAACAGCAGCACCTTTTCTGTGTAAACAGGGGACGAGTCTAAGAAGCAAACAAATTAAGCACAAATTAGAGAGAAAGAAAGAGAGAAAGAAAGAGAAAGAGAGACAGAAAGAGAGAGAAAGAAAGAGAGAGAAAGAGAGACAGAAAGAAAGAGAGAGACAGAAAGAGAGAGAGAAAGAGAGAGAGAGAGAGAGAGAGAAAGAGAGACAGAAAGAGAGAGAAAGAAAGAGAGAGAAAGAGAGACAGAAAGAAAGAAAGAGAGAGACAGAAAGAGAGAGAGAGAGAGAGAGAGAAAGAGAGACAGAAAGAGAAAGAAAGGGAGAGAGAGAAAGAGAGACAGAAAGAAAGAAAGAGAAAGAAAGAAAGGGAGAGAGAGAAAGAGAGACAGAAAGAAAGAAAGAGAAAGAAAGAAAGAGAGAAAGAAAGAGGGAAAGAAAGAGAGAGAGAAAGAAAAAGAGAAAGACGGAAAGAAAGAGAGAGAGAAAGAAAGAGTGAAAGAAAGAAAAAAAGAGAGAGAGAGAAAGAAAGAGAGAAAGACAGAAAGAAAGACAGAAAGAAAGAAAGACAATGTAACATAAAAACCATCATTTAAAAAATTAGTTTGAGTGCTTCACTCTGTTATTTTGCAATGTAAAATTGCCTTAAGGCAGCTAAAATTACTTGACTTCCCTTTTACAGAGCTTTCCAGGGCCTCTTTTGACATTATTCCTTCAGTAAAATGGAGGAAAAGCAAATATAGGCTGAGAGTAAGGGCAGCACTGTAGAGGACCCCATTTTTCTGTTATCCTTCCTTGCATCCCACATTTTTGCTGTACCAAGAGCCACAGGAGCAGAGCTTGGGCAGTGTAGAGAAATGGGGCAACCCTATGAACATGACCAGGGAGAGGAGGAAACTGTCAGCAACAGAGGAGTGGGGATAAGTATTCTCTGCCTTCTGTCCTCTAATGACAAACCCCTAATCTTGCAGTGAAAGAGGCTGAAGTTCTGACCCAGGAGCGGGTGATGGTGTCCGAAGCCATCATGACCACACTGGGGTAAGTGCTTGGCCACCCAGGGATGAAAAGTGCTGTAAATACTCTGAAATCGAGGTCAGACATTTATTCTTGATGGTCAGGGAGGATGGGGAAGAGGGATCAAAAGAATGAATGAGTTTGGGTAGCTCATGTAAAACTCTTGTGACTTTTTTCATCTCCTGAGCACAATGCAAAGAAAATTCACAGGGTCATGGTCTGGTTGTTACTTGCCAATACTGAAATACATAGAAAAAGTAGGTGAAAAGGGTCTGCTGCACAAATTTCTTGTTCATAAATGCATCTGAAGATTAACCTCCTCAATTCACTGTTCTTGGTTTGGACATTAGGCAGATACAGTCTGGAAAGTGGTATCACCTGAACATAAATTAGCTTCTGGAACGTGTCTGGCCTAAAAAACCTTGGCCAGTTTTCCTCTGAAATGTGAAGGAATGGAAGAAAGCTGCAGTGTGTCTTTACCTATTCCACTGCAGCCTTTCCCAGTGATGTGTGATTTATCATTTATCAAGTGGGATGAGCTTCCTCTTGCTTCCCATGTGATAACAGAGAATTAGGGATGATCAGCTTTTGCAATGGAAATTTATATCCTCTCTCCAAAAAGCTGAGGCATAGCAGAAATGTTGACATCAGGATATTAATTTTTACAGAGCTTTACTCTTGGGAAATGCCACAAGTTCTCTTCAAGGGACCCAAGCAAATGCTGGTAGTTCTTCACATCTGTGAAAAAATCTGCCCTCTCCCTGCTGACATGAATTAGTTTGGTGCTGGTAAAAGCTGAGAGTGTAAGAAAGGACTTTTTGGACCTCAAAACCGTGGCAGAACCACTAAGTCACCTTGTTTCCCAACACACGGGCATCCTGATGTGATGGGAGCAGATCATGTCATCCAGCCTTTGGTTTCCTGATGAAATCACTGGAAATTGTTGAGAATTACTTTACTGAAAACTGACTGACACCACAGATCCCACCTGACATAATGTCTCTGACTGCAGAAGTTTTATTGCAGTGTCAGCTGGGGAGAAAGTCCCAGCAGCACCAGGGAGATGGAGCCTACTCTGTTTTGCAACCCACTCCTGGTCTTCTCAAGCTCTAGGCTGGAATGAAAATCAGGAATAAGGAGAATTCTCAGATGGGTTTTGGCTCCAAGTCTAAAACACCCTTTTTTTTGTGTGTGTGTCCATATGAGCCAGGTGCCAAAATTCTCATTTCTCACAGTGAGCCTGGTGTGTGTCAACTCTCAGCACCTGCAGCCCAAACCAGAGCCCTAACTTAGATATTCCCTTTATATCCAAGGTGGGAGAAGGGGGAATGTGTTCCTCGTTTAGCTCTCCTTACTACCCCTTTTATTTTAACTTTTAATTCTGCTTTACTTTATTTTTCAGAGCTATTCATCCCTCTGAAGCAAGAGAAGGTAAGAGAAGATATTTTCTCTCTCCCTACTCCTGCCTTTCGTATCTACAGCTGAGGTTGTCCATGTATTTAATGATTGCCACCCACTTTTCTCCCATTTTCTTCAAACTGTCTGAAATTTTGGAACTTTTCAGTTCTCAGACTGCTCTCTGTTCAAGACTGAATTAATTGGGGGGACTGTGAGCAAGCACAATTTTAAAAACAGGGGAAGGGAAGAAAATCAGACCTTCCTTCCACGGCAGCTTTTATTACTCAAGAAAAGATTACTTCCCAATTCCCATCTTAATAGCAGAACCTCTCTTTTCCAGGAGACCTTGAAGGAAGGGAAGGTGTTCCCAAAAGCCCTATTTCATTAGCTGATGTTGGCTCAGAAGAGTTCTTCCAGAAACTCACCTCACGGATCTCGGAAATGGTGTCTGCAAAAATAACTCAGGGTAAGGAACCTGCCAAACACAGTTTAATTTGTGTAGAAAAAAAATGAAGTCACTTTTTTTAGGTGCTATTTAATTAAAAGTGAGATTTATAACAGCAGGTTTTGAGCCAAGCATCCCACATAAGCTCAGAATTAAGAAATTTTAGTGGGAGTCCATCCAAACTGTGTCTTAGTTTACAGTTTGGAACTAGGGGAGAAAAAGCTATTTTATTAAGTTCTAAAAATAGCAGTGTATTTTTCCCATCCTAGGTATTTCAGTTTCCTCAGATATTCAACCCTCCTGAGCTGGAAAACAATCCTGCTTTCAAGACTTCACACACCTTCAAGTTTTAGCTCACAATGGGATTTTAAAATCGAGTTAAGGCTGAAAACTCTGTGCAATGAGTTTGCACTCTCAGCAACAGTTTGTTGAATTACATGAAAATCCTTGTTTGTGTTTGTCCTGCTTATCTGGTGGAAAAATTTTGACTTGAAACAAAAATAGAGGCATTATTTCTCCAAGAAATATTCTTGCAGTGCAGTGGCAATACATGCAGTAGGCATTCAACATCTTGTGTTAAAACATCCCAAATTTTTATTTAACCCTAAATATCCATAGGAAATAACACTAAATACTACTACAAATGCTCTTCCTAGGGAATGTTTGCTTTAAAGAAATGGAACACTATTATAGATTTATCCTTATATATCACACTTTGCTTTTCTTTTTAGCCAAGCTTCGAGTGCCAGGTGCAGAAAGTGATGATGATTCAAAAACTCCCTCTGCATCTCCTCGCCATGGACGGTCCAGACCTTCATCCATAGCTCAGGAGTCCTCCTCTGAGTCTGAAGATGGGGATTCCAGAGGAGAGGTACAATGTCTTTGTGGACAAGTTTGACACCAGGGGAAAACTTTACTCAGAATAACCAGTTTTCTACAGTTTAAGGATGTCCACCCCCTTTTAGGGCTGTAATTCACTTTAGAAGGTGTGTTTAATAGTTAAATATTGGGTCTGTGATACAGAGAATCAAATTCTGATGAGCAGCTTGAACAACAAGTTGTTAAGTCAACGTGGTCAAAGCTCATCCATCATTTGGCACTGCTTGATTTCATGGCTGAGCTTTAGAAAGTCAGGGCTTGATTTTCTGTGGGTCTTGGAGAGAGCTGGCCGGGAGAATTTTGTTGCAGAGTTCTTTGTGACAAAAAGGAGAATACTATGAAAATTAGAAATTAGAATTTTTGAGGTGATCATGTCAAAAATGCTTCCTAAAAAAAAAAAATAAAATAATTAATTAAAACTTTTGAAACGGTAACTTATTTTGAAATTTTCAGGACCACTGGTTTTGGGGTTTTTTTGGGGTGGGGTTTTTTTTGCCTTTGGAGAAAAACTCTGTTTCGTGGCATAAATATGAACCACCTCAAATAGACAGTTCTGAAAATACCTGAAAGCCTCTAAGAGATTTAGTCTTCCACTTAAAAAAAGCAAACAGTGGTTTTCTTTGCCACACAAAGGCTGGAGAACGAAACATTAAATGGAGATAAGCACTTTGACCCTGATGCTGTTGCTCTACTCCATTTCCAGAGCAGAAAATAACTGTTGTTTCATCCCTGCAGATCTTTGATGTCTACATGGTCACTGCTGACTATGTCCCTGCTGCACCTGACAGGGAAACCATCACCCTGAAGGAAGGACAATACGTGGAAGTCCTTGATTCAGCTCATCCTCTCAAGTGGCTGGTCAGGACTAAACCCACGAAATCGAGTCCCTCTCGGCAGGGTTGGGTGTCTCCAGCTTATCTGGACAAGAAATTAAAGGTGACTGATCGTCCTTGGTTATTTTTCATTCAAAGTTCCTTACTCCTGTTGCAGTTTGGAGCCATCCCTTTTGCAAGGAGAGATGGATGAGGTTGTTGAAGGGGTCTGTAACGTGGTCAGGCTTTTTCATGTTTTGATTAAACAATAACTCTGGTGTGTGCAGAGGTGCCTGGGTTGGAAAGGCCAAATCACCCTCCAGCAAAATAGAAATTTCACACTGGTTTAGGAATTCTTGAAAGGGGCTGTGAGCACGTGAGGGATATTCCTCAGTGTGCACTGATAAAAGCACTGCAAAGAAATAAAGAAATAAAGTGATAAAGTCGCTTAAAAGAAAAACGTTTCCTTTTTCTTGTACTGCAGCTGTCACCAGAGTGGGGGACAACAGAAATCCCCGAGTTTCCTGGAGAGTTTGTTTCTGAAGATGAGTATAAAAGGAAGCTGAGGTGAGCTCGTGTCTTTTGGTATTTGCACCTTTGAGTTTTCCTGCCTTTTGAACTAACAGGAGTGTTGATCTCTGGGTCCCTCCTGTCAGAGTCACTGGTTTTGTTCTGCTCAGTCCTGCCCCCTTCCCTTTCCCGGGGTCAAGCAAACCCTGGATTAGATCAGATTTGTATTTTCAGATATTTGATTGGGTTTTGCCATTGATTTCAGCCTAGGAAAATTCCAGGCAATCCCAGAACAGTGTGGTTTGGAAGGGACCTTCAAGATCATCCAGTTCCAACTCCCTGCCATGGGCAGGGACACCTTCCACTAGCCCAGGTTGCTTCAGCCTGGCCTTGGACACTTCCAGGGATGAGGCAGCCACAGCTTCTCTGGGCAACCTGTGCCAGGGCTCCTCACCCTCACAGCCAAGAGTTCCTACCCAATACCCCACCTGACCCTGCCCTCTGGCAGTGGGAAGCCATTCCCTGTGTTCTGTCCCTCCATCCCTTGTCCCAAGTCCCTCTCCAGCTCTCCTGGAGCCCCTTTAGGCCCTGGAAGGGGCTCTAAGTTGTCCCCAGAACCTTTTTTTCACGTTGGATAACTTTAAAGGAGGGTTTTACAAGACATAATCCTGGAATATCTCTGATTTCATGAAATCCTGAACTGCAGCACCTCTGCACTTTGGGGTGCCCCCTGTCTGAGGATGCATCTCAAGGGCAATTGTGATGATTTTTCTGTGATTTCTTTTTGCCTCTTCGTCTTCCCCTCAGTGTTCTCATCCAGGAGCTGCTGATCTCAGAGGAGGATTACATTCAAGACCTGCAGTTCCTCCTGACTCATCACCTCAAGTACACAGAGACCTGTCCCAACATCCCAGGAGCTGTAGCCAGTCAGAAATCCACCATCTTCAGGAATATTGGTGACATTGGTCACTTCCATTCCAGGTGGGCATTCCCACATGCCTTCATTTGAGACCGAGGAGTGGTTCACATACAAGGTGTCAGAGCCACACGATAATGATAATAACAACAACAACAACAACAACAACAACAACAACAACAATAATAATAATAATAATAATAATAATAATAGTTATTATAATCACAACAATCATTATTATTAATATTTTATTATATTATTATACTGATATATTATTACATAAATATTATAATTTTTATATATTATAATAATAATAGTATTAATGTGAAGCACTGGCGATACTGAGGTACAAGGGAATGGATGGTCCTTTCAGGATGATAAATGATGCCATGCTTTCCATCAGAGCACAGGGTTGGGACTTCCATAATACCCTTCAGTACTTCAAGGCTTATTTCTTGCCCTTTTAAGTGAATTTAACTGAAAAATAGTGAATTGCTATAAAAAAGGCAACAGAGTCTAACAGGGACTTCAGTGGTGTCTTCACAGAGACATTCATTCATCTAAAACTGAACATCCATGCAATCCAAACACATCCAGCTATGACAGGCTGCCCACATGGCACAGTGATTCTGCCTTCTCCAAGGATTTACTGCAGATCTGGGCCAAGAAAATAGATTTGCCTTCTCTTCCCCCTTCAGCTTTGTACATGTGAACCTGCCACAACACCCCTCATGAAACAGAGTGAGGATCTCTATTTTCACTCCTGTGGGTGGCTCAAAGATCCTCTTACTCAGGGTTTAACTTCCCAGCTTGAGCTAAGACCTTAAAAGTTCCCCCTACCTTCCTTGCAGGGCATTTCATAGAATCATGGAATGGTTTGGGTTGGAAGGGACCTTAAAGCTCATCCAGTTCCAACCCCCTGCCATGGGCAGGGACACCTTCCACTAGCCCAGGTTGCTCCAAACCCTGTCCAATGTAGCCTTGAACAATTCCAGGGATGGGGCAGCCACAGCTTCTCTGGGAAATCCATTCCATCCCATCCTCACAGGGAAGAACTTCTTCCTAATATCCAATCTAACCCTGCCTGCTGTCAGTTTAAAACGATTCCCCCTTGTCCTGTCACTCCATGCCCTTGTAAAAACTTCCCACACCTCCATCCAAGCTGAGAGGTTCAGCATCCTGCTGGGTGAGGGGGCACTGAGATGTTTGATGCTGATGTGGCAGCATCCCTCATGCCCCCCAGTCATTTCCTCTGACCTGATTCAAAAGCCTGGCTGCTGGGGCTGTGTTCCAGCCTCATTCCATCCAGCACCTTCTCCTCAGCTGTCCTCTTTCCTTTGCCTCCACAGTGTCTTCCTGCGGAGCCTGCAGGGCTGTGACACTGATGATGACGTGGCCATGTGCTTTATCAAGCACGAGGCAGAGTTTAACAGGTACATCCAGTACCTGGTGGGAAGGGTACAGGCTGAGTCTGTTGTTGTCAGCAAAGCTGTCCAGGACTTCTACAAGGTAAGGCAGTAAGCAGAGTATCTGTGGGAAGTGCATCCTATAGCCCACTGCATGGAGAAATGTAGTTATTCATCACAAATGTGATCCTTGAAAGGATTGTTAATATCTTTTGTAATGTTTGCTAAATATGACAGTTTTTAGTTCACTGTCTTGCTCTTCTTTGTAGGTATAATCAATACAGGAACATACTTTTGTATGCTTATGCATTTATTAATCTTATAAAGATCATACAGAAATGAATGTGGCTCTGCTGATGTGACTGTAAGGGGGGTTTTAAGGGCCACCACATTATAAGGCCAAGTGAACTCACAGAAATCATAAGTACAGATAATAAATATATAATAGACAAATCCTCCTTCTCTGCTCCAGCTGCTCAGGATTGAGGTTCACTGGTGAAAACACACACACAGAGCTCCAGATCCACGAGCACATGGGTGGTTGTGGATCCCTTGAGTAGCAAAGATGGCTCCTCTGCCCATCCAATACCCAAACCCAGATCCTGCACTTTTACCCTCTCCCAGCCTCTTACTTTTAGGGTAAAAGTAGTAGGTACTTTTTTTACTACCTACTCAGCAGTTACTCCAGCCTGATGCTCACCAGAAAACAAATGCTCATGTTCACACTCACCCCACATTCCCATGAGCATTTTCCAAGGAGTCATTATTTATCTTGTCCTTTTTGACAACCTTTCCTCATTTCTCTATGTATTTTTTCCAGAGATACACAGATGAATTTGAAACTAATGAAGATCCTTCACAGCCACTTATCCCACCACTGCAGTACTACCTGGAAAAACCCATAAACAGGATCCAGCAGTATCAGACAATAATTAAGGTAAGGGGGTTTTGTTCTATCTGACAGGTTTATGCTCTGCTCTGTGCAGCTTGTGGAGAAAAAGATTTTATTTTTATTTCCTATTTCTTGGCTTCCTCCTGGTGCAACTACAACTGAGAGCTGATTGTCTAAATAAGAGAGTAACCACCACCAGGGGTGATTTTTTCTAAATAGTTCTGTAAATGTAAATCCAGGTAGAGGTTCACAATCTCCAACCCCTTAAAGTTCTGTGAGCTTTGTATGAATGATCTTTAAATAGGTGAATACATATGTGTAAAAATATGTGGGTTTATATATATATATATATGAATATTTGTATATATATATCCATGACAAGTATCAATTTACTTCAAACTAAGCAACACTTACGTTATAAAAATAAGCATTTTCCAAAGTGTAAGATATTGGCTTACCACTTTTTTAACTTGTGTTTTATGTTGACATTGTAGCAGGATGGAGTTTTTTATTTTCTGAAAAGCCTTGCCCCGTTCTACCACCCTGAAATATTTAACCTTTCAAGCTTTCATCTGTCCTGCTGTCTCAGGTTCTAGCCCAGGCCACGAGCAAACATTTCAGAGCAGCATTTTAAACAGCATTTTCATGAGAAATAGCATTAGGGTGTCCAGGAAGAAGACAGTCATGCCAAAATATTTCTGTGTTCTAGTGTTATATAAATGAGCAATTGGAACAGTCTGGAGAGCTTTCTATTTTTGAACACCTTCTTGGACACCAAAATTTTTAAGGGTCTCTTGGAGGAGTGAAAGCACTTTCCCTGCCTTCATTGCTGAAAGAGAGGAACAGGAACAAATTTGAGAAGAGCAGGAAAACTGGCATTTCATATTTCTCCCAACCTCTCTTTTTATTAATCTCATGTTGACTCTCAGTTCAGCTCTGTTGCTTCAATTGCTTGTTCTGTGGAGTTGTGAGGGTAAGCAGAAGAGAAATGCAATGGATACATTTTGCTTTGGAATTTTTGGGGTTTCAATCGCTTTCTGGTATTTGTTTCAACTTTGTTTAATATTAATGGATGCAAGGAAAAGCCAAACTGGCTAGTCATTAAGGCTGTAGGAAAGAAAATACTTTATTATCTAAGCAGCATATGGTGAAAAACATGGGATAAAAGCTACTCAGGTGAAAGAATTGGAAGAGATATTGAGAAACTCTTTGGCTCTGAAAAAAATGTGGTTTTTTTCTCTGATTGCCCTTCATTCATCTACAGGAATTAATCCGAAACAAAGCAAGAAACAGCCAAAACTGCACCTTGCTGGAACAGGCTTATGCTGTGGTGTCTGCACTGACCCGGAGGGCAGAGAACAACCTCCATGTCTCGCTGATTGAGAATTATCCAGGGACCCTGGAGAGCCTTGGTGAACCCATCCGGCAGGTAACTGGGATTTCTCAGTGCTGTTGGTGCCACCTGTGCCTCCACTGGGTCCCTGAGTAGCCTTAATTCCTACAAGAAGCCCCTTTAGGCACCGTGCCTGAAAGAGAGTTTTTGCTTCTCCCATTTCTTGCTGCTTCAGAGCAGCCCTGGCTGGACTAAGGTTTGGAGCAGCAGAGCAGAGGCACTGATGGAGCAGCTCACACATAATGGAGTTATTTGTCTTTCTGATCCACTCATCAAACAGGAAGAGATTTGTTCTGGGGTCCCACATGATTTTAAGGCATTTTTCTTCCTCCTCCTCTCTTATTATTCCCAAGCTACATGGGCCAACTCCTGACATTTTTGTCATCTAAAGACCTGATTCTCCTCCAGGTCTCTCCCGTGAACCAGGTGTGGGATTTAGGATCACAGAGAAAATATGGCAACTATTAGGACACCAGCCTGGGACTTTCAACACTCATACTCAAATTCCTGTTTCTTTATAGACTTACTTGCCATGCTGGGCAAGTCATTTATCATGTCTGTTTGTATCCAATGTTTCCCATGGGAATCACGGTGTATTCCTGAGTGGAATTGTAAGGCTGAATTACAGCGATGGGGATTCATCTGTCCACATTTAGACATTCAAAAAAAAGAGTCCAGTCACACCCTCAAGAGTGTTTACTTTTTCCTAGTGGTGCCAAGGGGCAACCCCTGTCACTAACTGAGCTGTGTCTGAAGGTATGTGAAATTAATGTCCTGCTCTGGTAAAAGCAACCAAATCATCAGATAAATTGTCTGTGTAACACATAAAATGCAATTTTCCATTAGTATTTCCAAGAGTGCTCCTACCTGACAAGTGCTCTGTATTTTTCTGGCAACAAACCACACCTTTGAAAGCACAATGTGATGACAACCCCTGCGTGTGCCCCCGGTGGTTCTGTCAGTCTGATGGGTCACCTTTAGGATTAAAAACCATCTGCTGTGCTGTAATTAAACCAGAGACAAACCAGGTGATGATGTAACAGGAAACATTTATTTGTTCATTGAAAAATTATGGTGAATCATCATTTTTTATTACCTATTTTTATTATATTACTATTATTATATTATAATATTACTATTATTTATTAATTATTCCAGATGCATCACGACGTGCTCTTCCTTCTTTTTCCTATCAGGGCCACTTCATTGTGTGGGAAGGAGCTCCAGGAGCTAGAATGGCATGGAAAGGACACAAAAGACACGTTTTCCTCTTCAAAAATTACCTTGTGATCTGCAAACCAAAGCGAGACACAAAGACAGACACCTACAGTTACATCTTCAAGAACATCATGAAGGTCTGATCACTTTATCCTCTCTGTCACTTCACATTTGTATCCAGCTTGGACATTTCTCTAATCCTTTTGAACTATTCCTTTGTTTCAAAACCTCTTTGAAGCACAAGTAGAATCCACATTTATACAAAAATGTCATTGTCAGAATTGACAGAAATATGTCAGAAATAATCAGAACCTGGATGCAGCAATGAAATTACAAGAATTAATTCATCCCTGTTACCTCATTGAGTTAACACCATAAATATATTATATTGAGGTGAATTTTGATGTTTATAGTATTTACTAGCATTTGTAAATCTTTGGTTTTGGCAGTCTCTAATATTGGGAGTGAATTGGAAGAAATGTTATGGTCACATGCTGCATTCCATGGGGTTCTCTCTGCTGGTTACACCCTTTCCAGACAAAAATTCCTGCTTAGAAATGAAAAAAATTCAGAGAATGTGACCAACTCATCCTCAGACATTGAAGGTTAAGACTAAAAGAAATCGAGGAAAGAGTTTTCACGAGGCAAGAGATGCTCAACTCCAGTCAAAAACACCAACCAAAAAAACCCATGGAGTTCTTGACCAAGCTCAGTCGGGACATCCTGAAAGTCCTGATCTCTGTCTTAATTGATATTCATGAGCAGATATTACATTATTTTGCTGAAATGGAATTATTATTCCCGGTAAAATGTCAGTTTGGGAACCAGAGAGTCAAGTATACTGAGGAAAGTAGCTCTCAAAGTACCTCTGATTGCTGTTCACCAAAGCCACGTCACGTTGCTCACGCAATCCAAAAAATACCTTTGGAAGCCGTTGAGAGTTCCTTTTGCTGCTGGGAATTCCTGAGAACTTGGGATGTGTGCTGAGTTCCTTGTCCTTCTGCCACACAGCTGAACAACATAGATGTGAACGACCTGGTGGAAGGGGACGACCGGGCCTTTGAGATCTGGCACGAGCGGGAGGACCTGGTCCGCAAGTACCTGCTCCAGGCACGGACCGTGAACATCAAGAACTCCTGGGTGAAGGAGATCTGTGGAATACAGCAGCGGATCAGCGAGCCCATCTGGAGTAAGCGTGGCCCAAGATAGCCCAATCCCCCTATTTTTTTGTTTTTTGGATGGTTTCCTTGGTTCAGGAGGGAAAGGAGCAGACAAGGGGAGAGGGTTTGTGGTGATCCAAACTCCGCGCGGGCAGAATTGAGGGAGGTGGTTCTGCCCCTCTGCTCTGCTCTTGTGAGACTCCACCTCCAGTGTTGTATCCACCCCTGGGACCCCCAGCATCAGGAGGATGTGGAGCTGCTGCAGCAAGTCCAGAGGTGGCCACAAAGGAGATCAGAGGGTTGAAACACCTATTCCATAAGAAAAGGTGGAGACAGTCAGGGTTGGACTCTGATCCAGAGTCCTGCACTCACCAACGTAAATCCCTCTGTGACTTTTTTGGGTATCAGACCCTCTGTTTGACTTCTGGCTTACACTGCTGTTATCTGTGCTCTTGGGTTTGCTTTGGAATTTTCTCTAGTCATTCAGGCTGCATCATCCTCAGTGTCTTTAGAGATTCCACTAATTTTCTATCCACAACAATTATGAGCAGGGATATTAAATCTTTATTTTCCAGGCATAAGCTACAAATTGTGTCCACTACAGTGTAAGGATATTTGGCATCTTAAAATGCTAGAAGAGGATTGTATTTAATCTATATATTCTGAAAACAAGCCTGGGCATTTAATTTTTGTGCCTTTAGTGAGGTGTTTTAATGAGGAAGACTATCAGAATAATTTTGCATTGTTTCATATGGTTGGTAATAATGTGTTAAAATAAAAATCCCTTAACAAAGGAACAAGTTGCCCAGAGAAGCTGTGGCTGCCTGGAAGTGTTCAAGACCAGATTGGATAGGGCTTAGAGCAACCTGGTCTAGTGGAAGGTCCCTGCTCATGGTAGCAGGTTGAAACTAGATCATCTTTAAGATCCCTTCCAACCCAAACCACTCTAGGATTCTCTGATTCTAGAAAGCATGGATTTTATTGTATGGAGACCAACAGAATACTAGTTTGGATATCCAGGGTACATTTTATTTGAGGAATTATGGTAATGGTGACATCTGTGTGCTGTCTGAACAAAGGATGTGCTCGTTAAAAATCATGGTCAGCAACAAATCCCTTTTCTTTTTTTAATATGGCCTAACTTTATGGCCAACAGCAGACATTTGATGGACTGAATTTAGCCTCAGATAAGCAAGGACAGCACTTCACCCGGAAAATCTTGAGCTGCTAAAATTTCCTTTCAGCTTTCCATTCTGAACCTCACAGATTTGCAGATCTATTCTTACCTCACATAGCAGCAGCCACTCTTGGGCAGGGCCGCCCTCCTCCGGACTAACACGACTTGTCCTGATGTTTCAGTACCTCCAGACTTCGAGGAAGAACTGGCAGATTGCACGGCTGAGCTGGGAGAGACAGTCAAGCTGGCCTGCAAAGTGGTGGGAGCTCCCAAACCATCCATCAGCTGGTACAAAGGTACGGGCAGGAAGCCATGAAATGCCTCCTCCAAGTTCGTCCTCTGTCTGTATTGTTTGATGGTTGGTTGGTTGGTGGGTAACCAAAGAGCTGATCCCCTCGAGATACCCAAGCCTAATGAACGTGTTTATGGTCACTTTGGAGGTGTTCCTTTGGCTGGCAAACCAGAGCTGTGGCTGCACTGCACATACTCTGGAAAAATGTCACTGTTCAGTGAGGATTGGTGACGTATGAGGTCCCTCAACAGTGCTCTGCCCGGAGGATATTCTGTGGGGAGCTGGACAAAAAGATGAGGAGCTCTTTCCCCGGCTACCAACATCAGCTGCAATAAAGCAAATACAGCTCTCAGTAGTCCTCTCAAGTGGAAAAGTTGGATAAATCCAAAGAAGAAAACATACTAAGATATTGCAAAAAAATCACTTGCTTTTGCCTTTCAGATGGAAAGCCAGTGGAGGTGGATCCTCATCACATTATAATAGAAGATCCTGACGGTTCCTGCACGTTGATCTTGGACAACCTGACAGGTGTTGACACAGGACAGTACATGTGCTTTGCTTCCAGTCCTGCTGGAAACGCCAGTACCTTGGGAAAGATCCTTGTTCAAGGTAAAGTCCTGCACAGGTGCATTATTTTAAAGGAGTCTGCTATGTGATACTTTAAACTTGTGTCAGCAATAGTGTGGCCAGAAGGACCAGGGCAGGGATTGTCTGTGTTTCTGTGATGAGGGTCTGTATAACACCTACTGGATAATGTTTTAAAATAGTTATTTTATGTACAAGTGCAGTCAACTGTTCTTAGGGCAAAAAATATAGTCTTTAGTGTCCTGTGTGCAGACACCGTGAGAATTACCTGGTCAGGGACACATCCTTCCTTCCTGGTCCTATTTCCAGCTATTATTTGATTTACCTTTGCTTTGCAGTGCCACCAAGGTTTGTGAACAAGGTCAGAAATGCTTATTTTGTGGAGGGTGAAGATGCCCAGTTCACCTGTACTGTGGAAGGAGCACCAAGGCCTCAAATCAGGTCAGTCCTACAAGTCACGCTGGAACAAATCCTGGTTTCCCACTTGGCATAGCCAGAAAAGTCTTTCGAGGTTATGACCCTTTCTTCTCTGTGTCTTCCACCTTTAACCCATCCCAATCCTTGGTCTTCCCAATCCCAACATTCCTGAGATTCTCAGCCATTTATTGTAGCTAGGATCTGAAAAAAAACACCTACAGATGATCCCTGGCTGTGTCAGATCTAACATTTTATCATTCCTTTATCCTCCCTGCCTTACACCTGAACTGATTCTATCACCAACCAGTATTCAGACAAAAAGCTCAGCAAATCTTTGCAGCATTTAAAGCCCTTTTCCTGCACTGGCTGATGAGATTGCTTGAGAAGAATCTTGTGTAGTTTAGTATCCACATGTGACCCACTCACCTGCAACCAACCTTCCAAGCTGGTTGCAGGTGAGTGGCTCACACATGTTTAAAATTAACTATTGAGATGGTTGATACCTGGAACAGTGAGATGGGCATCTCTTGACACTGGTTGTATTTTTCCTGGCTTATACCCCGTGTTTTCCACACGCAGATGGTACAAAGATGGGGTGCTGATAAAGGACACAAGTAAATACCAGGCTTTCAGTGAACCACGGAGTGGCATCGTGGTCCTGGTGGTCAAGAACCCTTCCAATGAAGACATGGGACACTATGAATGTGAGGTGAGTTCAGAGAGATTTAAATACCTGTCATGTGCAATGATATAGGTAGAAGAATTTGTTTTACTGGAGCAGACCCATGGCATGAGATCAGAGGCAGAGTAACTGCTGCCACCTGGGATATAAAACAATTATATAGAAAGTCAGACTGAACTGATCCGGATTGTGAACATCCAAAAGTTTCAGAATATCCTGATCTGGGAGTTTGCTGGTTCAAGTAATAATCAGCTGAGCTTGTTCTGTAGCTCAAACTCGTATCCAGATCTCTAGAGTTAACTCTTACAAAGTTTAGGGACACTCTGATGTGACATTTTGTTTCCAGACTGTCTTTAAATTATGACACATTCATGCTGCTACTAAGAAATCATCCAAAGCTAAAAGAAAGAAATGAAATCTAATTAGAAGGATAAACCACTGAAACACACAAACAAATTCCTGTTTGTTTAGCAAGTATACATGGAAGTATCTAATAAATTAAAATAAATGCAAAATATTTTCTGAAAATTAGTCATAGCCTATGCATTTATTGTAATAAAATAGTAATAAGCTCTGAGGCCTTGGCGATAAAAATAATTGATCTTGGTTTAGGAAATGAATGGGTCAGTTGCCCCTTGGTAAATGGTTTGGCTCATGGAAGTGTTTAGGATGTTTGCCATAATTTAAAGACTTCTATTAGAATTTTAGCAAAATCAGGCTACTTTGCATTTGCCATTAACTAAGACCCCAAGGTCCCATATCCCCTTGGATGAGTAAAACCCCATAGATTAATGGATGATGAACAAACAAAACCCTCTTTATTTACCACCCAAGGGCACAGAGCAAAATCTGTGCCTGTTGGTGGAGACAGAGCTAAGCCAGGACCGAGCCACAGGCTGCAAACTGCAAATAACTAAGTAAATAACTAAGTTTGCTGATGTCAGTTTGCTGTGATTTGTCTGTGTGGGGGTCATTTGTGGTAAAATATCATCAAGAACTCCACTGAGCAGCAAAGTGTCCCTTCAAACCCCAGCTCAGCATTGGGGTCACACCTTCACCCGTTCCCGTTGTCGTTTAAATGCATCGAGTTGTTTAACGTAGCGTAGGAAGCTTTTGTTGTCATCAAAACCCCCCCGTGTTTCACTGGGCACTGCCCAATTCTCTTCAGCTGATGAACAGATTAGGGTCTGCAAAAAGTGGAGCAGAGCTTTACCACCACAGTGCTGCAGCCCTGACCCAGGAGAGGAGAGGAGACCAAGCCATCACCATCGAAGGTACGGTCCTTGCCCAGCTCCGTAAGTAGGTCCCTGAATTCCTCCAAAACCACCTCGCTGAGGGTCGAATATATTTGCCATCTTATCCATGTTGGTTGTTGGTGTTCCTGTATCTGTATGTCTACCCAGATGTGCATGGGCAGAGTGCAGCTCAGCTCTGGACCCATCACCATCTGTTGATTTCCAAACCTGGCAAATCAACTTCATATAATGCTCGTCAAGGCATTATATGAGAAAGGAGGAGCAAATGAAGGGTATGTCACACCTCTAGTGCAAGAAAAATGTCCTATATTCTGTTGGAATACTTGAAAATGTGTGTCAACCTGGCAGAATGTGAGTTACAGGGGCCAGCAAGTAAAGCTGGAGGCATATTGTGATTGTATCTGAAATGCCACTGAGGAACATCAGGAATGATTGAGAAAGCAGAACTGACAGCAGTAAATCCTGAGCAATATTGGTTCATCCATGATTTAAGATTGTTCTGGGATAGTCATAGAGTCTATTCTTTTTTTTCCCACAAGTTTACCCTGGATTGAAGGGTCATAGGAATTGATTTTACACCCATCCAACACATCTCTTTCTTGACACCTTTAGGTATTTCTGCCTAAAGTTTCCTTCTCATCCAAGGGATGTCCACACACAGTGTTAGACAGGCTTGCTACAGACCCATCACAACCCACTTTCAATCTATGGGTACATCTGTGTAAGGGACTTTTCTTGGCATAGGAAATTGGTTCTTTGTACATCTTGGAAGTGTCCTTGGCTGGTTGAGTGTGGACCAGCCAGTGCTGCCTTTCTTGAATAGCTCAGGGGATAATACAGCCAAGGGACCACCTTCAGTAGGTAATAGATGATGATTTGGGGGGTAAGAGAGAGGACTAGGGCAGGCACAGGCCTTTACATGCCAGCAAACCTTGGTTCCAGAGACCTCTCCCAGATGTGGTTGGTGGAGACATGGTCAACAAAAGCCAGAGGTTTGCCAACAGCTGTGGAACCTTCTTTCCTCATCTTCAGTGATTCCACACTGTCTTGTGATAATAACAGGAGTTCAAGTGCCTGTTTGATAGGAGATAATTGGTATTATCAATATCCACTAAGGACATGTTAATTCAAGAAGCTGCCGGGCAGAAAATGCTGGAGAATCTGGAAAAATATTCAGGGAAAGTGGTTCTCTATTCCTATTTTCTTCATCACTTTCTATATTACTCTGTTGTTGGCCCTGTCTGAGGCAGGGTCCTGGTCTGGATGGACCTATGGGCCAGCTCTTTGGAGGCACTAATGTTTTATTATTGCATTAAGAGGATTCCCTCACAATAAGCTATTAAGATTAGTATCCTCATCTATGGACTTGCTTGACTTCATTTTAATCTTGTTTTCCCTTTATTCCTTTCCCAGAGTCCCATCAGAAAGCATTACAGGGAGAATGTTGTTAGTGTAGAAACACTGTGTTTTTCAGCAGAATAAACCTTCAAGTACTTGAATGTTTTCTCTGTGCTGTGCCCTAAAGAGAGAAAAATAAGTGGTATGCAGGATGCAGAGGAACATAAACAAAGCACTGTTAGGGTGGTGTATCTTGATGAAGTTCCCTTCAGGCAGAAGATGCTATAAAGGAAAACAAGGGTTGTAAAAAGCGTTAGGAGCATTTTCAGCTCTTGGGGTTGCAAATGTATATATTCAGCCCCAAATTACTCATCTGCTGTTATTCCTGCAGTCACAAACAAAACAAATTTTGCGCTTGATTGAAGAAATAGAATTGGAGTTTGCCTGGAAGCTTCAGAAATGTTATGAAATAGGTTTTCTCTGCGATGTGCAATTGTTTGAATTTGGTAATAGGGAAGGAAATAGATCCCTGAGTCACCTCCAGGGAGAAACAGAGGGAGAGCTGCTTCAGGCCAGAGGAGAAAACAGGCTCATCCATGGAGCAAGTGGATTGTTGTGAGCAGAATCCCAGCAGGGATGAATTTTGACATGATGCATTTGACCAAGGAGGAAACTTGTTGCTTTCTTGAGAATCAATAACCAGCCTTGATCTGCCTGTGCTGTGGAAAAATCAGGTTCATCTGGCAAAGAACCGGAGGATGGATGGATCTCATGAAGGCTTTCTCTTTCCATCCTTACCCTATATTTGTGAATAATGGGATTGCTTGTAACTTCACCAAGAGGACAACATTACTGCTGGCACCACAGGACAGAGATACCGTGTCTGCTCCCTCGCTCACCTGCACTGTGGGGCTGAGTTTTACCTGATTTATCCTTGGTTCTGTGAAATGACCATTGCCTGGGTCTCCTGAGGCACCCGAGGGGCTTTAGAGGCAAATGTTTTAGTTTGTATCCTCCTGCCTTTGTGTACTGTCACAAACCCACTGTCACACTTTGGGACACCGTTAGTCCAGCGGTTTGTGAGCCCTGACCTGCAGCTGGTGACGACCCACAGCCCAACACCACAGGTCTCACAACCGAAATTCTCGTTTAAATTCAGGCTGTGGGAATTTGCAGGCCCTTTGGAAGGACCAAACCCAAAAAAAGGATGGAAACCACTGGACTAAGGGGTCCCCTCGTGAGCTGAGACCTGCCTTCAGCCACATCTGGTCGCTGCACTGAAGTCAATGGAGAGTTGCTTAAAAAATTCCTCTTTCTGTGCATATTGGAAGTGTTTTAAACGCTTTAAAAAAAGTGTAACAGAAGAAGATCCTTCTCTTTGACTTCAAGCTTGTTGTCTGCTTTGCACCTTGTTGCTTTGACCTACACATGGCAGATCTGGGCTGTTGTGCTCTGGCGTCCCTTTTTAACATGTCACTGTTGTGATTCCCTCACCTCAGGCTCCCTAATGGTCATTTTTAAAGAAAAGCCCAGCTTTTGAAAGGTGTTGCATTTTCCTATGAGTGGGCAGGTCCAGGAACGAGCCAATAGCAAGGCGAGGAGTCAGGTAAACAAATGGAGATAAGCAAAGCCATAAATAAAAATTCCCAGTGCAGTTACAGCCAGAGAACAGGAATTTCTCCATGGTTTTGCCATAGATCTCATGCAGAGCTTTGGGCATGTTTGGTTGCCTTATTTAGTAATGCCCACCTTTCAGGGAAAAGCTAAATATTCCATGACTCTCCCATGGAAGATTGTTTTAAAACACAGGAACAAGTAGATCTCCTGGTGTCACCCTTTTACTGAAGAAATAGGGCATAGGATTTTTTTCCCCTGACCACTTGGAAGTTCACTGTTTAGGGTGGTGATTAAGGTATTTATCTCATTATTTTTATTCTGTTGTCACCATGGGTTAGTGACATTTTTAGGCTGACCACGTGGTTCTCAGAGCAAATTCAATCTGCCTTTGCAACCGTGTCAGTCATTGCAGGAGTGGGGCCTTTTGGTTAGTTTGATTTAGGGTTGGTTTTGTTTTTTGGGTTTTTTTGAGAGAGAGAGAGAGAGATCAAAACACTTGAATTTCATTCACACAATTTAGGAAACTGTTGTCTCCATGAATTGAGTCACCAATATTTTGAAGACCCGTAGATGTGGCACTTGGGGACATGGTGGCAGTGCTGGCTGAGCAGTTTGACTCGATGATTTTAAGAGTCTTTTCCAACATTAATGGTCCTGTGATTGTGTGAATCGCTCATTTTAGGTTTAGCTTTAGCAGTTCATGTCAGGTTTGTGCATCCCCTGCTGCTGATTAATCTCCAGAGTGTAGCAGAGAGGGGTGAAAGTGGAGCAGTGCTCCCGTGGTTCACGTCAGGAAAAATAGGTTTATGCTCCTGTGAGTGGAGAAAACAGACTTAGAAGTTGTAATAAAGGCCATAAAGCACCTTTCATCCATTCAGAATTCGCTTATCCTAAATGTTTCATCACTTGTAAGTCAATGTTTTAATCTATTAACCGAGGAGGAGTCTGGTCCTGTAGAAGCACTGGCTGATCCTAATGCTTCCAGCTTTTAACCTGCTTATCAGGGGCTCCTGCTTTGCAAAGCTGTTTTTTTTCCTAAAACGCTCTTGAAAAGTTGAAATGATAAATCCGGTGCTAAAATGGAATGCAGAATATTTTCCTCTCGGGGGGAAAAAAACAAACCAAAGCAAAACAACAAAAACAACAACCTAAAACCAAAAGAGAAACCCAAATTCTCTCATCCTACTTTCATGTGGTTCTATCCTTCACATAGGATTGCTCAAATCCTCCCTCACACCTTGGATAACACATAAAAAATTTGGCTTTATTTTCAGCTTTCTCATCCCAGGCCTGCTGAACTTTTGAATATTGAAGCCCTTTGACACCTGTTACATATAAAAATATTGTGCTCAGGGTAATTTGGGAGGCCTGCAGGAGCAGGCATTAATAAACATTAAAGAGACTTTTTCTCACAGACATTTTGAGATTTCATTAAATTCATCCAATTATTTAATTTCTATTATTTAATTCTCACCTCAGCACAGTTGCTGTTAAAATAATTGTATGAACCACCTATTTTCAGGTGTATAATCAAATTAATTAACACTTATTTACATCAGAACTCTTCACTCTTTAAGAGTCTTTACTCAGATACCGCTTATGGGTTAATTTCGTGATATTGTTTGATGAGATTTTCCAAAACTTGTGTAAAAATTGCACAATATTATTTGAAAATTCAGTGAAAATCTCAAACCTGGGTGCAGCGAGTTTTTTGAGCGCTCAGTTCATCTGCCACCATTGTATAATTATCATTCCACCATTTAAAAAAGGGTTTGAATGATACAAAAAAAAAAAATATATGAATTAGGGATAGGTAAATGGTCATATTGTAATTGTGTTCAGGGATAAATATTTGAAAACAGTTTTGCCCTTTGCTTACCCAGAAAGCGTAAAGTCAAAATTCCCAAACAGATTTCGTTTAAACCCACCCGATTCTGCAGCAATTCCCTCCATTCTAGAGGAAATCATTCCAGAGTTTTACAGGCAGAAATGAGACAAAGCTCTGCAAAGAAAACATGAGCTCTAGGTCAGACATTAACATCAACATCTGCACGAAATTGTTTTTCGTCATGATGGGATTTGTGTTTTCACCTGAGGCAGGAAAGAGCCCTTGGAAGTGAAGCAGAAGGAAAATTAGGTTGAAGTATTCCATCTAATATTGCAAATGTATTTTTAATTTTCAGCCAGGGCAGGTTTGGGGCACCGTTGAAAACATCAGCACTAATCACCAGTTATTTAGCAAATAATACAGACACTCCAAATTCCCTGGGCAAGAAGTGGGTGTGATTTTATGGACATATTTTTAAGTGGCAGTTCACTTAAATTGCTCCAACTGAGAATTACCAGAGCTTATTGATTATAGAATGGAAAACCAACATAAAATTAAAACCAATTGCTAGACAAATTACTTTGAGAAGTAAATTATAGGTTTTTTTAGGAATTTTACTAGTTTATTAAATAAAAATTGGGGCTTGGTGGTGTTTTTTTTCCTAGACCTCAAACAGGTTCAGCAGTTCAGAGTGTGTTCAAAACAGCCTGGTTCAAACAGTGCCTTTATATTATTCCAGCAGATAGGATGGGAAAGCTGCTGAAAATCTCAATTAGCTCTTCAAATGGTATCTTTCTGCTTTATAAAAATGTCAGTTTTAAAAAACAGTTGCAGAATCCTTCAGTCATTACTTTTGATCTTGATATGCATCAACAGCTTCCAGTTTGTTATGGGAGAAGGGTCAGGAAAAATTGCAAATTAGAGCAAAAAAGAGACAAAAAAGGAGCAGACACAGATGGATAACAGGGCTCTCCTGGGTTTCCTAGGATTTGGGGTTTTTTTAATGCTGATTTTCTGTACTGATGATAATGATTTTAGTTGTCATTGTTATCAGCTTGGGTTTTACATCAAGTCCACAAAAGCTTGGCAACAATTCAGTGTCTGGGGAAACTCTTTTTCTAGGAAGTGAAATCACAGTTGAAAGAATTTCAGCTCTCCAGGATTTTCCAGGCCGAGGCATTTTCAGGTTTCTGACACCATCACTTCCTTATTTATAGGATAAAAATATTAAATAAGGACCTTGTTTTCTAGCTCTGACCTGCCAAACCAAAATGGTAGAATAAGCAGATTTTTTGCCATATCTCTCTCTGCACAAAATATTTAATTTCAAAGCTAAATCATTCACTGCTCAGAGAACATTCTGGATTCTCATTCTTGGTGAGAAACACTAAGGATGATGCTGGAAATAACCACAGAAAGCATGGATGGGATGGTACAGTTGGTTGGTTTTCACTCCGGTTTATTTTGATTAACTGAGCAAAGATAATTTAATCATTTCAGCTTTTGCCTTTCTTTAACCCCATGCTGTTCATACTGTTTTCTTTGTAGTCACTGAACAAGAGACTAAAGTGCCCAAGAAAACCATCATCATGTAAGTGCTGATTTTTTATTTTTTATTTTTTAATTTTTTTTTGGTAACATTTGTGTTTTGCTTTGCTGCCTCTGCATGATCCAATAACAAGCTTGTGTTCATTGGCCATGCAAGTGTGTTCACTCCCATCCCACTGGATCCCACAGAGTTCTGAGCTATGTAAAGTGATCACCTTTGGAAAAAAAAATGCTTTAAATCCCTTTTAAAAAATAGCAGCACTGGTTCAGACACAGCCTGGGGCAGGTATTTGAGGATATTACACGTGAAAAATATTCAGTGTTGAAAACAAACCAGCTTTGAGAACTGTCTACCTGCAAACATCTATCAGTTTAACAAATATCTCACAACTCACAGTGGTTTCTTCTGGCTTTCTGTTTTAAATTTCTCAGGAAAGCCTTTTATGATGAAGCAGAAGGAAGATGAATATTTTTATCCCCTTCTATTTCTAATTTGAATTTTTGTCCTGATAATGACATGGTCTTTTAGGATACTTTGAGGCTGGTTTGTATTGGATACCTATAATATACATAAATTGCAGCAAAAAGAGGTATTTTCTCAGTCATATGTAGACCAGAAGCTCATTAAAATCCCAATCTGTCTTCTTCTCTCTAAGTATCATGAAGGAATACATTATAAAAAAGAAGTACATTATAAAAAAGAAGCACATTATTAAAGAAGTACATTATAAAAAAAATACATAATAAAAAAGAAATACAGTATAGAAAAGAAATACATTATAAAAAAGGAGTACATTATAAAAAAGAAATAAATTATAAAAAAGAAATACATTATTAAAAAGAAATACATTATAAAAAACCCATTATTAAAAAGAAGTACCTTATAAAAAAGGAATATATTATAAAATTGCTTCATGTGCGAGAGGGGCAACACTGTCCTTGTGTGATAGGCCTTCAGAGCACCTCAAAACTATTAAAATCATGTCCTGATGGCAGTAAATAACTATAGAGTGGATATTTTGGGAAAATGGATTACCTCCAAGGTTGTACTATTGCTAAAATCAGTCCTTGACTTGGACATGGTGCTTAAGTTGACTTATTTTACTTTGGTTGGTGAGCAGAATGTGCGAAACCAGAAGAGCTGCTTATCTTTTATTTTTGTTATTATTTTCTGTGGTGACTATTTCTTAAGATCCAGGCGCTTGGTCCATTTGGGATCAGGGGCTTATAAGGAGATGGGATTCCTAAATGAAAGGCTGCAGCCTCAAAAGAGGTTGGTAAATTTACGAGCAGGATCTCAGAACAATTCCCCTCCTCTCGAGGTCATGAACTTTTGTAAGAGTGGACTCAGCTGGAATTGGGACACTGACGGGATAAAATTTGGGAACAACTCTCTAAGGGCACATTCCAGCTCTCCTTAATGTGTAGGGAGCTGAGGAGCTTTGAAACTATTGGCAGAAAATAAGAGATAATTGAGAGATGGGACTGAACAATGTTCTGTATGTGCAAATCCCAGACACCACCCAAAAAAAGGGGTTTGAACCTTGCAACGTAGAGCGAAGTGTGGAGCAAGCACACTAGGACTCATTTTCATCTTTATCTAAAATGATTCGGTTTTGTGTAATTCAGAAAGGCCCCATGGCCATTCTGAAGGCTCTGCATAGACCTTCAAGGTCTACAAAAAAAATTGGGGAATGAGTAAAGCAGTGGAAATGAGCAGGAGAAGAGAGAACGTTCTGGAAGGAAATAAACCTCACTGTAGCTGATGCAGTTCTGGACCTCACCACACCCTCAAAGGGAAAGGTTGATGGTGGAAAGAAATCTGTTCTCCACAGGAGAAGGCAACACCAGCCTGGATTCGTAAACTCAGTTCAGGCCATTGCTTTTAACTTCAAGTTAATTCTATTTTTTTAATCCCATTCCTTGGAGGGAGGGACAGAATCTCGACACAGAAGCAAAATGAGCTTTTCCTGTGATTTCCACAGATCCAGCAGCAGAGCATTATCTTCCCTGTGCTTGCAAAGCAAACGCTGTCCTCACCTGCAATTTTTGCCACGTAAGAAACTCCACAGAAAAACCTGCAGGAAAAACTGCACGTTAAACGTATAAATTAAAAGCATTTAAGTCTAGGTTTAGATATTGGGGTAGAAGAGAGCTTTAAAGCTGATCTAGCCCAAACCTCTGTATTGAGCAGGTACATTTTCAACTAGATCAGGTTACTCAGAGCCCTGTCCAACCTGACCTTGGATGTTTTACAGGGGTGAGGCCTCTACACCATCCCTGAAGTCCCACCTGCTTTGGATATGTCAAAAGATCTAAAGTAAGGCCAGCAGAAATATGCTAAGAAATCATAATCATGCATCCCATATTGGTTGGTGTTCCTGTGTCAATTGGAGTTAGTAGGATTAGGCTGTGTCTGCAATGATAGATAATTCTATGAAGGGTAAAAATAAATTCATTTTGGCACGGATGACTCATGCAGGAAATGTTCTAACTTTCTTTTCCTGGTTGTCTGCACATGTTAAGGGTTAATTCCCTTTTAATGCAACTGTTCTGTGCCTGGAAATGCAGATCTCTGGCCTCAAAAGAGCTTTGATAAACAAAATAGAGATATGTTACATTTATTAAAAAAGAGAAAGCTGCTGACCCTACTGTAATAAAGGGCATTTAGCCATTGAGGTGGATAAATCCAGGATTTTAGCCAAGGATACTCAGGAAAAGGTTAAAGTATTTAAAATGTTGGGGCTCTGAAACTGCTCTGTGGGTCCAAAGTAGAACAGTAGATGGCCAACACAAGCACAGGAAGAACATTCTCAGCTGGACCTGCTTGTTGTGTGTTCATGCACTCAAGGGGTTAATGGGGCTGGGGTTCACCTGGGGAAAAGGCACTGAGGTTTTCCCTGGATCAGAAGGGAGGTGGAGATGGGCATGTGGGTGTGTGAGTTGTGTGTGTCCCCCTCCCAACATGACCTGCTTCACCAAAGGCTGGAGTGCTCCCAAAACTAACCCCACTGAAGTGCCCCAAGCGACCACGGCATGTGCTGATGGAGTGTGGCTCCCAAAAAAGTCTCGTCTTCCCGCCAACTCCGTTCCAACCCTTTCTGTCATCAGAGAGGAAACCATAACCACTGTGGTGAAGAGCCCAAGACAAAGGGGAAGGGTTTCTCCTGCTCGTTCTCCCTCTGGTCATTCTCCTTCCCGCTCCCCGAGGGCGGAGCCGACTCCAGAGCCGGTTTTTGTCTCCAAGATCAGGCAGCCTGTCCACAGGCATGACCAGGAGGCAGCACCCAAGTCTGCTGTGCCCAGGCTTTATGTCACAGAACCAGAGGACAGGCAAGGAGCAGCGGCAAGAGAGGTCGTAGAGAGCAAGGCGGAGGAGAAAAAGCCCAAATGGGTCGAAGTGGAAGAAATAATTGAATTCAAGGTGAAAAAATCGCCAAAACCCACAAGGAAAAGAGGCTCTTCCCCAGTGAAACAAGAAAAGGATGAGTCAGGGGTGTTGACATTCACTTTTCCCAGCTCAAGGCCGAGGCATTCCCCGGAAGATGATCCAAACACAAACAACTCCAACAATAAGTTGGTGGAACAGTCAAAATCTCTGCCCAGTGAGGGGCTCTCTGAAGGTGACATCCAGCCCCTGGTGTACACAACCGAGCAGGAAGGGCCTCAGGTCAGCAACGAAGACAGAAACTCCCCGTGTGGGTCCGAGCAACTAGGAAATGATTCATTCGTGGATTGTGGAACCGAAGGAAAGAGCTTCCCGCAGGAAGCAAGTGCTGACTGTGGGTCAGACGCCGCCTGCCCGCTGCTCGCCTGCAGGGGGGAGCCTTTGGTCTTCAGTTTTGAGGCAGCTGCTGGAGACCAGCACGAACTTGTGTTCTCCCTGGAGAGTCCAGAGGTTAAGGAGGAGGTGGATGAGCCGGACGTGTCTTGGCCTGTGGATGAGGGGGTTGCTGGAGCGATGCAAGAGGACAACGAGGACGACACCGTCGTCATAGTTGACGAGCCCGAGGAGCCGCGGGCGGACGACATCAGCACCCGGGACCGCAAGATCTTAACCCACAACGGCAAAATCCTGACTCTGGAGGACCTCGAGGATTACGTCCCCCGGGAGGGCGAGACCTACAGGTGCGATGACCAGGCGCCCGCGGCGGAGCGGCCCTGCGAGATCTCGGTGCTCCAGACGGAGATCAACGAGCCGACCATCGGGAAGCCGGTGCTGCTGAACCTGGGCAGGCCCGTGGTGCCCGAGCCCAGGCAGAGGTTCTTCAGCCAGTACGAGGAGCACGTCCCCGGGGGCGTGTTCGTGTCGGCGTCCCGGGTGACCCCCTCCAACATCTCCTTCCGTGTGAGCGATTCCCGCCCAGCGGCGGCTCCTCCGGGCCCTTCCTTCACGGTGAAACCCTCCTTCTGCACCGAAGTCCAGCGCTCGGCGGACAGCGGCCAGTCGAGCTTTAAAACTGAAGTTTCCACCAGAACCCTCAGCTACGGGACCGTGGGCGAGCCCGTCACCTTGCACATCAGCGCAGAAGACCTGTCCCAGAGCTGAGCCGGATGCGAGCATGATTTTTAACGCAAAAAAAAAAAAAGAGAAAGCGGCTTTTTGTATAAAAAAAACAATTAAAAAAAATTAAATAAATAATCGAAGTCGTCGTAGGCGAGGGGGATTGGTGGCAAGGATTACAAGGGAATACCTTGGAGGAAAATACGTTTAAGTACCATATGGCGAGCTTTTCCAGTCTTAAAGGGAACAGTCTGTCAGAACAGTTTGTAGCTTTAAAGGCTTTGACCGAGGTGAACATATATCATTCCATAGTGGGGCAGTGATGGTAGGTTTAGGAAAAGCCTGATTCTTCTACCTATGACAGAAGTACGAGTGGAAAAGCGCATTTTTGTCCATGAACTTAAAAATTGTTTCATGCGCCAATTCCTGGTGTGGCAAGAAGGTGAAAAACAAGCTTTTCAGCATCTTTCATCAGCCCAGGATAGGAGGATTTTTTCCAGCTAAAGTGTCTCCTGTCACTGTGTGGGCCCAAAGGTCATGAAGCTTCACATTGCTTTGACTCTGCTCTACCAAAATTTCTTCATAAACCTTTCAACACGCACAGTCTGGTTACATTAGTCTAAACTCCTGCCACGGAATTAAATATATATAGTAAATATTACATTTACTAGGGATGCAAAGGGCTGCTCAGGCCTTTTGGTTGACATCCCAGTTTTACTAAAGTCAGTGGTGAAAATCCCACTGTCATGAGGAAACAAGAGTTTTGTTGTTCTGCTTCAAGTGAAAAAGACTATTTTTTTTAAATGACTGATATTTTCAAATCCACTTCCTAGTTGTCTAATAATGTAGGTTTCATTATTCTGCATTCTAGTGAAGTGGATTTATATAGCATTTATATACCATATCTTTTAAAATATAATTTACTTTATGTGCACTTAAAGGTTTAAGTGCTGCACAAAATGATTTCTGCATCTGCAATCAAGCACTAACATGTGCAGAGAATCACAAATGTGATCTTAAACGAATCACAAATGTGGTCTTTGCTAATAAATATTACTGGACTAGTATTTGGTCTCCTGCACACGCCAGTGGTGAAACATTCCTGCTAACAGATGGATGGATGATGTATCCTATACGTGCTGAGAGGAATTTACCACTGAGCTACAGCAAAGTAGCAGGAGCACAAAAACATATTTAAAAGAAAAAAAAATAAGAAAAAAAGAAAAGAGAGCTTTACCATAAATGTTTGGTTGAAAAATAGATCTGTTCAAAATGTATTGGGTTGCCCGTTGCAGTTGCATCGCGTTGCTGTAACCCGGAACGCTGGGATGTCTTGTAGAGGGATTGCTTTCTGTGGAGTTCCTCTGGAGCTCTGCAGTGGGAATGCAGGTGGAGGGGAAGGCTGAGATGCACTGAGCCCATTCCTGTTGGCTTCCCCCAAAAGGGATGTTGCACAGACCTTCAACAAGCTGCTCAGCCCTGGAAAGAAAAGAGCTCACCGGCCCAACCTTGGTGCCAGTTGAAATCAGATGGAGTTTGTCATTGATCTCAGCAGGACCAAGCGCTGGCCCTGTGGCTGACAGAGGGGTAGGGTGAAAAATCCCCACACTTTGTCCTAGCTGAGCTCTCTACAAGTGTTGCAACAGGAAATGTTTTCCCTTTGGTGGTGTAGGGAAACCAGAAATGCCCGGGGAACTGCTGGATTTCCGAGCAGCCTGAGGAGGGAGGATGGAGTGAGTTTCTGCCTTGGGAATGTGTGTGTGGTGTTGTCTCAGTGTTTCCTGGCCAGGTAATATCGAGGAGCTTGTTCTGGAGTCTTGGCAAAATATTCCTGCTGACAGGGACTGAATTCACAGAAGGTGCTTGCAGAAAAGAACACGTTATCTTTTTTCCCTTCCGTGGCTGCACCTTGATCATGTGCTGACTAAAATGAACGCAGTGATTTCACAGCCTTCCACTCTCTGCATCCAGACAGGGTGTTGTGTGGAATATAACGTGCACTACCTTCATGATATAGGATGCTTTTCCAGGGGTTATGTGTGGTGAAGGAAATCAAGCTTCCTTTATGGTACTCTCCCGTTTTTTTATAACATCTCCTTGGTTTATACTGTTTGTTTTATAATCAGCAATACAATGGATATATATATTAGTGCTTTTTTCATATATTGCACTGTACATTGGAAAGTAACAGACACACAACGGGGAAATACTTTCAAAACTGGAAATATTTCTTTTATATTGGGTCTGATTCTGATCTCAGCTATTCCAGTATCAATCTAGAAAAATTCCACTGAAGGAAGTGGGTTTCGTTCAGATTTACAAAGATACTGCTGAGAAAAGAATTTGCCCTGTGATAAGCTTTTAAAATATGATATTCATTCAAAAGTTAATGAAGATGTGTAAAGGAATGGGAGGTTTCCTCCTGTTGTGGTTGATGCTCAGGTTTTTCTAAAGACACTCTAAGGCTGCAGTTCAGATGGTCATAGAAGAAATAATTATACTTTGATTCATTAGCTCAAAGCAATTAACATCTGTTTACATTTTCTTTTGAAATTTAAGCAACAGAGAATCAATTGAAAGAAATTTTTAAAATCCTCTGTTCAAAAAGTGAAAGATTTATGAAAAGTTCATTACATATACCTTCAAAATATTTTCCTAGAGGTTAAAAATTATGCTTGTAAGTGATTGAACTCTGTAGATAACTAATGAGACATGTAGGGATTTATTTCTTGTAGATGAAAACATACAGCTGTATGAAAGATTTTAATACAGTGGATGTTTTACTAAAATTCCTGCAGGTAAATGGGTATTAATAAAGTGGAAACTTCAGTTTGCTTGAGGTACAAAAAGAAAAAAAAACACACACCAAAAAAAAAAATCCAATGCAAGATATGCTGTTAAGTGCTGAGTTTATATCAATAAATGTCTTGCATCAGCTGTCACTGAACTCCTTGGGTTTCTGTGTTCTTTTTTATGGCATTTGATATTCCATCAGCTCATCCTCTTCTCCCCCTGACTTCAGCAGAAGCTGGATCATGGCCCAAGAACAATAATTCAGTTGGGCTCTGGCTCCTTTTTTTATAGGAAGTTTCAGAACTGTTGAAGTGGAAGGATCTGTTCTTAGGGATATTTCCAACTCAGGCCTATGAGTCAATAATCTTGAATGATATTTGTCCTCTTGGGTCCTTCTCTGAGACCGAACTGGAACTTCAAAACGCATGTCAGTCTTAACACAATTCCCTGGCTGTGGGCTGAAGGAGATGTGGGGTGGAAAGGTTCAAGGGTGGGATTTTAGAACTGGGAATTTTTGTCCATCACGGGTGTGTCATCACTGTGGTGTTGGTTCCATGTACCTTGGTGGATATTGAAGTTCCTCAGGTCAGCAGCTTGAATCAGTGTCCTAAAGAAGGAAGGAGGTGGTGTAACATCCCTAAACAGCTGTGAAAATGGTGGTTTTAGCAGCATGGAGGAGACCTGTGATTATATATAACCTCTATATCTCTATGTATTTCCTCACTGAGAGATCCTGAGCGTTTCATACCTTTCCAAAGAGATCCCTTGTTGGCAGCTGCCCAGCTCACAGGTCAGCACCAGCTGGCAGCAATCACAACAGGAACACCAGGGAATTGAAATATTTCTCTAGGAAAATACTTAAAATCTTCCACCCATCCCAGTGCTGACAAACACGGAGGGTCAGTCTGGGGCACCGAGTGAGCAAAACTTGCTTTTTCCATCAAAAAATTTAGAAAATAAATATTTCATAACCACTATGACCATTGAAAACAAAAAAACAAGCGATGTGTCTTCGAAGGGAGCTGATCCAAACTTGACCTATCATGAGAATCTGTTTCCTTAAGGATGGGAAAGGAGCAGAATCTAAACAGCTACAGGATGTGCTCACATGTCAATGACATTAAACGGGTCAGAGATCTTTGTTCCAAGTGCTCGCATTTTTTCTTGAACCACGCGATGGTTTGAGTTTTCTCTCTTGCTTGGTGAGCAATCACATCATGAACATGATGATTTCTCTTTGTCTGACATGCATTTTGCCTGCCTTGATGGTTCCTTGAGGGCTTCTCTAAACATCATCTGTCCCTTTGTTGTACCTCTTCAAGATCTGTGGAAGGTTTATTGGGCAGTAAATTGATGAGATGAACTCCTGAGCTCCTATGATCCCATTCTAGAGTAGCTGCTTCTACCATCACTGGATGGGGGGTGAAACCATGCTATTTGTCTTCTGGGTGGCCATTCTGCAAAAACTTATGCTTTGGAAGTCCATTTTTCGGTGTTTAAAGCTTCTGTCTTCTCTCTGCCTTCAAGGCAGTGAGTTTCTTGAGGCAGGAGTTACCTCTTCCTCTGTATGATGCTCTCCTCTGCACCACTGCTGGGCATGACTGTACAGACTGGATGACTTCACTTCTGGGGTATCTTGTAAAGGCATATCTGAGAACAAACTTAAAGGTCTCAGGTACCTCCTGCAGCAAAGCCCAGCAAAAATATCCAGAAATGGTAAAGTAGGACAAACACCTCACTCAGGAGCAAAAGAACAGCTTTTCTGCTGTCCTATCGTGAAGCAGAAAAACCTTCCCTTCTTTCCCCTGCCCTTCTCCAGAGCCACTGATGACACTGGTGCCTTTTCCCTCCTTCTTCCCTGTGATGACAACGTCCTCCTGGCACATAGGATCTGTATCAGTGCAGTGGGTTCAGGTCATTGGTCTTAACCAGTGATTAGTTCCTCCCCCAGAGGGTGGTTGGCACTGACCAGGCTCCCCAGGGCAGTGGGCATGGCCCCAAGGCTGACAGAGCTCAGGGAGTGTTTGGACAACACTGTCAGGGATGGGGTGGGATCGCTGGGATTGTCCTGTCCAGGGCCAGGAGTTGGACTTTGATGATCCTTGTGGGTCCCTTCCAGTTCAGGATATTCTATGATTAATAAAGGTATTTTTGACCAGCCAACATAGAGTTGAGCCGGGAGATGAATCCTTTGTTCCACTGTCTAGGGAGATCCCACATGTGTACACAGTGTGGCAAAGTGTCCTCAGCCTGGGGGGACACCTCTTTCCAAAGCCAACCTTCTTATTCCAAGTCTCAGCCACATTCCCTCTTGCTGGAATAAGCGTTTCCACATCAACTCTCTGCTCTAGGAGAGTCAAACCATACAATTGCAAAGATTCCCATGGGTTGGGCGGTGCTGCTGTTTTCTTTTTGCCCTTGAGAGAGAAAAGCTGTTGTTCTTGCCTGTAGGAATGACTCCCCCACAGCCAAGGATGGAGACTTCTGTCCAGGCCTCGCTCCAACGCGCCGATAAGGAGATCAAGACAGCCCTGAGGACACTCATGGACTCGGCGTCAATGCTGGTGACTCTTCCCCTGGGCATGAGAGGAGAAGGTGGCCTTGGCCTTCCTGGGTCTGTTCCTCCAGACCTCTCAGAAACATCAGCTGGGCCCCCTGTGCTGGTTCATGAAGCCAGCACCCAAACCCGGGCTCCTGGAGGCCATGGTAGGTTGGGCATGGATCTGGGAGAGGTCCCGTGGGAGTCAAGAGAGAGAGAGAAACACTGAACGTGCCAGCAAAGATATTTTTTACCTCATTTTTCTGTTTCAGTGTGTTTTGAGCAGACGAAGATTAAGAGAGGACATTCAGACCCCAAGAAACGTGGGGGTGTGGGTTGGGGTTAGGTTGGATATAAGAACGGGGCAGATCTTTCAGGAAACAGGAGATGTTTGAAAACCACGTCTGAAGTAGAGTTTGATTCATCACCTGCCCAAAATGGAGGGAATGGGAATATTTTCCAGCTTTGGGCTTTTGTCCCTTTTCTTGTTTCAGGTATTTTTGGGGGAGAAGGTGGAATGAGAGCCCTCTTTTACATTTATAAAGTTATTTGGGATTTGGTTTGGTGGGGTGGGTGAGGGCAGTTGCTTTAGTTTTTGCCATAAACAAGCTGGAAATGTGTTTAACATCCCTGGATCCGCTGGCAGAAGTTTTAGAGGATGTTCAGTGCATCAAGTTCAGCTGAATTTCACTGACCCTGGAGCCTTGACAGACTCCTTAGCAGCTCCTGTGTGACTAAACCCAGTGATGTGTGTGACTGTGTCTTGCCAAGATATCAAGTCCTTTGTTTTTCCATTGTTTTCAAAAAATCCCAAATGAGAGACAACCCTTCCACTCTTCCTTCTGCTTCTGCCATAACAACTTGTCTCAGCTGTCTCTGTGTCAAGTCAGAATAACTGTTTTCTCAAGTAACCCTCAGCCCCAAATCAAAATACTGTTTAAAAAAATAAGATATTCTTGTTTAAAACAGAACAAGAATAAAAGCTGGTCAGGGAATCAGACCCAAAATAACGGCATATAAAAATGACAGGACTTTAAAACCTTTTTTTTTCCTTTCTAGTAGGAAATCATCCTTGGCAATAATAGCCTGGTGAAGCAGGACGACTCAAAAATCTGAAGTAAAACGTCAACTAGTAGATTATTTCCTTAGTCATAACTACAGAGGAAATACAATAGTGAATGAGATGGTTTTGCAGGTCTTTCATTGAGCAAAATTAAATATTTTATGGGGAGTTATTTTAATCAGATGGAAACTTGACAACTGTCCCTATGATCACATGCTTTGATTAAAAAGAAGGCAAATATTTCGATAGTGATAAGAAAGCACAATCCCACTAACCTGTCAGCAATGTCTTGAATAACCACTTTTTCCATCCCCATAAAGCTGTTTTCTGTGATTTCTAGAAACTGCTGCTTTTTTCCAAAACCATTCAGCACCAAACATCCATAAAATGCTTCCTTCTGGGGGAAGACCCCTCTTAATTTAACTTTTTCTCCTAAAATGGAAAAGAAGACAATGCACTTTATCCTATGGTGTAATTCCAGTATCAGAAGACAGTCGGGTACTTTTGGAATGGGAGATCAAAACAGGTTTTAAAGATATGTCTCATAAAATAATTAACTAAAAAAGTTGAAAAATACCTGAACTGCCATCAAGCTGCACCAAATTTTTGTTTCCTTGTTCCTATAAGCCCCAGATGCCAAACCTTGTTCTGGTGTAACTTAGAGCTCTATGAAGACATTTTCCAACAACCCAGTGGAGGTGCAGCAATGCTAATGTTAAAATATCACATGGTTCTCTGTAAGAATGTGCCTCCATATTTTCTCCAGATTAATCATATCCCCACCCAGGACTTGCTTTGACCACCACTTTTACGTTGATGTGAGTTTAATCATGTCACTGATGCTGTCTGTGATCACAGCAGTGAGCCAAGAGCTGTTCTCCTAACAAGGTTTAATTGAAACACTCATGTGTACAAAGCTAATGTTGGGTTTCCCTGGATATATTTAAAAGATGTGTAGATGTGGCACCTGGGGACATGGTTTAGTGCTGGCCTTGGCAGTGCTGGGTTAATGGTTGGACTCGATGACCTAAAAGGTCTTTTCCAACCTAAACAGTTCTGTGATTCTACGATTTCATCACAGCCATGAGCTGGAACTCCAACACAGATAAATTATCTCCTATAAAGGATGGATGAACCCGCAGTATCCTTCCAGTTGTCCTGTTTCTCCCTGTCCCTACAGACTGCCTTTCCCATCTCTTGTCTGTGTGTGCTTCCTTACAGAAAAGTTAGTATTTCCCAGTCAGAAACGTGCCTCCATTTGGTCTCTCTGATGTTCAACCCCTTTGCTTCATGTGATCTTTGCACAAGGGCCAAAATCTCCTCTGAGCTTCAGTGACTGCACTCAGCTGGACTCAGCTGGACTCGGTTCCAACTCCAGGCAGACTAGAGAAGGCCCCAAAGGCTTGCTCTGGGTTTCAGGTGTGCTGTCGTAGGTGACACGTTTAACTTGCCCTGTTTCTGCTGCCAGACAAAGCACAGAGGCAGGTTTCAGCTGAAGAACCCAGTGTGCCAAAGCCCAGCCCTGGTCCTTCCAAGGAAGACACAACTGCTGGAGACGGAAGCGCTCGGGAATGCACCGTTCCCATCGACAGGTAAATGCCATCCCAATAGATTGATACAACACACAGGGATTTCTGAGCGGGGCGGACTCTGCTGCAAGAAAATCAAGTTCTCTGTTGTGGAGGAACCAGGTGGTGACTTGAACAGGTTCTTGTAGGTTTGCCATAATTTTTAGAATCCTGGTGGCATGTGCTTTGTCAAAGAAGGGTAGAAAAGGTTGGAGAGAAATTCATTCCCCCAAACCAAAGTTGTGTTAACTTTAAGTAAATAACTCTTCATCTGCTGGTTAAACAGGTCTGTGGCAGGGGAAATCTTGCACCTCTTGTCACTGCATGTGACAATGTCTTGATCTTTTCTCTTGGGCTTCATGGCAGAACCTCACCAGAGGCAGGGGCAGGAGGCTGGTACAGGAGAGAAGGAGACGTGGTCTGGGATGTGCACAGTGAAGTTTATATTGAGACCACGGAAAGAACTCGTGTGTATAAGACTGAGGAGAAGACCCCAGCAAGTAAGAGCACACCCTGTTTCCCTCTCCCACATTCCACAATTGCCACTGTCTTTTCTTTTGGTATCAAGTCCCCATGACTGCTTTTTTTAAACAATTCCAATTTTTTTTAAGTGGTAACTTGATTAAACAAAAAAATAATAGGTAACCCTGAAGATAAGAAGCCTAAAAGTAATGCCAGTATAAAGAACCCCAAATATATTGCTGTGGTACCTCTTGAGTTGACACTAAGCTGTTATACCCTAAATGGCCCATCCAGTAAACACCATTTGAGTAACTCCACCTACATCAGCACACTGGGGACAAAGTTATGGCATTGTGCATGGAGCAAACCCTTGTGTCCCACCAGGTCCTCCCTACATGCAAGTGACAATAGAGGATGTGCAGGTGAACTCTGGGGAACGTGCCAAATTTCAGGCAGTCATCGAGGGAACCCCTCCACCCACCGTGCTGTGGTTTAAGGTGAGTGCAGATTTTGGCTGACAGTGAGGACCACAGAAAGGACTCTAGTGCTGGACTTCCACAGGGAATGTCTTCTGCTCTTTCATGCCACATATCTTACACTGATTGTGGATCATGTCTGTAGGGTTTGTGGAACCAGCTGCTCTCACTGGAACCACCATCCCCGTGTCTCACCCTGTGTTGTCTCCAGTGTCACTGGGGATCCTTTTTCAGACAGGGCAACCCAGATGGTTTTGGAGACCAAGATGAGCAGGAAAGGAAACTGGTTCCTGCCTGAGAGTCACTGATATATGTGCTGTTGTTTGGGGCTGGGGATGGGATTAGGAGTGGTTTATTCCAATTGTCAGCATGACTTCCAGGCTCTGTATCTTTTCTGCAACTAATTGTTAAAGTGAGTGTGACCAAGGACAATGAATATCCCACAGGAAGGAAAGAGAAATAATTTCTCATTCCTTAGAATATTGCTGCCATATCTTGTCATATTGCTAAAAGAAGCCTCAACTTGCTCTGTCAATCCTCATCTGGAAAGGGTTACAGAGGACATTGCTGCAACAGTACCAAAGCATGGGCAAGCCATGGATTTATTAAATGATGCTTTGTGTCTTATTCTTTATTCCTTCCCTAATAATTCTAACATCTGATATTTTTTGGGTCCCACCAAGCACTGAGCTGGTGCTGCTGTGGAGTGATTTGCTCTGAGTTAAAATTTGCTCCAGTATAAAAAGGAACAGCTCTGAGACTGACATTTTATGTGTGGGAATAGGGTTCACTTCACCTACATTGTATTATATACATATATGTATATATTGTATTATATGTATTTATGTTGCATTTTACTGCCATAGGGACCTTTAGCAAATGCTCACAATCTGCCCTCTGTGTCACACACACTCCCTCCTGTCCCTTTCTTCATGGCATTTAGGAATATATAGAATCACAGAATCTTTAAGGTTGGAAAAGACCTCCATGAACATCAAGTCCAACCTTTGACCAAACACCACCATGTCAACTAAACCAGAGCAGTGAGTGCCACATCCAGTCCTTTCTTGGACAGCTCCAGGGATGGGGACTCCACCACTTCCCTGGGTAGTCTGTTCCAGTGCTTAATCACCCTTTCTGTGGAGAAATTCCTCCTGATGTCCAACCTGAACCTCCCCTGGAACAACTTGATGCCATGTCCTCTTGTCCTGTCCCTCGTTCCCTGGGAGCAGAGCCTGACACCCCCCGGCTCCTCCCTTCTGTCAGGGAGTTGTAGAGAGTGAGAAGGTCCCCCCTGAGCCTCCTTTTCTCCAGGCTGAGCTCCCCCAGCTCCCTCAGCTGCTCCTCATCTCACAAACACCACAAGTGCCAGCACAAGCTGGAGACCAGGCAGGAGCAAAGCAGCTGATCCTTGTGTTCCCTGGGCTGACTGCTCAGGAATGGTGTGCTGGGAGAGCTGAACAATCAACCACATGGCACTGGTGATCCCTCCCAAGCCTGTATTCCTATAAATGGGAACACTGGGACATGGAGGATTCTCCAGCCAGCATTTTGCTGGTGAGATTTGCTGACCTCAGCAGTCTGTGTGGTAGCTCTGCTCCCGTAGCTTGTCTCTTGAAGAGAGAAAACATCTGTTTCCATCTTGGTTTTTCCAGTGCTAAAATGTCATTTCCTTCTTTCAGGGCACTTCACTGCTGACAGACAGTGACAGAGTCCACCAGGGGAAGGAAGGGACAACGTATTTCTTAGCGGTGGACGATGCTGCCGTGGAAGATGGTGGTGTTTATACCTGTGTTGCCAAAAATGCAGGAGGGGAGGTTTTGTGCAAAGCAGAGCTCATTGTACGTGAAGGTAATGCCACTCCCTCAGCTGCAGGAGTTGCTTCCATAGCCATGGCAACATGTAATCTGGTGTTGTCGTGCTCTGGTACCTGTATGGTATCAGCTCTCTATTCCTGTGTGCATTTATAGATTGCTAAATACCACAAGATCCAGTATAAAACCAAATCACAGAATCCTGGAATGGTTTGGGTTGGAAGGGGCCTTAAAGACCACCTCATTCCAACCCAGTCCCATGGGCAGGGACACCTTTCACGTTCCCAGGTTGCTCCAAGCCCTGTCCAACCTGGCCTTGAACACTTCCAGGGATGGGGCAGCCACAGCTTCTCTGGGCAACCCCAGAGTTCACATTGACAGGTTCTGTTATCAAGCAGCTCCACCTAATTCTCTTCAGAAGTTCAGAGAATCTCTGTCATTTTCCTGCTTTAGATTGTCCTGTGACAGCTCTGCACACTATTAGCAAGGCATTGCTGTCTGAATATTAACCTTTATATTTTCCTTCATTTCCAAAGCTAAGAAAGACCAAGAAGGAAAGAAAGTGGCCACCAGGCGAAAGCTCCATGCCCATTATGAGGTGAAGCAGGAAATTGGAAGGTAAATGAATTTTCCAGCTCTAGAGCATCACTGCCAGGGAACATCTAATTGCCCTTCCAAGCTGCTGAGGCAGAGGGGGCCCAGCTGTGGAAAAGTGGAAAAGTGGGAGGTCACCCCATTGCAGGTGTGCTGGGAATGCTTTCCTGTGGTTTCTGACAGAGGATGAGAGAGTCCATACAGCCCATAAGTGCAGGCATCAGCCTTTGTCAGCACCTGCATCACCTGAAACAGCTTTTCTCGTTATGTGGGCACCTTGCTTCGCTTTGGAGGCAGCCAGGAGAGGGCAACAGCACCTCACGGACAGGAAAATGAGCTTTTTGTGCTGGAGAATTTAAGCACTGGGCAGTGGGGAGCTGTTAAAGGGCAGGATGTGGAAAACTCTCTGCCTGCTGCTCTTTAAACCATGTCTGAGCAGGGCTTGTGTCCTTCGATTCCTGCACAGGGGCTGCTTCAGCTTCGTGAAACGGGTTGTGCACAAAGGGAACAGAGTGTCCTGTGCTGCCAAGTTCATCCCTCTGCGAAGCAAAACCAAGTCTCGAGCCCACCAAGAGAGGGACATTCTCGCCTCTCTGTCCCACGACAGGATTACCCGGCTCCTGGATGAGTTTGAAACAAGGAAAACACTGATTTTGGTTCTGGAGTTGTATCCTTTTTCTGTGCAGCTTGTCTGAGGAGGCTGGGGAAGTAGTGGGTGGAGCCAGTTTATTAAATAAACTTATGAATTAACAATTTTTTGGTTTTGCCTGAGATAAAAGGACATGCACAGCCCTTCTCTGCACTGCAGGCACAGCTCTGTGGGAGCTTCACTGCAGTACTGTTGAGTAAAATCATACTTGTATATCCAAGTGTGAATGGGTTATTAAGCATCAAAACTCTATTCTGAAATGTCTGGAAGTTAAGGACTCTTTTTTTTTCCATGAGATCCAGTCTGAGTGAGCACCAGGAAAAGGCAGTGTAGACCAGAAAACCCAGTAGCCAACAGGTAGATTTTAGCACAAGCAATACCAAAATCTACCAACCTACAGATCTTATCTCCCGCTTGTAGGAGCACGGGTTTAGAGCAGCCCAACTCTGCCAGAAGGGCACAGCAATAGAGATTTTAATGATCATCACATTGCCTGAGACCACCTGGTGAATTCTGCTGCAAAAAATGAGCTTTTACCTTCAGTTCTGCTCTCCCTTAATGCCCTTGTCAGATGCTCCAGCGAAGAGCTCCTGGACCGTTTGTTCAAGAAGAGTGTGGTCACCGAAGCTGAGGTAATTCCTCTCCCTCACTTGAGACCCCAGAGTTGGTTCCACCTGCATTTTCCTTATGGAGGAATGTCTTTCCTTAGGAGGAATGTCTTTGAAACCAGTGGCAACCTGTCAAAACACAATCAGCTCTTCAAATGTGTTCCCAACAAGTTGAGTTTCTCTGGACAGTAACTAGAAACAGGCAGTGGTTTTGACCACCAGGATTGCATTCAGCCTGAAAAATATTATTATATTTGCTCTAGTATTATCATTTCTTTGCTATCTGTCACCTGGAGCTCCTGTATCTTTGCTTGCTTAATACCAATTTATCCCCTTGTAACTGAATTCTATCCACTCCCTTTCAGTCCCCAAAATAAAGGGATGAAATTATGGTTTCTAAAAGGTTCTTTTTTTTTTTTTTTTTAGATCCTTGGTGCTCAAAGTTCAAAATGTTTCATTATCTCCCATCTGGTAGCCAGGTGTCCCACGTTTATGGGGAAAATTGATTTTTCTTAGAATACTCAGAGGGAAACATCACAGAATGGTTTGGGCTGGGAGGGATCTTTAAGGATCACACGTCAACTGACACTATAAAATATCAAAGGTAAAGGACTTCCAGAGCTGAATCTGGATGTAAATCTAGATATAAATGTTCAAAGTCATAGTCTGATTGGATCTGCATGTGGTCAACAAATAGGTTTACAAGATAGTTTTAAGATGTATTTGTGTTTTAAAAATTTGTGTTTGCCTGATTTAAACCTAGCCAGAGCTGAGTTTGTGTTATGACAGGTTGATAAAGTTTGTCAAACTTGAGGATTTTTGTCTCTTTTATTTCTTTTAATTTGCAACTTTGTAGGATTGTTTTGTTTTGTTTTGTTTTTTAAAAAAGTAGGGACTTTTTCACATACAGAAGGTTCCAGCAGGGCAAAGGGGTCACACACGAGGCACAGCTTCATTCCACAGGGTTATGTTTGGTTCACATCTAATTCCAACTGCAAGAATAATAAAAGAAGATAATTCTAGCTTTAAAAGTATTTCTGGTTCAATTTCTCCCTCTCTCATATACTACAAATATTGATGGAATCAGGGACCCTCCTATGTACTATTACTGTTTAATGATTTTTTAATAATTAATTTGATTCTTAGGTCAAACTGTATATCAAGCAACTTTTGGAAGGACTCAAATATCTTCACGACAACAACATCCTTCACTTGGACATCAAGGTAATGTGCAATGACAGGCTTTTCACAGCCTCTTCTTTGTCAGGGAATGGGCATTCTATGTTTGAATTATTTAGTTATTATTCAATTATTTTCTTACTTAAAATGGAAAATATTGCCTGCTTTAAAGTAAAATTTCTCCTTTTATTTTATTTTATTAATTCATTTTATTATTTTATTTTATTTTGTTTTATTTTGTTTTATTTTATTTTGTTTTATTTTGTTTTATTTTATTTTGTTTTGTTTTGTTTTGTTTTATTTTGTTTTGTTTTATTTTATTTTATTTTGTTTTATTTTATTTTGTTTTATTTTATTTTATAATTTTATTTTATTTTATAATTTTATTTTATTTTATTTTATTTTGCAGCCACTGAATATCCTCATGGTTTACCCCGAGAGGGAAGACCTGAAGATCTGTGACTTTGGGTTTGCTCAGAAGATCACCCCCTTTGAGCCTCAGTACAGCAAATACGGCTCTCCAGAGTTTGTTGCCCCAGAAATTGTTTCTCTGTCACCGGTGTCAAAAGCAACTGATATCTGGTAATATCTGCTCATCTCTCATCTTCCTAAAAAGCTTTTTCAGGCCCTTGATGGCCTGAATATCCATTTACTGTTAATAAGTAAATGGAGCAGTGATAATTACACAGGAAACTGGAAGTGAACTCTGAGAATCCAAAAGCCATCAGGGCCCTTTAAAGCTCCTTCTGTTTATTGTTTTTTTTCAGTCATAATTGAACTCTGACAGCTCATTGATGCAAAGGAGCATCTTAGAGGAGATGATCTCTATTAGAGGCAGCAACAAGAGAGAATGATCCCAAAGAGCTTTCCAGAAAAGGCAAACAAACTCAAAAAAAAAAAAAGTATTATGAGCCCTTTCCTTTATCTGTGCTTTAAAATTGGAAGATGGCTCGAGAACAATTTTAAAAAATATTGAAGGGGGAAAAAAACCCTGAAGGGTGAAAAAAACTTTTGGGATTTATTTTCCTTGGAAAGGTGAGGAGAAGGGGGTGTCTAGTGGCAGGAAGAGGGGCTGTGTGCTTGAGAAGGATGGATAAATAGTGACAAAACACCTGACATCTGTGCTCCCTTTCTCCTCAGGGCTGTTGGAGTCATCACGTATTTAAGGTAAACAAATCTTCTTTTAATGACTCATTTAATAATCCTTTGTCCATCAGAGCCCTCCAGTGCCTTCAAGTGGGGGATTTGAGTGGAGCATTGAGTCTCTCTATGATAAGGACAATTTATTTTGTGTTTTCCTCCTCTCCTGGGTTCCCAAGGCTTTGGTTGTTGTCCCTGAGAGCTGCATTCCTTGTAGTTCACAGTGGAAGCAGTGGATGAGGTTCAGTCTCCCCTGTTTTAGCCAACACCCCACTGTACCTGTGCCTTAATTCCTTATCTTACTATTATCCCAAATAAATAATGATTCAGTCAAGTGCCATGAAATGCTGGGGTGAAAGACGACTTGTTAGTGAACACCTTGCTCACAAAGCAAGTCCCACACACGGAGTCCCTCAAATATCTTAAAACCCCAGGAGGGCACTTGTGCTTCTGTCATTTGAACAGCAAATCAAAGTCTAAAATCTGTCTCCTTTTATTTTGTGGTGTCCAATAAATAAGCCTCACGTGCAAGTCTCCGTTTGCTGGGGAGAACGACAGGAAAACCCTCCTGAACATCCAGAGCGGGGAGATTTCATGGACCATTCCTGACGTTGTTCACTTGAGTGAAGATGCAAAGGACTTCATGAAAGGGATCCTGCAGCAGAACCCCAAGTGAGTGTCCTCCTGTGCTTCCTTCCTTAACTGAACCCCAAGTGAGTGTCCTCCTGTGCTTCCTGCAGCCCCGTGCAGGGGTGTTGGTGGCTCAGCAGGCACATCTCGGCTCCTCGGAGCTGTTGTTCTCTAGAAAAGTAGCAAGCTGATGTTTCGAGATGTTCTGCCCTAATTTTAGCTCGTTATTCCCCGTTACCCAAACCACAGTTTGGATATTTGCCACGTTGGGGTGGTGATGGTGACTCCCTGCCCCCTCCAGGCAGGTGAACTTCTGGAGTGACATGGACAAGTGGGAAGAGCAAGGACTGGTGTAGAGGGAGTTATGAGAGAATTAAATACCATTAACCATATTCATTAAGCAATTTCAGGTACAAAAGGAGGCTTGAAGGCAAGTTTGCAGGCCCTTGCTTTTTAATTTCATTTCTATTCTTTCTGCCTCCTGCCAAAGCTATTTTCTCTCTGGCCACCTAAAGAGGCAAAGTCCCTCTTAGGGCTGCTCTGGACACCCTTGAACAGGCTCCACACAGAGTGTCACAGGGTCTTCCTGGGGATCTGTGGGGAATCTGGGAAAGAAAAAAGGAGTATTATTTCACCTCAAGGGAAGGAAACTTTGGGCTCAAAGGTTGTTGGCTTCCCAGCTCTGAACCTGAGGACACACCCCAAAGCGTACACCTGTGTCCATGTGTAGCAGCACCTTCAGGAAGATCTTGTAGTTGCTTTGGAAGTGACTTCCAACTAAAATGCCCATCTGTTCTCTTACCAGAGCCAGGCCTAGTGCTTTGGACTGTCTGTCCCACAAGTGGTTCATGGTAAGTTTGTCCTGGTCCTTTATTAGTCATTACAATAACGAGGTTGGAAGAGACCTTGGCAGGGGCGGCCCCAAAAGCTGCTGGATGTTTGCTGGTTTATTTTTTTTCCCATAGTCTCTTACTTTCTGTGCCACAGAGGAGCTCAGGAATGGCTCCTCAGAAAGGGGTTTACATGCCAGGATATCTTTCCTTTCAAAGGATAAAGATTTACTACTGATGTGAGCAGATATAACAAGGAATCATTTAGGTTGGAAAACCCTTCTAAGGTCATGGAGTCCAACCATCAACCCAGCACTGCCAAGGCCACCACTAAACCATATCCCCAAGTGCCACATCTTTTAAATCCTTCCAGGGACAGTGATTCCACCATCCTGCCCTGGGCAGACTGTTCCAATCCTTGACTACCCTTTCCAGGAAGAAATTTTCCCTAATGTCCAAACTGAACCTCCCCTGGTTCAGCTTCAGGCTGTTTCCTCCACACATCAATATAGGAAGGAACCTGTGGCTTTGCAGGACAAAGTTATAGTTTATATATTGCAGTGCCTTAAATCACTAAGGGGAAGAGCTAAAAATTAGCAATAAAAAAAAGGATTTAATGGCATGTATTGAACAAGGCTTACTTTTATCACTGATTTTGTCTGCAATTTAACTATGAAGGGAGTGTAGCATTTGGTCTACTGTAGCTTTCCTAAATTAAACAACTGTGGAAGGAGGGAATCCTAGAGATTTATTAGGAGATGAAGGCAGTTTTTTTTGAACCAATGATTTTCCTCTCGTTCCACCTGGCAGCACAATGTCCCCCTCGAAACAGCTCATTTCATTAATACCAAGCAGCTCAAATTCATCGTGGCTCGGAGCAAGTGGCAGGTGAGTTGCCCTTAATCTATATTTTTGTTATATAATTTATATAATCATCTATAATAATCTATATACCATATAATAATATATACTATAGGTTATTTATATTATATATATCTAACATATATAAATATAATATATAATATATAATATAGTTAATATATATAATATATAATATATAAATATAATATATAAATATATATATAAATGTATACATATTAATATTATTATATACTATATATTTATATATATTAATCTGTAATATATAAGATACAATAAAGTATAATAATCTATATAATCTTATATTTTTTTATATATATTTTTATTTACATTTGAATCTTTGAAAGTCTTTTGGGCTTGGACAGCGAGCTCAGCAGAGATCTCAGCTTGGCCGTAAATGGGGAATAAGCCCAGGAGGCTGCAGTTGAGGGATGTGTCAGGAATTAATTATCTAGACTTTTACTGCCTGGGAAACACTTGGTCTCATGCAGGTGCCTGTAAGACACAAAGTTGTGTCTAAGTGAGGTGCCCTCAGCCGCCTTTGCTGAATTATAGACAGGTCTCCAAAAATACCTCTTTTCCTGAGGTTCTCTAAAATTATGGGATTGATTGCCTCCTGAAGAAGCCAGTTTCCCCCTGCTGGTTGGAAGGGGAGGGCAGCTGCCCAATTTCAACTGAGATGTCTCACATGGCAGAATTTAGAGCAGAGGAATCCCACCCCCTGCACTGTGGTAGGTCTTCTGTTGACCTGAGTCACTGTAGGTTGAACTGTAATCCGTGGATTTAAGGCCATTGATTCCAGCAAGTCTTTCTTCTGATGTTTTCCATTAAAAACTCCTTTCTATCTGCTTTGAGTGGCCAGATTGACTTTGGAAATCTCAAGCAGGGTCCTGCTTCCCTGCTCACAACAGCAAGTATGTCCCCTGAAGTCAATTTAGTTTCACGTCTGTCAATGAGGGAAGAGGAAGATTTGGAGAGCAAATGAGGCCTGGATTGGTGACGTGTACAAAGGGCTGGCAGTGTGTAATTAAACTCATGGGTAATTAGGAGTTCAGGAGTTCATTTGGGTATGTTTGCTTTGCCATCCTCCCACCATGCCTCCGTCTCACTGTGCTGTATTTTGTTTGGCTCCCCAGCGGTCTCTGATGTGCTACAAATCCATCCTGGTAATGAGGTCTATCCCAGAAATCCTGGAAAGGACCCACGACAACACCTCCCTGGCCATCTCCCGACACCTCATCGAGGAAAGCACTTCATCCAGTACCAGTGGCTCCTCTTCAGACAACGAGAACTCGAATTTCCCCAAGAAGAGGCACTTTGGTTCCACCCCCGAGCTGCACTTGCCCGTGTTTGAAGCACCAAGTTATCAGGAGCCTCCAAGACGTTCAAGTGAGCAGAAGCACTCCAAGGCACCAGTCCCTCCAGTAAAACCCATGAGGAGGAAATATGCTTCCATGAAGGCTGAGGTGGGGGACAAATCACCCACGGAAAGCAAAGAGCTCATGGCGAGTGCCTTCCAGGAGAAGGAGGAGAGGCTCCATCCCAGTGTTCGAGATGAAAGGAGTGGTGCTGCCGAGCCTTCATCCGTGAGGGCTTCCATGGAAAGCACATCATATCCAGGTCAGAAAGGAAAACCAGACATGTCTTTAGCTGATAAGGAGAGGATTGAAAAGGCTGGGGATGGCACAGAAAAGCCATCTGCCTTTGTGCCCAGGCAGAGCGTCATCAAAAGCACTTTCTACAGCCAAGCAACAGAGCTGCCTGCAAGGCCACCTTCCTCACCAGGCAGGGAGTTCAGGAGGCACCTGGACAGAGCCAGGAGGACTTTCCGGAAAGGTGGATATTCGAAGGTGCCCCTCAGTGGTCTCCGTGAGCCTCTCCTGGAGCAGTTTGAACTGGAAGAGGAAGAGGAAGGAGATGATCGCAGGGAAAGCCTGCTGGGATCCTTGACCAAATCAGCGTCGTTTGATACTGCCAGGAAACCACCACATCCTGCCATTGCTGGTGCCAGCAGGAGCCGTTCCCTGGACGACTACAGGCTGAGAGCCTCGAGGTCACTGAGGGAACAAGACATTTTGGAAGAAGACTGTGATGTCTTGTCCCAGGAGAGCTGCCCTGAAGGCAGTGACCACTGTGACATTTCTGCAGGGCCTGGCAAGGGATGTTCTGTAGGCACATCAAAGCAGGAGGAAGTCAGGAGAGCCAGCAAGGATTGTTCAGGAGAGAAGCCCTCTCCTTCCACACATTGTGAGGGTAATGAGTGCCCAGCTGCTTTTATGCAACAGGCTGAGGGACTTCCAGTGTCACCTCACAGGAGTGAAAATAGGAAACCTTTACTGAAGAAGTCAAAAGCTACTGAGATTGAGGAGGATGTTGAAGATTTGGAAGGCAAAAGCCCCATTCTGACTGCCCAGTGCTCAGACATAACTGCATCAGCAGCCCAAAAACATGAGAGCATGGAGGGTAAATCTTCCTCTGACACTGCCTTTCAGGAGAGCAAAGAGTCCATTCCAACCTTGACACAGTCAGAGGCCACCTCTGAGTCATCTCCCACGAGTAAGGGAGGTGTGTGTCTGCCCCAGGAGTCTGCTCACCACGCTGACATCCACCAGGATCAAAAAGGTGGAACGCTGCTGATCAAAAGGACGGCCCCAGTTCCACCTTGGAAGGACAAAAGGCAGAAACATTCAGGTGAAAAAACCTCTGCTCACGGTGTTGCCGAGTCTGAACTCATGGAACATGAAAGCTCTGCTGTTCCAGCAGAACAGACAGACATCGATTCACTTCCAGTACACAAAGACAAAAGTCAGGAACTTCCTGGGAAAAGTGTTCCAGCAGCTCCTGTGTCTCTGGGCAAGCGGCCAGGTGCCCTCACAGCTGGTGAAGGGGCTCCTCAGAAGGTGAAGACCCGCAAAGAGGTGAGATCTGCTGTCCTGGAGGAGGAAGGGCTGGGTGTGACAGGAGTCACTCCGCCATCAGCCCATGCTGGTGAAAGCCAGGCTCACAGGAAGGCTCCTGCTCATGGATTCACAGCATCAGCCAGCCTGAAAGGAGAGCACCTCGCTGTTCCCAAAGTCCCACCACCACAATCAGTGCCGACTCCGGTCTCCAGTGGAGCACAGGCTGAAAGGGAAGGGCCAGCTCACAGCAAGGAGAGGTTTGTTGCTCTGAGGAGCGAAAGCTCTGCGGTCACAGAGGTTGTTCCCAGCTTGGCCCATGAAGGAGCCAAACCCCAGAAGGTTTCTGAAGGCCATGCTGTTCCAGGGAGCAGACACACAGCAGGAACGGTGTCCTCCCAAAGCACTGCTCTCCCTTCGGTCTGTCAGAGGGAAAAACAGGAACATCCAGCCCTTCACAGCGAGGTGAGATCTGCTGTGACAGCAGGTGGAAGCCCAGCAACTGCGCAGACCACGTCTGCTCCTTTCCCCAAGGCTGGACATCGGGAGTTGGAGCAGCACAGGGCTGCCAGTCCCAGTGCTGGGATTTCTGATGGTCTGGGGGGTGCCTTAACTGCTGCACAACCAGAAGGTGCTCCAGCTTCAGCCTATGAAGTAGAATATGAGGAACATCCAAAGGTCCATGGTGAGGGTGGAGGCGTTGCCTTCGAAAGTGGAAGATCTGACGCTGGAAAAGCTGTCCCACCGTCGCTCCGCAGGGATCGCCGTCAGGAGCAATCACATCACAGGTCTTCCTTTTACAGTGATGAGGAGTCTGCTGTGCTGGAGGGCTTAGTGGACGAGATGGTTTCCCTCTCTGAAGAGATGAATGTTTGGGCAGAGTCAGTTTCTGGAGAGAAGGAGAGCAGAAAGCACATGGACACCTCCTCCCCTTCTGTAAAACAGAGGGAAGATGAGCGGGATGGCCTTGAAGAACCCTGCCTTGCTGTGAGTGAGGAGTCAGAGGTACTGGAAGGGCAGGGAGCACAGACAGTTCCTCGTGAATGTGAACACCTGGAGGACATGGCGTTTGAGAGCCCCACTTCCAGCCGAGCCAGCGTTTCCTCAACAGAGAGCTCGGACACCGGGAAAAGACCCAGCCGAGTGTCAGTGATCAAGGACACCGGGAAACACCCAGAAGTGTCTTTGGTGAAAATCAAAGACCTGTCAGATGAAACCCCCAGTACTGGCAGCGGCCCTCAAAAATTTGACATCTCAGAGGTGGAACCTGCCTACTTGAACTTCTCTGACTTGTATGACATTGTCTATTTTCCGTTTGAATTTCTGAGCTACAAGAAGCCTTCGCCCAAGCCGGTTCGCAGACGGTTTATTCCTCTCGGTGAAAGGGCAAGGTCTCCTCCTGCAGGGCATCTGCATAAGGATAAGAGGCTGTGCATCAGGGAGCAGGCAGAGGACAAGAACAGGAAGAACCATTTGGAAATATCTGAGGATTCAAAGGCAACTCACTTAGTGGCCATGGGGAAAGGACCAGAGAGCCATAAAGAAATGTACAGCTCCCAAAAGGACTCCAGTGGGAAGCAAAAAAGCTCCTTCCACACCAAGCCAGGACTCTTTAAGCCATATGCAAGGTCTCATTCAGTGGAGCTGTCAGTGGAGCAGAGTCTGAAGAAGAAAGTAAAAGCTTCTGTTGCCCATATTTCAAGAATCCTAAAAGGAAAGACATCTCCTGAGCCAGAGGCAGAGGAAGGTAAGTATTTCACTCTGCTCCTTTATAGATTTTCTGCTATAACTGGGCTCTGATAAAGTTGCCTTTTCCTTTTATCTGAGGCTGTGGTTAGACTGGGATTGTAAAACTGGCCATGGCAGGTTATGAAATCAGCAGTTTCCAGCTCCAGCACTACCCCTCTGTTACTGGGTTACCCCAGTGCAGAGGCAGATGGGTTAATCCACTGATGGAAGGGGCTCAAATTCCCCTGTCTGAGGTTGCACAAAAGCAGACCTGGGTGATGTTTTCCTTGCTGCAGTTATCATCTGACCATGGTAAGTCTCAAAAAAAATAAAGTGACTGGGAGAAGCTGGTGAAGTCACCCTGGCTATTGGACATCAGGATCTGTCCTTTCTTCTCTGCCATCCCTAGATATTGCCTGTTCTTCCAGGACACTGTTGTGTTTGTCACAGCTGTCACAGCCTTCCCTGCTGACTGAAGGCTGGTTAATAAGGGAACCTGTGAGTGATGAGCTGTTTATGTGTGAATGGTAGAGCTGTCACTGTGAATTGATGCCAGCGGGGAGAAGGGTGGCCTTGAATGACTTCTCATCCTTTCTCAAAACAGAGTTTGGTGAGCTGGGAAGTGAGGCAGCAGAAAAAGAGCTGTTAACAGGGGCTGAAGGATCTCTGAAGAGGAAATCAGCACTCTCCTCATTCAAGTTGCCAAGCCTCATGCCAAAGGAGAAAGGTATTGCTGTGGCACTGTGGTGCCACAAAGCCAGTGGTTTGTTTTAGCATGAAGTATCAGTAATGAAAATCCCAGTGCTGTGTGAGGCCAGTTTCTAAGGATGGATCTGCAGTGATTGTCTGGAGAGATGACCTGGACCAACTCATGTAACATGGGCCAGTCTCCTCTGTTTACATCATAACTAGGACCTTGATAAAACCTATCATGGTGTTGTTTGCAAATTGGAGCCACTCCAGGAAGCCACTGCAAAGGAATAAAATCCAGGTGTAAGATAGAAAGAGAATAAAAGCAGTATCCATGGGTGGGAAGGCAGAGGCAGGGAACTGTGAATTCCTATGCTCCAGTCCTGAATGGATGTGTTAAGTCCAGACATGCTGCTACAGAGCTGTGGAATGAAAAATAATGGGGCAGCCCCACATGGTGCATCAGCAAAGCTGAACTTGCTTTTTCCTAGACAAGTTTCCCCTTGACTCTGTCAGGAGCATTTCCCAAGGTCAGACTAACGTCCCAGTACTCAGCAGAGCCCAGGGAAACACTGGGAAGGGCAGGTGTGGGAGGCTGGCAGCTCCTGGCAACTGGGGAGAAAAAAACCCTGGAGAAGCACAGGAGGGTGCTCCTGCCATGGAGGCAGGAGCAGATTTGATGCTCTATGGGGTTTTTCCTCCTTTCATATTCATCTTTCATCTCTGCTTCTCTCTTCTTACGTTGTCTTGATCATGGTATCATTTAGGTTGGCAAAGACCTCTAAGATCATCGAGTCCAACCATTCCCCAGCACTGCCAAGGCCACCAGTAAACCCTGTCCCCAAGTGCCACATCCACATGTCTTTTAAATCCCTCCAGGGGTGGTGACTCCACCACTGCCCTGGGCAGCCTGTTCCAATCCATGATGACCCTTTCCACGAAGATAGGTTCCCTAATATCCAATCTAACCCTCCCCTGATGCAACTGGAGGCCATTGCCTCTTGTCCTATTTGATCCCCTCATCCTCAAAATACCATCATTTAGTTTTGCCCCCACAATTTGGCTTGGCCAGGGGAACACTCTTGCTGTGACATGATCTCTCTCTGCTCTGAGCTGTTCTGCTGCCTCAGCTGTACCAGCAGGGCTGGGCAATGCAGGTATTCCCTATGGACTTCCCAAGATCCATCTGGGTGATCATGTATGAGCAGTCACACTGTGTCCCTGAGGCTCCTGCACCTGTGCTCAATGCCCAGGGCGTTCTCCAACGGGCGGTCAAAAGGATGACGGAGCAAGAACCAGAAATGTTCTTGAACAATTAGAAAGGTTTTCTGACGTCCTGCATGCATTTGTTTTCCACATAACTCTCCTGGCTATTCTGAATTGATGTTTTTTCCTCTTCCCTGCAGCCCCATCCTTCACTGAGGAGCTCATGGACCAGGCTGCTGCCGTGGGACAGTGCGTGACGCTGTCGTGCCGGACGGCAGCTCACTCCTCCCTGCACATCAACTGGTTCAGAGGTGACACTGGCATCCCTCCAGGGAGTCCCTGACCTCTGGGACAGGGGTGCAGGGAGGGGTTTAGAGACCTTGGTATCAACTTTCAGGGTGTTTATCTCTCCTACCTTCTGCTTTTCAGACGGGATCCCTGTCCAGAGCAGCAGCCGGATCCTCATCTCATCCACCCTCAAACACTTCCAGCTCTTAACTATTCTCTCTGTTAATCCTGAGGATTTTGGTATTTACACCTGTGTGGCCACAAACTCCCTGGGCTCGGCATCCACCTCTTGTGTCATAAGAAAAGCAGGTAAGAGGAGAAGCAGCTACAGAAACAGGTGTTATAAATAATTCTGCCCCAAAATGTGACCTGTCAATACCTTTGAGGTGAGATTTCTGCAGAGAGGTGCAGAGGACAATCTCTCCCTTGCTGTTGTCCACAGTCTTTGCTGTCTGGTAGTGTGGCACATATTGCAGGGTTCATTCCCTCTTCTTCACTCTTCTGGATTCAGAGCCCTCCAAGACAAAACTTTAAAACTGAGTTTAAATTAAGGTGGGGTTAAATTGCTGTTTCTCTAGGTGTGTGCCTATATATACATATAAAACATATACATATGTATATATATAAAAATAATATCTGTAACTGAGACATGCTGGGTGTAGGGTTTTGATTCACAGCAGTGCTGCTCTTAACAGCCCCTGGGTTTTGTGCCTCCTCTCAACAGAGGTTCCTCCCAGCCCTCCACCCCCTGACATGGTGGAAGTCTACAAAGATGGAGTGCAGGTGGTCTGGAAACCTGTGGAGACCAACACCCCTGTCCATTACACCATCCAGTGCAAGAGTGAAGGTAAAGTGCTGTCCTTACACCTCAAAGGGAACATCTTGGTTTGTGTGATCCCTTCACCTGCTGGATACTTTACTTTTATTCAGAAACAGCCTGATTAACTCCCTCGTTTTGAGTTAGGAATGAAATTCATACAGCCATCATTCAGCCATCTGAAAGTTAAGTGTTGTGCTAAATAAATCAGCCTGGAAAATATGCATCCTCATACCAAGGCTTTGCTGAAGTGTGACTCAAACTAGGTGACACAAAAGTTATGACCAAAAAGTGAGCAGCTACAGAAGAAAATGCCTGGTTGGTGCCTGATACACAGCCTTGAGTAATTTGGCAAAACAATACACTAATAATACCCAGCAAAAAACCATCATCTTATATCCAGGCTTTCTGGACAGTCTGTTGTGGAGGAAGGTGATCTGTCAAAAAGGGAGTTCATCCTCTGCTAAACAGCCATGCTTTCTTTTCCCACTGATTACGGAGGAAGCTCAGGGCAAACAGCCAGAATAAATACCCACATTTTGGCAATACTGCATCACCCCTTTGATGTTCTCTTGCAAGGGTTTGGTCCAGAGCTTAAGGAAGTCAGTGAATCATAGAATCATGGAATTATAAAAATGATTGGGTTGGAAAGGACCTTAAAGACCATCCAGTGCCACCCCCTGCCATGGGCAGGGACACCTTCTACTAGCCCAGGTTGCTCCAAGCCCTCTCCAACCTGGCCTTGGACACTTCCAGGGATCCAGGGGCATCCACAGCCTCTCTGGGCAAACTGTGCCAGGGCCTCCCCACCCTCACAGAGAATAATTTCTTCCTGACACCTGATCTAAATCTCCCCTCTTACAGTTTAAAGCCATTCCCCCTCCTTCTGTCACTATGTGCCCTTGTCAAAAGCGGATGTTTTCCTGTTCAGTCACAAAAGCTTTGAACCAAATCCCCAAGCCTATTCCATCTCTCCTGGGACTGCTTTGCTGTTGTTACTAGGAATGTGATGTCTGACAGCAATGCCTTCTGCAG